AACTGAATCCTGACAATATGCCCTCAGATCCTGGACGGCTGTTCACACAACAGCCCTCCAAGCTCCACTGTGTTATCTTCACATTCCCAAAGAAATACTGGGAGCGCAAGGATGAGATCATCAGCGGGCAGAAGAGGATGCAGATCACGGGTCATTTTACAGTCGTACTGTACTCACTTTTTGGGGGCAGGTACGCGGGAATCCGGCTGAAGAATGAGATCTATCCGCAGAGGTTTGGAGCGTTTACCTTTCCTAACCGTCGTCTCTAATAACAAGAAAAACAGTTATGGATTGGATGGGGGAAAAAAAACAATGACATAGTAGGAGATGTAAAGACATAAAGAGAGGATCTTTTTAAACTTACGTGGTTGAGTTTCTTTGTCTTTTTCACCAGTGTCCACAAAAAAGAGACTGGCATCGGGTTTTTCAGCGATCAACCCCCTGAAGAATGGAAAATAACAAATCGGTGTTTGTTCAGAATCTCCTGTATCATGAACCGTTGTCCAGTTAACTAAAAAGTTGTGTGAGACGACAATATATATCATCACTTTTTTCTCTCATCTTAACAAACAAAACGATAAAAAATCAGCCATGCAACAGTAAGTGGAAATCAAAACAACAGCAACTAAATGAATAAAAATAATAAATAAGTTGGACTGGTTAGTTACACAGAAGAATAAGTGACGAAATAAAATACATCTAACTAATATATATATATATATATATATATATATATATATATATATATATATCCAAGGACATGAGCATATATATCAATAATGACTCAATGTTTACGTAGCCTACTACATAAAACAGCCACGTGACGCTTATCAACTCCTTTGTCAACTCCATCAACTATTTTATATTCTACTGGAATAAAGCAGACTAAAGATATAAATATAGAAGTCTAATTACTTCCATCAATGTTAAACTTTAATGATACAAATAACAACCTATATTTACCCATGACTTACCCCGCTGCTTTCTCCTGAAGCCGCACGTCGTCCAGAAACTCCTCCACATCTTGGATATCACTGTATTTGTTCCAGTTCTTTTTCTTATTTTTGTTCACGCGTTTTCGCCGTTTAATATCCGAAACGTTTCCATCCAGACCCGAGTTAAAAGACAGAAACCCGGGTTGAGACGCCGCCATGCGCTTGTGTTTCCTGGCGGCCGCCATGATGGTTAGAAGAAGAAGGAGGAGGGGGAATGAGGGAGGAGCCTATACGTTTGTGGATCATGAATATTGAAATAGGTCACGTGAGCTCAACAAAGCGGGGCGGGAAATCCAAGATGTGGCCCCTGTCCCTTGGCTGGTAATAATATCTCAGATATAAATGTTGATTTGCCTTAAAACTTCCTATAAATTATTTAAAAATGCTTTCCGTTTAATTTCAAATGTCGGTTTGGTCTATTCTAGCTATCGGCAAAGACTTCATATACAGAATGGGAGAAAGTGCAATGGAAAATATGGTGAAATAACTCTTACTACCTAAAGAAAATACTGTATATTTCCATATATTTATGATAAATATATTATATGGTGAAAATATAATTAACAATATATAAAATAATATATTACAATATATTGTATCAATTTATAAGGAATTGCCACTTTTCAGATATTAAAAAATATATTTACAATATCTTTACATGAAAATGTTGCTTAATTAGGTGAGTTTACTTAAGAGTACAATTCTTCCCAGATTTTTCCAAAGTTGTGAGTTGTTAAAGACACAAAAAATGTCAGGACAGTGATAAGCTGTGCATTTTAAACTGAAAATATTTTGTACATGGAATATATATATATATATATATATATATATATATGAAGAGTTCAGATGAAAAAGCCTCTAAATGCCATTTGAAATGTTCTTCTTTAATGATGATTTTTATCAAACTTGTATATTTAAGTTCAGTAATTTCACTTAAATAACAATTAATAGGTAATTATCATTGCCATTTAAGTGAAATCACTGAACTTAAATATCATCATTAAAGAAGAAAATTTCAAATGGCATTTAGAGGCTTTTGCATCTGAACTCTTCATATATATATATATATATATATATATATATATATATATATATATATATATATATATATATATATATATATATATACCAGCATCACTTATTAAACAGTTTGACTTTATTTCTGGCAAATATCCACAAAAGTTCTTATTGATCATCAACAGAGGTTTAAATGTTGATGATTTATTGAAAATAATGTAGTTTCCATTATGGTGATCAGTGTTTGCTTTAGTTTGACTCTCTTCATCTCTTCAACATTACTTTTTGTCAGACTGCTTGGCTGCTCTGACTGTGTGTTTTTAAGATGAAAAGCCAAGCAAAATGATGTGTGATCTGTTGGGTGTTCATTGATGATGTCATAATCATGATAAATCTAAGTTACAGATCTCATCCCAAGATTTATCACTGATTGAAAGTGTTTATTATTAAAGGGATAGTTCATCCAAAAATCAAATCACTTCAAACATCCTGGGTGGATATGAGATGCTCTTTTAGATGAATACAATTGGAGTTATATTAAGATATGCCCTGGCAGTGAATGTATAAGTCCATACATCTGTGACACAAAAGAACATGCCCTTTGGCTAAAATCAGTAAAAATTCACAAACATGATGCAAAATGTTTGAAGACATCAGGCAGTCACACCAAGACATCAATATTTTGCATATGACTCACAGCAATGGTGACTATCAAAACAAAAAAGCTTCATGCTGCAATGCATGATGGGTGGCTTCATATAATACCAAACTCTTGACTCCCTCACTTTTTTGTTTTTATTGTCACCATTGTTGCAACCATCAGTGGTTGGAGAGAAGTGTGTTGAAGAGACCAGCAGCAATCAATCTGAAGCTTTACTTGCATTTCCACTGAAATTCAGGAGGGTTGAGCTCAGTCTTCATATGGATGGGGATCTCCTGGAGGCCTCTTCCAGTCTGGTTTGTAATAAGCGAAGCTGGTAATGCTGTTTGTGGTGTTTAATGACGTTGGAGAAACACATGTTTGAAACAAATGTTTAGAAGATGTTAACCCAATTTTAACATGCAAAAAGAAATTGATGTCTAAATGATGTGGAGCCTTTTAAATCTGTTGTTTAAAATAAACGCTTTTTTCTGTATATTTGATCAATTAAATGCAGACTTGATGAGCAAAAGAGACTTAGTTCAGAGCATTTTTTTCTTTTCCTTTGTTTCTATGAAAGTTGTAAGAACTAAACAAAAACTGAATATAATTTATGCTAAAGAGTAATTAAAGTCTTGTGGGCTTGGAACGACAAACATATTGTCATACCTCCCCCTAGCATTTGAAATGTATTTTATTGTATTTGTATTGTTTGTATTATTGATATTTCTTCAATAAAAAAAGATCATTTAAAAACAAAACAAAAACAATGCTTATCCTTTATAGCAAATGCAAAGGCCTAAAATAAAGTATGAAGTCATTACTGTCTGTAAATGGCTGTATATGGTAAATATAAAATTGCCAGTATGAAACAAACGAATGATAATATATGCATTAACTTCGTGAAATACCATGAACACAGTGAAATACAGTTTTTTATAAAATTGTGCTAAATGATATTATATATTTATAATATATATTCATAATATTTATAATCGGAAATAAAGATATTCCATCCCAATAGAAAGGTGAGCGAAGGACATTCCAAAAATATTCAAAGCATTAACCTAATGAAAAGTGTATTTGGTGGGATGTCTGGTAACCGCAGTGTGTGTGTGTGTGTGTGTGTGTGTGTGTGTGTGTGTGTGTGTGTGTGTGTGTGTGTGTGTGTGTGTGTGTGTATGTTTTATATATTTTGATTATATATACATCAAGTTATACAGACATCAAGACAAACATGAAACATTTGCAAGACATAACAAGACATAAAAAAGATAATAACTAAAGAAAGAAAACATAATATCAAATGTCCTCAATTTTTGTTATCAACATTTGAGAGACTCAATATACAAAAGAAATCAGCCATAAAGACCTTCAGACAAGGTTTATAATTGTTTATTTTACTTTTTTTAAATATGAAATTTACCAAGATCATAAGGTTTGACATAAAATAAGCATCTTTCAAAATATGTAACAATGTTATGTTATTTGGGATGGGATGTTATTTCACAATTATGACCTGAATTCTGTTGAACCTGCATAAATCTTCCCAGAATGTGTGTGTGTGATAACACTCATAAAAGAGATGTAGAGACTCATAAAACAAAATGAGCAATTTTCATCAATTTTGATAAAGTATAATTACTATATTATGAAGAATTTTTTAAATGTAGCTTATATGTCCAGAATTTCTTTCGATATACAAAAACCGAAAAGGAAGCAAGCTTTTTTCCAAATAATCTTTTGGAAACAAATATTGTAGAAAGATTTATTTCAATAAAACAGATGTACATGAAGTATACATTTTCAATCAAACGGGACAACATGTGGCTTCTCATCAAGACTTGTGGGAATGGCTTGACCAAAATATTCATCAAATTTTTTAAGAAAGAAACTGAGCTGACTAATCTAAAAGGTTAGAGCGAAAGTAAATTCCTTGATCCCATAGACAGTAAAGTCTCCTACGTCAGCGCGATGTGATTAATATTCATGAGCACGATCTCCAGCCCTAAAGATGGCAGTAATGAAGCTCGGGCGTCGTGAGTGAAGATGAAGAAGATGAAGAAGAGCTGAAGGCGGTACTGATGTTGTGTGAGAGACGCATGGAAAGCAGGGGAAAAGAAAGTTGAAGAAGAAGCGTATGTATGATAAATAAAGCACTGTAAGCAGGCATATAACCGAGAAGGCTTATTCTACTTGTATTGAATATATTACATCCGTGTTCCGGGTTATCAGTGATGTGATGACGTTCTCGTGAACAGATATCAGCAAGATGTAAAGTTAAATAGACACTTGTCTCCCACTGTACACACTCCAAACCACAACCGATGCCTTTCCTCTGAAACACAATGAGTCTGGCTCTGCACGAGCTGCTGGTGTGCTGTCGAGGACTGGAGAATGAGAAAGCCACAGAGAGGAAGGTGTGTGTGAAACATCTCTTTTCTTATGAATAAATCAGTGACCTGAGGGCTGACATTCACCTCAACTTCTTCAGACATGCCAAATCACTTTTAACATCAGCCAATAAAACATCAGTGTTGAACTGAGAATGGCTTTTAAATTCAATTTCTGAATATGAATTGAGGAACGAGATTTAAATTGAGTAGTAAGAGATAAAAACAACATATGAGGTACTTTCAGAAACCCTGGATGATATTGATTATCAATATTTGACAATGATAGCCTACATATATAGAAATTTAGATGTAACTTATATATGGAAATGTTTTCAGTGTATGTTTTTTTAGCCTATATATTTAGTGGACAGTCACACATCTCCGACTGCTGTAATTTACCCTACATTTTTATGTTAAATATATTATTATAGTTATCTGTCTGATAATGTGGTGCTCTATCATAAAATAACTGTTGATGTCTATTGGAGATCGACCGATATTGACTTATAGCCAATACCGATGGTGATCATTTGCATGTTTATGCGCGATAACTGATTTACAGAACTGATATTATTTGTTTTGACAGTTATAATAGAACTGAGCAAAATTGTTTTAAAACTTATTTTATATACTGTACATTCTGTCATGTTCTACCTCCGTAGATACATTGCAAAACACATTTCTACATCAATAAAAGAGTCTCTTAAATATAAACTTAATTTGGACAGGATTTGATGGATTACGTTTTTTAGCACCAAGTTTAAATCCATCAAATCCTGTCCAAATTAAGTTTATATTTAAGAGATTTGTGCATTAATGGCTGTTATGTTAAATAAAATGTACTAATAAGGGTGGCAAGTGCTTAAATATCAGGGAAAATATCGGTAACACCGGTTATTATCGGTCGATCACTAATGTCTTTGGTAAATTGCCTCTTTTGGCAGTGTAGAACAATCAATTAAAAAATATATCCTGATTTTCAATGAATAGACATACTGTAAATTACTCAAGTGGTGTAACCATCAAGTTACAAAATATTACAAACAATTTTTTAGACTATTTTATGCATTGCATTGTTAATTTGACTTGAAGCCCGCTCCTAAAACTTCACGTTTATCATACAGATGTTTTCAAATCAAGCGATAGTTCACCCAAAAAAATTTTACTCGCCCTCAAGTTGTTCCAAACCTCTATGAGTTTCTTTCCTCTGCTGAACACACACACACAAAAAGATATTTTGGACCCCATTGACTACCATATCATTTTTCTTTTCTACTATGGAAGTCAATGGGGACCAGAAACTGTTCAAATTAAGTCATTTAAAGGGATACTTCACCTCTGGAAAGATGAATGTGTATTTAAAATGGGTCATTTATGTAGAAGAAATTGAATTTGGAGCTTTCTAGACTGAGAAAATGTATTTTTGGCTTATGTGGATGAAAGACAACAACTCCCAGAATGCACTTACTTCACTGCCCTAGGAGGCCACGTCTACTGGTAACAGAGCACAGTAGTTAAACAACAAGTCTAGGCTACTATTGAGTCTCTGTGATGAGTCTGACCTAAAATGTGTTTCGAGATCGCCAAAATGTCTGGAAATCGGCTTTTGCGTACTACAGTCGGCAATTATTATGTTTACTGTGGCGAGCGGGACGAGGCCGTTGACGTGATTACTGCGGGACAGCGCCTACTACTGACTGTAGTCTTAAGCCTCTGGCCAAATTTTTTTTTTCTGGATTTTTTCCAGACAAAAAAAATCATAAATCTCTCGTCTCATGGGGATATGAGGGTGGAAAGCACGGTAATTCGAAAAATACTACAGGTTTTCTACTAATACAAAGCTTAATGCTAAATCCTGAAGTATCCCTTTAAAAATCGGGGAATTTTGCAAATTCAGACTATGAGGTTGCTTTGAAACATTCAGTTATAAATTGATATATAAATAAAACGTGACTGATTTATTATGTTTTTGTTTCAGAAAGAGGTGGATCGCTTCAGGAGACTCATCCTTTCGCCAGACACGGTGGAGGAACTCGATCGGACGTCGGGATGCAAAGTCTCCAAAGGCTCCAAGCAGCTCACCTGGGATGCTGTTTTCCGGTCTGTCTCACTTTTTATTTTTCCGTTATGTAGTTCTAAGGTGTGAGCTGACACAGTGCGCTCATAATGGTTTCTCCTTACAGATTTTTACAAAAGTTCCTTCAGAAAGAGACAGAGGTTCTACAGTCAGGAAAAGCCAACGTATCCGCCATCACGCATGCCAACCGGCAGAAGAAGATGCAGGAAATTAGCAGCCTGATGAAGTATTTTATCAGATGCGCCAACCAACGTAATGTCTGATCTCCTGATATTACAGTCGCTGTTCATATCCATTGTAGATTTCCCTGTGGTTGTTCATCACTGTACATTAGACAAGCGCAATACATCCATTACAGGAAATCCTGCTTCTGTTCTGCAGGTGGTCCGAAGTTAAAGTGTGCCGAGCTGCTGTCCCATGTGGTGGAGGTCCTGCAGAGTCCGTTCAGCTGTGGGGCGTACGGCGAGGACTACAGCAGCATTCTGCTCAAGGACATCCTGTCGGTGCGCAAATACTGGTGTGAGATGAGCCAGCAGCAGTGGCACAGTGAGTGTACCATCTCCGTTTCTGTGTATTTATCCATTTATTTAGCCCCTATTCCCTGAGGTTCTTGTATTGAACTCTGAAACATTAAAGTCCCCCTGTAGTCAATCATTTTATCCCTTAAAACTCATCTTTAATCACCAAAATTACATATTAACTGTAATTAAAATGTAATTACATATTACATGTTTTACTTGAAAATAATTTCTTCATGCCTTAAGTATCTTGAATGTAACTCGACACCTTTGCCTCATTTAGTATACGCAATTCTATGAATATGTAGATGAGCCCCGCCTCCGCTCACTCATTCAGAGGTCCACTCGTTGACGATCACACGTTGATCTGATTGGTTACAAGGTAGTTTGTGGCACCAGACGGAAACACCAGCGATTTCAAACCGTCTTTCTGAGACTGTCTTTGTTTCACTGCAGTTTTAAGGAGAAAATACTCAGCAATGCTGTCCACTTATGAATTTACACATGGTTTGTCTTAAAGCATATTAAAAACACCACATAGACATATAAACAACAGTAGCCCTCAAACCGTATTCACTTTATAGCCCTTAATCCTGTAATTGTGGACAAATGTGGGCATAGAGGACTCTAAATATAAATATAAATATAAATATAAATTTTTATTTATTATAAATGTTATCACTGTCTTCGATTAAGTTTTTTCTATCCATTTATGGTGTTTTTTTTTATTTTGGGGGTATTTTTGAATTGATTTACGTCAAAAAGTCCCATATTTTAGATGTAAATTATGCTTATTTTTATGTTTTATTTTTTGTAATTATTTTAACTACTTTAAAATATCATTCCAATAAGTTCTTAGAGCTAAAACCTAAAGATGAAGTGACTTTGCTTTCTCCTGGTGTCTTATTTTGGCTTACTTTAGAATGCTCTAAACTACAGTTTTTCCCATTCATTTCTATGGGTGCCCATTTTTAACCCAAATACAAGATTAAGGAGTTTTTTTTTCACCCACTTAACATTGTAGAATTGAGTCAAAAAAGTATTTTTTGAAAATTATTTAAAACTATTTCGCCCACATTTGTCAAGAAAATGGTTTTAGGGTTAAAAGCTGGATTTTCACCATAGGGGGACTTTAAAGTAACCCCGGTCAGTGTTTATTTTGCAATAATGACATGCATTATCCATACTTTTTAGTTTTAGTTTTGTTAATAATGTTAATCAGCCTTGCTGTTGTGTTGTTTGTTGTGCAGGTCTGTTGGATCTGTACTGTGGGCTGTTCAATAGGGGATCCAAGTCCATTAACAGAGTCCAAGTGAGTCGCATCCTCTACACGGTTGTTTGGGGCTGTTGTGTCCAAACGGAGGGATTGTCCCACACTCTCTTCAACTTCTTCCAGAAGGCTCTGAGCAACACCAGGTATCGTTTAACGCACGCCAAATATGTTTTTGTCTGATAAAATCACCTGCTTAACTTGTGTTGGTCTGCTGTTCCTCAGGGCAGAAAGACAGCTGATGGTTCTGGAGAACCTGGTTTCTGCAGTGAACGTGTTCCTGCGCTCGGTGCTCCTGTCTTGCAGGAAGAGGGCGTGTGCCCTGGGCGAGGAGGTCCTGTCCGCTATGCTGTACGTTTACACTCAGATGAGACCCAGCTCCACGCTGAAAGACGAGCTCGTGAAGTTCTTCCAGCTGCAGCTTTGTGTTCATCACCCAAAAGGGGCAAAGACTTTAGAGACAGGTGATGATACAACCGTCTTTTAAAATGCACTGTTTTTTTAGTATTTCTTGGTCTTGTATTTGTTTAACCCTTGTGCTGCATTCGATTTTTAACACCGTTGAGTGCATTAAGGACCAAAAATGGCCACATATTAAACATTGCCTAAAATATTATATATTATTATTATTTTCCACTTTTACCAAGTTAAATCTTTTAACCAGCATCAGTCCTCATCATAACTACCAAAACTGTATTCAATTTCAGGATTTTAACCCTTTAATTACCAGTTTTGTTTGCGAAACCATCGATTTGTATAAGAGGAAAAAACACAAAAATTCAATTATTTTCAATAAACTAAATGCAAAGAGAAAACTTTAGATTTGGATTATCACAGTCCCACTTTGCAAAAAATCCCACTTAGCGCGTTAGAGACCAAAAAATGCCACCTATTAAACATTGCCTATTGCCTAAAATAAGGTGCATTTCCACCCATAGGGAATAAATATGTAGTGACGTCATCTGGTGGAATACACTATATAATGCAAATATAATGCTTTTGCTTCAAAATGAAAGGATGTTTGTGCAAAAATCATGTTTCATGTATTACTGACAGCCTCAGATTTAAACAACGTTTTAATGGGTTTCAATGGGCCATTTTTGGTCTTTATGGTGCTGAGTGTTACTATTTGATCTACACAGTGTGTGTTATACATATTTTGCAAAATGGGATCACATTTTTTACATGTATCCAAAAAGTCACAATTTTGCCAAATTTCATACCATTTGCATTAAAACAGCCAAAATGGTCAAAGAAATTAAACTGCAAAAGACCAAAAATGTCCCTAATGCAGCATAAGGGTTAAACAAAAACACCATTGTAATTTGCAATTGCTTTAAAGGGTTAGTTCACCCAAAAATGAAAATTAAGTCATTAATTACTCACCCCCATGCTGTACCAACCCCGTAAGACCTTCGTTCGTCTTCGGAACACAAATGAAGATATTTTTGATTAAATTTGAGAGCTGTCTCACTACCACATTGGCTCCTAAGGGACTGCCTCTTGACGGCCCAGAAAGTCAATGAAGAAAATGTTTAAATATCCCAAGTGACTACCGTGGCTCAACTATATGTTTATCAAGCGACGAGAATACTTTTTGTGCGAAAAAACAAACAAAAATAACGAGTTTATTCAACTATTTCTTTTCTTCCTTGTAGGCCAGAACGAGAATTCCTTAGATTTCCACGACGCATGCGCGAGATTTGCGATCTGCTTACACCAGCTTACACTACTTCAGATCGCAATTCTCGCGCATGCGTCGTGGAAATCTATAAGGAAGTCTCGTTCTGGCCTACAAGGAAGAAAAGAAATAGTCGAATAAACTCGTTATTTTTGTTTGTTTTTTCGCACAAAAAGTATTCTCGTCGCTTGATAAACATATAGTTGAGCCACGGTAGTCACTTGGGATATTTAAACATTTTCTTCATTGACTTTCTGGGCCGTCAAGAGGCAGTCCCTTAGGAGCCAATGTGGTAGTGAGACAGCTCTCAAATTTAATCAAAAATATCTTCATTTGTGTTCCGAAGACGAACGAAGGTCTTACGGGGTTGGTACAGCATGGGGGTGAGTAATTAATGACTTAATTTTCATTTTTGGGTGAACTAACCCTTTAATAGTGTGAAAATTGTATTACATTTACATTTATGCATTTGGCAGACACTTTTATCCAACTTACATTGCCTTTCAAGTTACACATTTACATTTGTGTCAATTCTTGCTTTACCTGAGAATCAACTAGTGGTGCACGATATATCGGCCTCCGATATAATATCGAAAGATATGGTAATTTTTTTACACATTGATATAGTATCATAGCATATTAATGAATTGAGTTAACTGAATAGCTTTGAGAATACACAATGCTAAAAGGTCGGAAGACGGAAGGGTTTTTTTTTTTTTCTGAACTACTACTGGTTGTGAATTGTGGCAAAATAACGTTGCCTTATCTTCTCTGAAAAGCTTTCCACACATTCAGCTATAATAAGTGTTTATATTGGGACTATTTCAGACTGGTTGGGGGCGTACAGCTGCGGAGTAGCCCAGCGCCCGCGTGACATAGACATAAACAGAAAGACGCACGCAGTTCTGCTTATTAACCGCTAGAGTTGGACTGCAGCTTTATTAAAGTCTTGACCGTGACTCTTTGCTGGCTCAGGTGCGCATGCGGAGGACTGGGTCAGATGGCAGGGTCAGCTCTGCACCCTCTATGATGCCCTCGTCAGTGAGATCAGTCAGATCGGCAGCAGAGGGAAATATGCCACTGGCTCTCGGCACATTGCTGTGAAAGAAAATCTCATTGAACTGACCGCTGACGTCTGCCACCAGGTGATTCATGGATGTTTTAATGCTGCTGCTGATCAATCGTCATCATTCCCCTGGTTTAATATTAAAGGCTTAGTTCACCCAGAAATGATGTCATTAATGAATGACTCACCCTCATGTCATCCAAAACCCTCTCTGGAACGCAGTTATTTTAGATTTAGTCCGAGAGCTTTCTGTCCCTCCATTGGAAATGTGTGTACGGTATACTGTCCTTGTCCAGAAAGGAAATAAAGACATCATTAAAGTAGTCCATGTGACATCAGTTGGTTAGTTAGAGTTTTTTGAAGCATCAAAAATACATTTTGGTCCAAAAATAACAAAAACTTCGACTTTATTCAGCATTGTGTTGTCTTCCGGTTCTGTTGACGATCTGCCTTCAGTGACGTTGCTGACGTAAGATGCTGTTGACGTGTATCTTGTGTATTCGGGTTCAAATAAATATGGCTGGGCAAAAAAATCCAAGCGTTCCTCTGTGTGGAAATCCTTAGACATGCGAAGATTGTTTTGTTTACAGCGAGCGTCTCCCTCAGACTGTAAACGAAGCTCGGGCGCACTGATAACACGTCACTGAACGCGGATCCACAACAGAACCGGAAGACAATACAATGCTGAACAAAGTCGTAGTTTTTGTTATTTTTGGACCAAAATGTATTTCCGATTCGTCAAAACATTGTAACTAACCCACTGATGTCACATGGACTACTTTGATGATATCTTTATTTATTGGTGCGACCTGAGGGTGAGTCATTAAAGGGATAGTTCACCCAAAAATGAAACTTGTCAGTATTCATGTTGTTCCAACCCCGTAAGACCTTCGTTCATCTTCGGAACACAAATTAAGATATTTTTGATGAAATCTGAGAGCTGGATCACTCCTCCATACTAGTCCATAGACTTCTTGAGGGATTGAAACTTGCCGGCCACAAAAAGTTATTAAAGACATCGTTAAAATAGTCCAAGTGACTACAGAGGCTGAATCTTAAGTTTATGAAGTGACTAGAACACTTTTTGTGCGCAAAAACGTACATAAATAACAACTTTATTTCAACTATTCATTTCCTTCTTTTTGGGCCTCTAGCCAGTTAAATGTCACACGTAGGCTCACTATTGGCAGATGCTGGTCATGTGTGTGATGCGTGTGACATACAACGGCAGATCATATGCGGTTAAACGCGAGGCCCAAAGAGAAGTCCACTGTCGTCACTTGGACTATTTGAACGATGTCTTTAATAACTTTTCGAGGCCGGCAAGTTTCAATCCCTCAAGAAGCCTATGGACTAGTATGGAGGAGTGATCCGGATCTCAGATTTCATCAAAAATATCTTAATTTGTGTTCCGAAGATGAACGAAGGTCTTACGGGGTTGGAACAACATGAGGGTGAGTAAATTGGGTACATTGGAGTGCTAAATCCCAATGCAGTAAATAAATACCATGGTATATCGATGTATTAGAGGTCCATAGTATTACCATCATCAACATTACTGTTTTTATAATAACAAAGCGTGGTCTTGTGTATCACTTGTTTCCATCACATTCTGATTTGCGAATGTGCCGTGTTTCTGCAGTTGTTCCGTCAAAGCACTCATGTTCAGGAAGTGACATCATCAGTCTGTCGGGATACTCAGCGGGACAGTCCGCAGAGCTGCAAACGCAGGCGAATCGAGCAGCCGCTGACCAATTGGGAGGTGATACGATCCAAACTTCAGCCCCACCACAGCGACTTCGACATTATACCCTGGTACGGTTTTATTTCAGTTTAAAGCACAAACAATCCTTCATTCACAAATGTATATATTTGTAAAAATCTTTCAGCTTTTATTGAAGGGAGGTCATTTTTGCCAGTTTTACATTTGTTATCGACTGTGTCCAGTTAATAATAATTTAAGAATGTCATAATTTTGACATAAAGTGTTAAATTAATATTTAAGTAAAAGGTAACCAGCTTTGTATTGTCAAACTAAACTCAACTAAAACCAACTTGTAACCTTGTTATTAAATTATTTGTATTATTTATTTATAATTTTTTTTATTTGTTTCAATACATTTTATATAATTAGTTTTGCTACATCAGTATTTTAAGCCTTACTCAGATGTCCCATTTTTTAATTCTAAACTTCATATAAAATGAATAGAAAATAAAACAGTTGGTCTAATAATAAAAATCTTTTTTATTTTTTTTTATTTTTTTAAGTTTCAAGCTTTTATTTGTAGCCTCTCATGGAAAGTGTCTAATATTCAAGTACTGTATCTTATAGGGTTTTCACAGTACCAAAATTTCAGTAGTCTGTACTAAAGCTGCACGATTCATCTGTAAAATATTGCAACCTGGATTCAAACACCCAGCAATCTTATTCCTAAATTACTACGATTCAGCTGTGTCTACCTTATTAAACCTTTGACAAGTACTATCACAGCCAATATTTAGATCTGCAAATCCACTAATCCAGGCCCGTCTGGACTTGTCAATGGGACCAGAAACTGTCTGGTTACTGATATTCTTATAAATATCAGAAAATCAGCTGAATGGATTCGAAAACGGTAAAACCCAACTGTTTTACTCTGGGGGAGTTGTAAAATGAGCATATTTCCAAAAAAAGTGGAGTGTCCCTTTAAAGGGATAGTTCACTTTGAAATTAATTTTTGATATGTTTTATCTTACCTCAAGGGCATCCAAGATGTAGGTGTCTTTGTTTCCATAGTATTTCCAATTTTGATATTTTTAGGTCAAACTGTTCTTGTCTGTCAGTCATATAATGGAGATTTATGGGTTCCACCTCAAAGAGCATGCACAGAGAAGTCAAAATGAAACATGATTTAATGACTCGTAAATGTAAGTACACATTGATGGCCTAAGACACGAAACGAGCGGTTTGTGTGAGAAAACGAACGGTATTTATATCGTTTTTACCTCTTGTAACCACAGCCATGTCCAACTGATCTGACGGCACGGGCGCTTCGGTCTGGAAGTGATCTCTTGCACGTGTGCGTCACTCATTGTTTACACAGAGATTTTGCAAGTTTTACCTTTCACTGTGAAGATCTAAACATATTTAGATATATCGAAATCGTCTTCCATTGCGATTTCCTGTATATCTAAATATGTTTAGATCTAAAAATGTTTTCCATTTTTGTCTCGTCTCGTCTCGTTTCCAATTCAATAATGGATTCTGACTAACTTACTGACTACCACATCTGATTGGCCATTGCGTTCATACATTCAACAGATATGATTGCGATTGGTTACACTTGTAAAAACACGCTATAAACAGAAACGCTAATGAAAGCGTTTGAAAGCAGTGTCTCTCAGCGAGTACCGAATATACCCGGTACTCGATACTGCAGAAATGCTGCTCCTGTCAATTTAAATTTTATTATTACCGACTGACTGGTACCAGTGATGCGCGGGTTGATCCGAAATGAGCGGGTGCCTGCGGTCACCCGCGGTTACCCGCAGTTACGGGTCATCCAAAAATGTTTTTAATGATATTCGGGTCGCGGTCGGTCGGGTCGTTTGAAAAAAGATGCCAATTAAACATTTGTATTAGTACTAGACACAATTTTTGATGAAATATACAGCCCTACACATTATTGGCTGAAAAACTGGCACGAAGATAACACACAAGCTCAGTCTAAACAGTTCTCGGTTCTATATTAGTGATTCGAGAACCGCTGTCCCTGTGCGTTCGGTAGTAGGCAGTATCTATGCGCAGTATCAGCTGCTCGTGCTCATCACTTCTCTCAACAGTGGCACCAACATGTCTCGGTTCAGTGAACTGTTAGAGTTACTGGAGTAAAATAGAATTGAGGATATTGATTTATTTCGATTCGGAGGCGACTGTCAGGCATGTCTGAAAGTAAGTAACTAACTTGTGGATCAGCACTGACGCAAGACGCGAACTGTTTCGAACGATTCAGTTCGATTTAGTGTAGGTTTGACCGGTTCACTAAAAAGAACCGGTTCAAAAGAACGATTCGTTCACGAACCGGCCATGTCTATGATCACTACAGTCTGCAGAGAGATGGAGGCGGCAAGAGAAAAGGTGAAGACTGGGGAGTGGAAGCTCCGCAAATACACAAATAGAAAGAGTAAAAGTGTGGGAGACATTTGCTGAAATAATGAAAGATGATGACCAAAGTGCTGGCTTTGCCTTTGTTATGTGTAGGCCACGCCTACGTCTTCTTGCGATGCTGTGTTGTTACACGTCTATGGCCCAATAACGCTGCGATGAGCATTTACTACTTTTAAAAAATGCGGTCAGGAAGCGGGTCGGGTACAATATTTTTTTACTTTTTTTTGCGGTCCGAGTTGCGGGCGGGTAGTTGAAAACGTCGGTCGGTTGCGGTTTGTTTATACATTGACCCGCGCATCACTGACTGGTACCAGTAATACCAGTACATTTGACAGCCCTAGGGCCAGATTTACTAACGGTACATTTTTGCACATCATCAGTAGATCACGAGTTGCGCTCTCATGCTAATCTGCCCTGTTTAGTAAATCTGGCCCCTAGAATCTGAATATTGCGTGTTTGTTTGCAGTGTAGCATCTCTTCATGTGTGTGGACAGGTTACAGGTGACAGCCGCTCTGATATCCCGATACCCCTGTATACTGCCGGCGGACGAGCTCGTGCCTCTGCTGGGTCTGCTCTGCCAGCTTCAGGGCGAGCAGCAGCGCCGGGGCGAGAGGGTCCTGTACGTCCTGCGCTGCCTGAGGGAGCTCTGCCACGCCACGGCCTCAGCCAACGCCTCGGCTCACACGGCGGAGCTGGCCCGACTGTGGGCCAGGGTTTGGGCTCTCGCTCTGCGCGGAGTCGGCTCAGTCCAGACCGGCACTTTGAGTCTGGAACTGCTGCGCACAACAGTGCAGGAATCCCTGGAGCCCGTCGATCGAGAGTTCTGGAAAGTCTTCGCTGGGGCTGTTTGCAAGCCTTCTCTGTGAGTCTTCAGCATTACAAGCTTAGCTGGAGTGTAACAGTATTGGAGTTCCTTATTCAATGATTTTTTTAAAGTTAAATGCAACTTAAATCAGTTATGCGTAAAATAATTTGCACTCATCTCTCAGTTTGTAAAATAATTTACAGTAATATGCTGATGTATGATTGTGATTTTTTTATGTAATATGTATCTAATGTTTCAAAACTCTCAGTAACGCTCTCTTATTATTGTTCCTCCTTAGCGTTGGGGCCCTCTGCTTGGCCCAGGCCCTGTTGAAGTGCTCCGTGCCCAAGAGCGTTCACAGTCATGACGTCATCGGTGGAGTGCTGATGGAGACGGGTGGGGAGCCGCCCACCCTGAGAGACTCCATCATCAGCTGGCTGGTCATGAACGAACACAACGAGGAGACGGAGGAGAACTGCAGACCTCACCTCATCATCACCAGGTCCAGCATATCACCAGTTAGCAAAGTGTAGTTGCCAGTTCTGCACGGGAAAGCACCACTCTGGTTTCCTTCAAAAATGTAGTTTAGTGATTAGTCATTTTATTCAATTTCTCGAATTCTGTTGGGAAGCCGATACATTTCACCTCTGAATTTCAACTGAAGTTGCTACTAATGTACTGTAAATATTGGTAGCCTTCTGAATAAAATGTTTTGTCTTTGTAGGGATTTTCCATTGAACCTCATTCCTAGAATTCTAGTGTCGTTGACATTGAAAGACAGCAGGGCTGGACTAACGTTTCTGATGGGCAGCCTGAAGCCGGAGAGGTGAGTGTAACAATAGTGGCTAACATACTACTCATACTTTTGTTGTAGTACGTGTACTGTACATAGTATGCAGATTTTATGTGAACATGAAGTACTCAGATCAGTAAATATTTGCACATTTTTGGGGGGTATATTTAAGTCAAGTCAAGTCACATTTATTTATATAGCGCTTTTCACAATACAGATTGTATCAAAGCAGCTTCACAGTGATAACATGCAAGTAGCACAACACAGATCAACAACATTGCTAAACACTAAATAAATAACCCCAACTGAGCAAGCTCAAAGCAAGCCAAAAGCAAGGCGACAGTGGCAAGGAACCAAACTCCATCAGATTGGATGGAGAAAAAACCTTGGGAGAACCCAGGCTCAGTCGGGGGCCAGTTCTCCTCTGGCTTACATTCATATTGTTTAAATATAAATATTAAATATAAATATTGTTTATGTATAAAACGGCGCCATAACATATCGCAGGCGTTGAGTCGTCTCATCACAGGCGTTGAGTCGTCTCATCACAGGCGTTGGGGCATCCGAAATCCCCGTGAGAGGCTGGACACAAAACTGGACCTGACGAACGCCATTTTTCTCGGGACAAGCGTCCCGAGATAACAGCAGAAAGGCAGATGGGAAATAATTAGCATAGCTGATGTTCATAATAATTTCCGTTATAACTCACAAACTCTCTATATTTAGGGTTGGAAATCAAAAATTGATTCCAATTCTGGAATACTTGAGGTTAGGAATCGAATTCTTGTGGTCAGGAATCGAATACTTGAGGTCGGGAGTTGAATACTTGAGGTCAGCGGTCGAATACTTGAGGTCGGGAATCGAATACTTGAGGTCGGGGGTCGAATACTTGAAGTCGGGGGTCAAATAATTGAGGTCGGGAATCGAATACTTGTGGTCAGGAATCGAATACTTGAGGTCAGGAATCAAATACTTGAGGTCGGCGGTCGAATACTTGAGGTCGGGAGTCGAATACTTGAGGTCAGGGGTCGAATACTTGAGGTCAGCAATCGAATACTTGAGGTTGGCGGTCGAATACTTGTGGTCAGGGGTCAAATACTTGAGGTCAGGAGTCGAATACTTGAGGTTGGGATCGAATACTAGAGGTCAGGAATCGAATACTTGAGGTCGGGCGTTGAATACTTGATGTCAGGAATCGAATACTTGTGGTCAGGGATCGAATACTTGAGTTCGGGAGTTGAATACTTGAGGTCAGGGGTCGAATACTTGAGGTCGGCGGTCGAATACTAGAGGTCAGGAATCGAATACTTGAGGTTAGGAGTCGAATACTTGAGGTCGGGGGTTGAATACTTGAGGTCAGGAATCGAAAACTAGAGGTCAGGAATCTAATACTTGAGGTCAGGAATCGAATACTAGAGGTCAGGAATCGAATACTTGAGGTTAAAAGTCGAATACTTGAGGTCGGGGGTCGAATACTAGAGGTCAGGAATCGAATACTTGAGGTCAGGGGTCGAATACTTGAGGTCAGGAATCGAATACTTGAGGTCGGGGGTCGAATACTTGAGGTCAGGAATCGAATACTTGAGGTCGGGGGTCGAATACTAGAGGTCAGGAATCGAATACTTGAGGTCGGGAGTCGAATACTTGAGGTCGGGGATCGAATACCTAGAGGTCAGGAATCAAATACTTGAGGTCGGGGGTCGAATACTTGAGGTTAGGAGTCGAATACTTGAGGTCAGGATCGAATACTAGAGGTCAGGAATCGAATACTTGAGGTCAGGAATCGAATACTTGAGGTCAGGAGTCGAATACTTAAGGTCAGGAATCGAAAACTTGAGGTCAGGGGTCAAACTTGAGGTCAGGGGTCGAATACTTGAGGTCAGGAATCGAATACTTGAGGTCGGGGGTCGAATACTTGAGGTCGGGGGTCGAATACTTGAGATCAGGTATCGAATACTTGAGGTCGGAGTCGAATACTTGAGGTCAGGAATCGAAAACTTGAGGTCAAGGGTCGAATACTTGAGGTCAGGAATCGAATACTTGAGGTCGGGGGTCGAATACTAGAGGTCAGGAATCGAATACTTGAGGTCGGGAGTCGAATACTTGAGGTCGGGGATCGAATACCTAGAGGTCAGGAATCGAATACTTGAGGTTAGGAGTCGAATACTTGAGGTCGGGGGTTGAATACTTGAGGTCAGGAATCAAATACTTGAGGTTAGGAATCGAATACTTGCGCTTGACAGGGCGCATAACAGGGAGAGAGAGAGAGAGCGCGCACACTCTCACGTCTTCAAACAACATGAGCGGTGTCTTGCTCTCTCTCCCTCGTGCATATTAATCAAAATCAATTAACACGAGGTCGGAAAAGGTCGGAAGACCGCAGTTTCACGTGGAGCATTTGGAGATTTTTAGAGATTAGAGACTCTAGGCCTACACTCATGAACAACATCTCAACACTAAATTAAAAAGGCCTGTCTCATATAGATCTCAAATACAAGCCGGTGCAGTTTGACGATTTGGGAAAATAAAAGCCTGGGCTATTATTTGAAGTTTTATGGTAATTAATGGTTATGCCTGATTTTTTGTCTTTGTGTCCTACAGTTTCTCTCCCCTGAGTTCTTCCCTCACTGAGGCGAAAGACACTTTGGCAGAGGTTGAAAGTCTCTTCCTGCAGTTCAGTTTTGATGACACCCCTCCCAGCACTAAAGTTACAGCTGACAGAGACGGTGTTTACTCAGAGAAACCACAGTTCACTGTTATTCAAGCTCTCAGAACCAAACTAGAGCTCAGTCTCCTGTCTGTCGCCGAGCAGCTCTTCAACTGCTACTCTCCTGATGTAAGTGTAGTAGACTTTATTACAGGTGAAACTTGAAAAAATTATAATATCGTGCAAAAGTTAATTTATTTCAGTAATTCAACTTAAAAGGTGAAACTAATATATTGTATACATATAGACATGCACAGTGAGACATTTAAAGCCTTTATTTGTTATAATTTTGATGATTATGGCTTACAGCTGTGAAAACCTTTTCACAATATTCTAATTTTGACTTTGGGGCTTACACTGTAATCCATAATCATCAAAATTATAACAAATAAAGGCTTGAAATATCTCACTTTGCATGTAATGTGTCTCCTTATATATTAGTTTCACCTTTTAAGTTAAATTACTGAAATAAATTAACTTTTGCACGATATTATAATTTTCAAGTTTCGCCTGCATAGAATTTGAATGTCAAAAGCAATGTAAATTGGGTAGCATGTTGACAACATTATTTTTTTTTTTTAAACACTGCTATACTGTACTCACCTAAAGGATTATTAAGAACACCTGTTCAATTTCTCATTAATGCAATTATCTAGTCAACCAATCACATGACAGTTGCTTCAGTGCATTTAGGGGTGTGGTCCTGGTCAAGACAATCTCCTGAACTCCAAACTGAATGTCAGAATGGGAATGAAAGGGGATTTAAGCAATTTTGAGCGTGTCATGGTTGTTGGTGCCAGACGGGCCGCTCTGAGTATTTCACAATCTGCTCAGTTACTGGGATTTTCACACACAACCATTTCTAGGGTTTACAAAGAATGGTGTGAAAAGGAAAAAACGTCCAGTTTGCGGCAGTCCTGTGGGCGAAAATGCCTTGTTGATGCTAGAGGTCAGAGGAGAATGGGCCGACTGATTCAAGCTGATAGAAGAGCAACTTTGACTGAAATAACCACTCGTTACAACCGAGGTATGCAGCAAAGCATTTGTGAAGCCACAACACGCACAACCTTGAGGCGGATGGGCTACAACACCAGAAGACCCCACCGGGTACCACTCATCTGCACTACAAATAGGAAAAAGAGGCTACAATTTGCAAGAGCTCACCAAAATTGGACAGTTGAAGACTAGAAAAATGTTGCCTGGTCTGATGAGTCTCGATTTCTGTTGAGACATTCAGATGGTAGAGTCAGAATTTGGCGTAAACAGAAGGAGAACATGGATCCATCATGCCTTGTTACCACTGTGCAGGCTGGTGGTGGTGGTGTAATGGTGTGGGGGATTTTTCTTGGCACACTTTAGGCCCCTTAGTGCCAATTGGGCTGCGTTTAAAAGCCACGGTCTACCTGAGCATTGTTTCTGACCATATCCATCCCTTTATGCCCACCATGTCCCCATCCTCTGATGGCTACTTCCAGCAGGATAATGCACCATGTCACAAAGCTCGAATCATCTCAAATTGGTTTCTTGAACATGACAATGAGTTGACTGTACTAAAATGGCCTCCACAGTCACCAGATCTCAACCCAATAGAGCATCTTTGAGATGTGGTAGAATGGGAGCTTCGTGTCCTGGATGTGCATCCCACAAATCTCCATCAACTGCAAGATGCTATCCTATCAATATGGGCCAACATTTCTAAAGAATGCTTTCAGCACCTTGTTGAATCAATGCCACGTAGAATTAAGGCAGTTCTGAAGGTGAAAGGGGGTCATACACAGTATTAGTATGGTGTTCCTAATAATCCTTTAGGTGAGTGTATAATAGACACATTTTGCTAAACAAATGGTAAAACTGAGGGCTGAAACTAACCGATAAACATTTGATTCACACTATGTAAAGAATGAGCTCTTTATTGCAGTTAGATCTGATCTCTAGTGTCTTCATTCATCTCCCCCGACTCTCTCCACAGAGTTCAAACACTCCTCACGAGTGTGTGCTGCGCTGTGCTTCGCTGCTCACTGGAGTTCTTGCTGCGTACGTGTGTATGGGACTCCTCACAGAAGAAGAGGCCTGTCGCTCGCCCCTCTTCCTAAAAGCCAAGGTGGGGTTTTCCATCCATGGACATCCGTTTATTTTCATCAATATGGTTTGAAATGAAATCCTGTAGTTCTGATTCTGATTTCAGAAGGAACTCCAACCCTTGAAATCAAATCAACCAAACATCTCACAATGTGTTTAACTTGGATTGAACGTAAAATCGACCGAAATTAAGTCACAATCTCGAACTTCTGGCAAGTTATTTTGCTTAAGTTTCCAATCGACTAAAGATATAATATATTACATTATATTATAAGCACTTTATGTTGCTAATAAATGTTTAAAATTTTACAATGTAGTGTGGTACATTGTGAGCAAGGGTCATATATTATATTGCATAAAAGTCTAAAAATGGCTTAGCAACCTGTGCTTTGAAAACAATAAATGTAAAAATAGAGAATCAAATCGAACCGTGACATTAGAATCGAAAATTAAATCGAATCGAAGATTTGGAGAATCGTGACACCCCTACTCCGGATATCTAGTAGCATAATCAAAGATCACAATGCTATTGGTAACTCGCACTACTCTTCACCAAGTGGAGTTCCAATAATAGGCAGAGGTTGCTAATAACTTCTGTCAGGTGCTACCCTTTGACATTCAAAACAATTTTTACAGTATTCTTGCACATCTTGATGCATTCTTGGCCAATAAAATCGTTGACTAACCTGCTCGTATATCAATATGTTGACATGATAAATCAGATTTGCCATTAAAACATTCTGCAAGTGATCTGTGACGTCACACAATATCTTTGCATACGACTGCCTCCAGAGCAAGACATCGACGCATACTCATACATCATCACACCATAGGCCCCGCCCACTGGCGCTCACTCTTTCAACGGCTGACATTTGGCCTACACTAAGTATGAGCGTCACGTCTAAAGCAAACAGAATCCATTATAATCAGTGACGCTGTCTACACTGGATACAGTTTACAGATGTGTGTTCAGATTCTGATGTATCCACACACTCAAGTCTGTCGACAACAGGACAAATGAAGAGTTAAAAAATGCTTTGACACAGCCTGTTCAAACAGCTCATTTTATTTGAATGGCTTCCCAGATCGTGTCTGAAGTTTGACTGGAGATTGTTTTGTAAATGAGGCACAGTGCAATGAGAGTTTGCAAAGAAATTTTTAGGGGCTTTCGCACTGGATAGTTAAAGGGTTAGTTCACCCAAAAATGAAAATTAGGTCATTAATTACTCACCCCCATGCTGTACCAACCCCGTAAGACCTTCGTTCATCTTCGGAACACAAATAAAGATATTTTTGATTGAATCTGAGAGCTGGATCACTCTTCCATTGGCTTCCTAAGGGACTGGCTATTGACGGCCCATAAAGTCATTAAAGAAAAGGTTTAAATATTCCATGTGCCTACAGCGGCTCAATTATACGTTTATCAAGCGACGAGACTACTTTTTGTGCGAAAAAAACATAAATAACGACTTAATTCGACTATTCCATTACTTCCTTGTGGGCGCATGCGCGAGAACTGAGACGAGGACGTTCTCATTCGTCTACTTCTTGTTACCGGCTGCTCACCGCTTAGGAGTTTTACCGCCCCCTACCGTATAAGATGATGTGCTGATATAGCTGGAAGCGCAAAACTTTCTGTTTACAAGCAGAGGAAGATGCGCGCTGTACATACGCTTTTCAATTAGCGTATTTTCCGCACTATAAGGTGCACTTAAAAGCCTTTAATCTTCTCAAAAAACGACAGTGTTCCTTATAATCCGGAGCGCCTTATATATGGATCATCATTTTATACGGTAGGTGGCGGTGATACTCCTAAGCGGTGAGCAGCCGGTAACAAAAAGTAGACGAATGAGAACGTCCTCGTCTCAGTTCTCGAAACTTTAAAGTCTCCCTGTAGTCAATAATTGTGTCCCTTAAAACTCATCTTTGATCACCAAAATTACATATTTAAAAGTTTTTTTCCTCTTCATACCTTAAAATATCTCGAATGTAACTCTACACCCTTGCCTCATTTAATATCACGGTTCTGTGAATATGCATATTGACTTAATTTAAAAGATATACATAAATGGTAATAAATATATACAATCCATTTAAATGGATAGTTCACCCAAAAATTAAAATGCTGTCGTCATCATCCTCAAGTTGTTCTAAACCTGTATGAATCTCTCTCTTCTGCTGAACATAAAAGAAAATATTTTGAAAAATGTTGGTTACCGGAAAGTTAATGGGCCCCAATGACTTCCATATTATGGAAAAAATATATACTGTGAAAGTCGAACCCATTAACTGTTTGGTTTCTGACATTCTTCATAATAGTTTCTTTTGTGTTCAGCAGAAGAAAGATGCCATTAAACGAACATTTTAAATATCAAATATCTAAAATACTGTATTTCTGTTGAATCCACAATGATTTGGAGCTTCAATTGAACATTTATGATTACAAATTATTGGTGCAAAAAGATATCTTTGTATTTTTTTCTACCATCGACAGCCCTAATTATTTTATTTAAAATGCATATAAATAACTCATTACTCCTGGTAATTAAGTACTTTTTCCTTCCTTTGTAGGCATTGGTTCAGGAATTTAGTCATTACATATCAGCGGCAAAGAGCAGATTGGCTGAGAACGACACCATCACATCAATTCAGTCAGTGATGCTGTTGTGCTCTGATAATATTAGTAGAAGAGAAAAGGTAAGCCACAGTATATCACCAAATACAAGGTATGACTGTTAAGTATGTTGTTATTCAATATTTATAGCTTTGTATTTTACAAATACTATAAAAAATACGTTTTTAAAAATATATTTTCAGGTCAATCAAAAATTGCAATGTTTCTTAAAGGGACTCTGTGTAGATTTTTAGGTATTTTATTATCTGAAATCAATATTTTTATTCATAAATATGTCCTCAATTGTGTACAAATACCTCTGCAAATTATCTGACTTATCCTCGTAAATGAAGAATTTATTATCTTTATGTACATGGGACGGGTAGGTTCACGGAGGCTTCCATGTCCGTTCCGCCATCTTGAAAACTATAATAGCAGAGAGGGTCAAAAAGTACCACCAGCCAAACGCGTTTCCACAACGCGTTTTCGTTCAGACTCAGAGCCATCGTCACGTCACATTGAGAGGCGCATTCCCTGCAAGTTTAAACGGCTGCATTGCACTCCTATGATTGCTGATTGCTCTTTTGCTCTATTATTTGTTGCGGACCATATGCCGAGTCACAGGAGAATGCATCCTCCTCGCAAAAAAAGGCCAGACTTGAACGAAAAAGGAAACGTGACCGGAGATTGCAAAAAACAAGGCCATTAATTTTTCCGTCATAAAATTAATCGGATATGGTTCGATTTTCTGCGTTTTTCGCACCCAGAGCCAGCATTTTGAGAGGTCTTTTGACAATTCAGGGCCGGGGGAGCTCGTCCTCAAATCATTGAACGTTATGCGCCGTGCTTTCAGTTTCGGTTTTCAATTCGATCAAGTGTTTATGTTCTCTCTTCTCTATAGCTATTGGATTATGAAATTAATAAACCTCCCCTTTCAATCAGATTGAAATTTAGGATCGAATAAGGTGTGATTGAGCAGCCTATTCGATAACTAATGTATTATTTGGGCACAATATACACAATACACAATAACAGCCTAGCTGTTCTGTCTGCCCAGCGCTTCCACAGGGCCGCGCGCGGGTGTGTGTGTGTTTGTGTGTGTCCATACCTGGTCCATACCAGACACACTGCCAGTCTCCGTTCAGAATCGATTGGTTCACGGAAATTGGTGGTCTTGTTTTTAATATGTGGCTCCAGAATCGCTAGCAAAGCATCAAACTGTCCCGCTGACATTCTGAGGTAAATTTTGAATCGCTCAGGATAATTCCTCTCGGCGCAATTTCAGGATTGGATGGATATTTTCTATTTCTTCTCTTTTCAATATGAGAGAGGGCAAAAATCATCCTCACTGCTTGACGAATCCATTTGGTATTTTTGCGTTTTTTCCCGCAAAGGTTTAATAAATACGCAACGGACTCGGTGTGCAAGGTTTCTATGCGTGACGAATTTTTAGGCTGACGTACAGGAAAATACGCATACGAAAATTTCGTACTCAGCGTGCAATGGCCTTAAATATCGGGATAGCGTTTTCAACCGTGGAAATAGCTAATGCAGCAGAAAGATTTCAGAAGAGACGCTGAAGTTGCCTGCTTTCTCCTCGACAGGTTAGTCAATGTTAAAGTCTGACTTAATTTTTTTGTCATTGCTTGCTTGTGTACTTTATTATATAGACAGTATAACATTTATAGGTAAAAAAGTTAAACAAGGTCTTTGATGAATAGCAGCTATTGACTACTTTACTCGCAGCTATTGTGAAGGAAGGTGCTAAAAACAAGGTTTGTAAGTTAATTCTTTATAACCTATAAATTCGGTAAGAATATAGAGATAATGATTGTAAGAAAATATTGCTCTCTGTAAGATTTTCTATAGCTTTCTTTTTATATATAAATGATCAATTAGCTAAAATTGTGATTTTGCTATGTGGATAAGATTGTACAGAGAATTAAAATTAATTTATACAGCTAGACACATAAATTATACACATAAGTTAACACATAAGTTGCTGTTTTTTTTTTAAGTTACAAACCTGTTCACCCGGAGAAAAACTCGATGAAGTGTTACTACAAGACATCCTGTCATAGCATTTTTGGTACATAACGGCAACCGTAGATGCAATACGCACTTGAAAATGCGAGGCGCTGGAGAGCAAAATTCGTTTGAATGCAAAATACTATTTAACCACTAGATGGGGGTATTTCCTACACAGAGTCCCTTTAAAGCAACACTAACTAAGATTTTTTTACCTTAAAAAAAGTTTCCAAAATCGTTTCAGTGGTTCATTAAGGCTAAACAGGGTGAAAGGCACTTCTGGATTCGGTATATCTGCTATAACCACGCTATGTAAGATCGCATTTCTGTAGTTCTAATGAGATATAAGAAAACTACAAATTTGACTTGCTTTACGTCAAGCGTTACAATAGTCATTATTTAGTTGTTCTTCGTTTCTGATGTTGCAATAAATCATACTTTCATGTCTGTGGACATCGTTCATTCCAAAGCCGGCGCTGGATAAACAATGATTGTGTGTGTGTGTCTGCGCTAGGCTAAATTATTTACGACAGCGGTGATGAACAATTCCTCTTCCAACCTGTAGGGCAACCACAGAGGAAAAGTTACTTGGTGTTGCTTTAAAGGGATAGTCCACCCAAAAATGTAAATTCTGTCATCTTTTTATTCACCCTAAAGTTTTTCCATCCAAACCTGGTTGAAATTTATTCTTCTGCAGAAAATAACAAAAGAAAAGATTGGAAACTGAACATTTGAGCCCATTAACTAACTAACTAAAAAAAAAAAACCTGACAAAGATTTTATTTTTTTGTTGGGCTATCTCTTCAAAGGTCATTTCACTTATGCATTTGTCACAAGATTTGATCTAAAGTGCCTTATGTTGCAAATGCGTTCTCTGGGAATCAAAAATCATCGCCGGTGCCAGTGCCATGCTCTGTTGTTTGAGTTATGGGATGGCACAGTGAATATACATATTTATTTGCTCCAAAATATGTAATTGACTCTTGTGTAAAACAAGCCAAATTGTTCTTTCAAGTCAGTTCTTTTCAGTTTTGGTCAAACAGGTTCATACGTCTAAATGATGCACTTTTAAAAATCCTTATCCAGTAACCTCAAAATGACTCCACTGATTTTATATATTTTTTTCTAGGATGACAAAGTGTCTACCATATCTCGCATTTTATTCATGAAGACTTTGCCTGTGAGGTTGCTGAATGACCTGTGTGACATATCTAAGCAACTGGTGAGACTTACTGACACTTCATTACAGATGTCCATGTCTTCTGAATGAGTACAGGAAGGTTTTAACATTTTTGAAAACACAGAAATTATATGTTTTACCTTATTATTTATGTTTTTTTCAGTTAGAGGTGATAGTGAGTTTTCACAACCAACCGTCTAGGTGTGTGTGATATGATAAGTTTGTTCATAAATAAATAGATAAATAAATTCAGAACAGCGTGCTAATGAGGCCGGTGTGTATACTGCTAAACGTGATGTAAAAGTATTTATAGAGAGCCTAAGTCCCTCCCCTCTGTTTCCGGCAAGATCCGCTGCTCGTGTGTGTGCAGTCTGGTACAAAACACTCAGGCATGACGGCGTAACGTTACGATTATTACAAAAAATGACAGATGTTAGCTTCAATAAAGTTAGCTTCATTCATTTAGAGAAAATGTGCACCTTTGGGGTTTGTAGTTTTTGTAATTACGTATTTTCACAGTCTTATACCTCAACAGTTTTACATCAAACTGCGACTTGCTTATTTGTTATCTCTCGCCATTGACTACCATATAATATTTTTCGGAAATAAGGTCCCATGGTGGTTGACCGGAAGGGGAGTGACTTAAGACCTGTTCACACTGGGACGAATGTCGGAACGTTATTCGCTGACGTTTAACGCCTCGTGACTAAACAAAGGGCGCCAATGTAAGTGTGCAATACCACGCGTAAAAGCGGCATTTTAAAAAAAAAAACGCCTTGGGTTGGTTTTTTTAGTTTGACACGCTGCGTCCAAAACTATCCGACCAATGAGATTGGCGGTTTTGCTCACGTGTTTGGAGTTTCTGAAGTTACAGTAAAACACAATTTGGGGGCGCTCAAACACAAAACTGTCTTGCCGAGAAGATATACACCAAGTAGCGTCGCTTGGGTGTTAACACAAAAAACGCGTTGAAAAACGCTGACGAATAACGTGCGGTGATATTCGTCCCGGTGTGTACGGGCCTTTAGGCTCTCTATTCCATGGTCTGGGTGAATATTCGGTTCTGATTGGCTGCAGGGTATCCATTAAAAAGTGATAGAGGACACCTAGTAAAGGAGTTCTGATGAAACTGACTGTTTATCGTTCCAAATTAATAAATAAATGCGCTGGCTACATCAGCTGTGAGTAACCATAGCAACAGGCAGTCAAAGTATCCGTTTACAATTTATTGTATCAAAACAAACATCTAGTTAGCCGTTATACATAGCCTACTAATACAACAATGAGCGACTTCGTTATTTCTTTTACCCTTTTTGGAGAATTTGACAACTTTGATGACTGCGATGCTGCTGAAGAAAGAAAAAATGTAAATAAAATGAAGAAATGAACAAATCCGGTTGCTAAATAAACCGTCAGGCGTAACCAGGGAAACCAAGTTATTGTTTGTAAAAAGTTTAGAATTCGATTGTAAAACTAATTAAAATATGAACTAATGTTTTAAAAATGTGTCATTTGGCAAGTGACCATGATATAAGCGGGTTAATGCCCGTCCATTTTCTATGAATGAATGGACTTCGGTGGAGGCAACCGTCAGATGCACACGCCTCGCCGTCGTCCAATAATACCTGACAATGGACACCTCGTCGGGCATTAACCCTTACGTAGCGTCGCACAGTATGTTGGGACGGAGGCGCCAGAACTGATCGCACTGTTGCACAATACTGCGATTTCTCTTCAATGGCAGATCGTGGAGACATTTTAAAGTTTCACAGTCTAAATCATCTCACACACCCATGCAAACTCCTGTTATTGATCTTTTCCAGAAGATGACACTCATCTAAAGTGCACCTTTTACTTTTGCAGTTGAGCAGCTCGAGTAAAAAGGACCACGCAGTCATGGAGAACGACCCGATGGATGAAGATGTGGATGTGAGCAGAAACCAAACGGACAATCAGGAGGAGATTGATCTGTTTGAAGATGGAGACGGGACGCGCCACAGCACTTCCAGACCCTGCCAGTCCAATGACGAAGCTTGTGACTCAAATTTCAGCACAGGTGCTCAAGCGAGACTGGAGAGCTCAAGATAATCGGGGATGGGATTTCATATTTCGCTGCTGTTAAGATCACGTTATTGATTTTTTTTTTCTTTCTTAATTTTCGATCATAGGGACCAATAGTGCATTATCTGAGGAGCATTTATCTAGGCAAGACTTGGCCTTCTTGTCTGTGCTTGGATTCCTGTCGCTCTGTGGATCCTCAGAGCTCAACGGTGGATTCTCCTTCAAACCCCTGGACACTCAACGCAAACTGCTCAAACTACTGGACCTCACAGACTTTTCTCAGATTCTTCACCTCCACATGGTGATTATGATTTCATAATGTATTTACTTCATAGACTGTATTAAACAATTGACGTAGTGTCTGTGACGTCAACTGTAGGTTTTTGGAGAGCATTTTTGAAGCCCAAAGTGGACGGAGCTGGTTGTCGCCATTTTGGTCACACGCCACTCCCTGGTAACCAAAAATGGGCAAAGAGTCGGGATTAGCTGAGGTGACATGACGCAGACAGCAGACAAACTGCTAGTAGTGACATCAGCGGCAATTCATCTGTCACTCAAGTGGCCACGCTGTTAATTATGCAGAACTTTAAGGCTCAATATAATTTAAATTGTTGAGTTATAAAAAAAAATCACCCCCCTCACATTTGTCATGAATGGCAAAATTAGCTATATAGATTTATTAGCTTTATATATATTACATATATAAATTTATAAATATCAATTTTTATAAATAAATTATATAAATATTTAAATATTTATATTTAAATATAAATTTATATATATATATATATATATATATATATATATATATAAAGGTGGGCATATTAACATGGGCGGTCTATGGGATTTTGCAGCCTTTCTCTAGCGACCAGTCTCTGAATTGCTGTTTAAGTCACTCCCGTTTTGGATTAAAGAAACACACCGGAAGGTTGCCGCTTGACTGACTCTTATATAATTGAAACATTGAATTATGTTAAAGACATCTAGGAAAGTAGCCTCTTGTAGACAAACCTTCAGACTGACTACAGAAGGTCTTGGACTCCATCGCAGCTTTCATTGGCCAAAGACCGTCCAGAGGCGGACTGACTGACATATGACGCAACCAATCACAGTTTGTTTTGTTTCACGTTATGTTCAGGGGCGCGGAAATGACTTTGAAACTCCTGAAGTGTTTCCCACTTATTCTGAGGTTGAGACTACATGTAGATGAAATCTGATACTAGCACATCTTGTGTCTAATGCGAGTCTTTTTCATCCAATACTTGTACAGTATCTTTCCCTGCTGAAGAAACTCCCAGCTGAAGTCTCATCTCTGGATCCTGAAGAGTTCGATACTCTTCTCAGGCCTCTGGCGTAAGGATTCCTCCACTTCCCTTATGTTCTGTTCAACATCTTATATTTGGTGCATTAAAGTTCATTTTAATAAATGATCGAACAAGTAATATCTAAATTCTTTTAAAGTGTATTTGAAAATGTGAAATTGAAGCTAACTACAGTAACCAGAGTTTTTGAAAGAAGCTTCTTATTCTCACAAGTCTGCATTCATTTGATCAACATTAAATAAATACAGTAATATTGTGAAATATTAAAAAAAATGTGAAATGAAGTTTTATTGGTGCTCAATTATTACTAATGGTTCTTATTATCAATGTTGAAAACCGTTTTAAAAGATTTTGTGGAAACTAGAGCATTATTTCCCCATGATTCTCTGATGAGAGAAAATTCAATCAACAGCATTTTATTTGAAGGAGAATTCTCGGTTACACTTTACAATAAGGTTTCTTTTGCAAACATTAGTTAAAGGGATACTCCACTTTTTTTGGAAATAGGCTCATTTTACCACTCCCCCAGAGTTAACAGTTGAGTTTCACCGTTTTCGAATCCATTCAGCCGATTTTCTGATATTTAGAAGAATATCAGTAACCAGACAGTTTCTGGTCTCATTGACTTCCATAGTAGGAAAAAAATATACTATGGAAGTCAATGAGACCAGAAACTGTCTGGTTACTGATATTCTTCTAAATATCAGAAAATCGGCTGAATGGATTCGAAAACGGTGAAACTCAACTGTTAACTCTGGGGGAGTGGTAAAATGAGCCTATTTCCAAAAAAAGTGGAGTATCCCTTTAAGTACTTTAATTAACGTGAACTAATAATGAACTTCTACAGCATTTATTAATCTTAGTTAATTTCAGCATTTACTAATACATGCACTTAACTAACATAAACAATGAATGACTGCATTTTTATAAACTCACTTTAACAAATATTAATAAATACAGTAACACATGCATTGCTCATTGTTAGTTCATATTAGTTAATACATTAACTAATGTAAACAAATAAGACCTTATTATAAAGCTTTACCAATATCTTGTGTAACAGTATAAATGTCTTTACTGTCACTTTTGATCAATTTATTGCATCTTTGTTGTATAAAAGTATTAATCACTCTCTTTTAAAAAAAAAAAGTTTAGTGTATCATGATTTCACAAATATATTAAGCAGCAAAAATTGCTTTCAACAATGATTTTTTTTGAGCACCAAATCAGCATATTAGTGTATTTATTAGTGTATTATTTACAGATATTTCTGGATCACGATCACGTGACTCTAAATACTGGAGTAATGATGCTGAAAATTCAGATTTGCAATCACAGGAGTAAATTACATTTTAAAATGTGTTAAAAAAGAAAACAGTTCTTTTAAATTGTAATATTATTTGACAATATGACTGTTCTTACCGTTTTGATTTTGATCAATTAAATGCATCCATGCTTTTTTAACTTGAATTATTCCAAACTTCAGCCTGTAGTGTATTCCACTCACAATCTTTTTCTAATTCCCTTTGGGTGTTTTGATGCAGAGATGTTTGTTCTCTGTATCGGCAAGACCAGGAGGTGTGTGCTGCCGTCCTGTGCTCTCTCCTGCCCTCCATCCGCTGTCTGGGCCGAGCGCCCGCCGCGAGCGAGCAGGACGACGAGCTGGCACACATCAAAGGAGCGCTGCTCCAAGTCGTGTCTGGGTTCTGGTGAGCACCTTTTTCTTCTGAAGTGTAGGAACTCAGAAGCGAAGACCAGGAGACTCGGTTGTATCTTTTTAAGCATGATTCTTTATTGCTGTTGCATCTCTGTAGTCTGCTTCGTCCAAAAATCTTAGCCAAGTCTAAGGCCTTGTGTTCATATACGTTACAAGGGGGAGGAGTTACATAGAGGTATAGACACTCTCAAACAAAGCATAGGATTGCCTGACTTGCTCAAACCTTTACATTATCATAGATACAAAGGATGGGAGTCTCAGTAATCTGACTTATTTAACTTACAATATATGTGTTGGGAAAAGGGAGAAGAGAGTTCGGCAAAAGGCGGATTCAAAGTCGCGTCGAGGGCATCAAAAGCTCTTTCACGCGCTTCGCGCTCTATGACCTACGCCACTTTAGCTATGAGGTGACGAGCGTCTTTTTAAATAAAAGACAGGCACTTAATGCAAACATACGCTCCGTTTTATCAAACCGGCCCTCGCAGCCTCGAAACACTACCAGCCCACCGGTGAAACTCCCGACTCTCTCGATTGCCACTCCACCCCTGGTGCCCAGGGCCCCTTAGATGTCGTGGGCCCCTGGGCAAGAGCCCAGTTGCCCTAATGGTTAATCCGGCCCTGGCATCAATAGCCTGGTTAAAACCAGACTGAGTTATGGCCTGGAAAAGCATAATAGACAAATCATTTTCAGAGGGGCGTCACCAACGGACATTGCGGATAGACCTAAAACCAATCAGAGCGATGACGAGATGACGGATTAAATGTGCATTTTTTGAATTTAGGGCTCTTCCATCCAGCGTTTTATGTGATATCCCAAAATGCACATTAAAATCAGGTGGATGGTAACATAGGTAGTGATGCAAACTTCAAATATGACAAGTTCAAATTCAGCTGTAGCAAGATAATAGTGTCGTTATTCAGTGATGATTCAGTTCAGTGATGATTCAGTTCAGCTCAGTTTAGTGATGATTCAGTTCAGTGATGATTCATTTCAGTGATGATTCAGTTCAGTGATGATTCAGTTCAGCTCAGTTCAGTGATGATTCAGTTCAGCTCAGTTCAGTGATGATTCAGTTCAGTGATGATTCAGTTCAGCTCAGTTCAGTGATGATTCAGTTCAGTGATGATTCAGTTCAGGTCAGTTCAGTGATGATTCAGTTCAGCTCAGTTCAGTGATGATTCAGTTCAGCTCAGTTTAGTGATGATTCAGTTCAGTGATGATTCAGTTCAGCTCAGTTCAGTGATGATTCAGTTCAGTGATTATTCAGTTCAGCTCAGTTCAGTGATGAATCAGTTCAGTGATGATTCAGTTCACTTCAATAACTGTAACGTTCATTCATAATGAAACTAGTTCAATTTAGCTACTGAAGACAATAATATTGTTATTCAGCTCAATTCAGTTCATGTTTTGTTCTTATCCGATAGTATCAGTGAAGTTAAATCATTAATATAATATACAAACAAAAATGTACCATGGTAGTACAATGGTTTATGGTACTGAAGGTCTTACTCCAAGGTCCTTTGAGTAAGATTCGAATATCATGATACTTGAATATGGAATCATTTAGACTGTGTCTAAAAGCATTTTTGTTTATTTTTCAGTTGATACAGAATATCGGAGGAAGTGTTACTAGTTTCTGATTTCGCAGATAGTTTGAATGTTGATACAATGTCAAATATTTGCTCTGGCTCTTGTTTTAAATGATTTTATTCTGTTGCTGTGCGTGTTGTTGCTGTCTGTTGTCGTTGATTGTGTGGTATTTGTCCCACCCCTCCTCTACTGTGATTGGACGGCTGGGTAAAGAGTGACCGTGATGAAGAAAAAACAGCAAGCGGTCAGCGCTTGGTCCTGTGGCTGCCAGTTTTAAATACACGGCACTCCCATTGGGAACAATTGAAAAAAATACGCTGGTCTTAGGAAAAAGAAAAACGTTTTAGTGGACAGACGGCATGTTTACATAATATATATATATATATTAGGGCTGTGCAAAAATTAATTGCGATTAATCGCATCCAAAATAAAAGTCTGTGTTAACATAATATATTTGTGTGTGCTGTATATAATTATTTTGTATATATAAATACACACACATGCATGTATATATTTAAGAAAATGTGTTATTCATATATAAAATATTTATATTTATATAATATAGATTATGTATTTATATATATATATACAGAATTTAAGCGAAAATAATTCTTAAATATATACATGCATGCATAGGTATTTATATATACAAAATAATTATATACAGCACACACAAATATATTATGTAAACACAGACTTTTATTTTGGATGCGATTAATCGCAATTAATTTTTGCACAGCCCTAATATATATATATATATATATATATATATATATATATATATATATACAGTATATAGACCATTTCACAAGATGTAAACAACACTGGTCCAGAAGCACTTCCTGTTTCAGTTTGTAACCGTTTTCTTTATTTCACATGTAAAGAAAACATCTTAAAGATGTTTGTTTAACTTTTTGATTCAGTTTTAAATGTTCTGTTGGTTGTATTTTATCCCAGCTTTTATGTAGTGTTAAAAAACTGAAACAGGAAGTGCTTCTGGACCAGTGTTGTTTACATCTTGTGAAATGGTCTATATATATATATAAACCGTGATGTCATCGTCCAGCTCAGTTCAGTCCTCATCTAATGGTGTCAATGCAGACAGATCAATATTATTGTTAAAAACCGGTATACAAATTAAATAGTATTTCTGATTTTAAAATTGTTTTACTTTAATACATTTACTTCATTATATAACGGTAATTACTTAACTCTAAAAAAATACTTGTTTTGTTAAAAAGAAAAAGAAAAAGAAATGTAAGTTCAGATCAAATTTAAAAGAGATTCCTCTAGAGCTTCTTAAGTTTAAATCCACTCTTTTTGTACAGTATCTTAGGGAAATCCGGCAAATGCACCTCAGCTGTGAGAGTGGCACTAAGGCAGTGTTTACTGGCTTTGCTGGAGGTAAGTACAGTATGCTTTTGTATTCCAGGAAAATAGTACAGGGTACATTTAAGCAGTACTATTTTATAGGATAACAATCAGTTACATCATCTTTTGACTTTCAAGTCCGTGTAAACAGCGTTTTCCAAGAGAGGTTTGCATATGTAGCTTTACCTGTGCGTTTCCCCCCAGGTGGACCCTTGCTGTAAGTGGGCGACGCTGACGCTGAGGGACAAGGAGCTGCCCGTGTCCGCGGTCCTCTCGGCTCATTTAGCGGACCCACATCACCATGTGTGCATGTTGGCGGCACTGTCTGTGGAGAGGTGGGCTGAGCTCAACTACACGCTCTTCTGCTGGAACTGCTCTTCCATTAATCACATGAGCTTTTCAATTCTAGCTTGTTTCTTAAAAACGGACTGGAAGGCAAGATGATGCTTCCCATGAAGAACCAGCAGACGGCCTTTGAGAACATTTACCTCAGGGCTCAGGAAGGAATGAGCGGGCAGGTATATCTCGTTTACCTTCATCTGAACGTCTAAGGAAATAGTGTTAATATGCAGTCCTACACTGATTATGCTGACATGTCAAGGATGTAGTAAATGGTTTAAACAGTGCCACGCCATTTTTAAGTTACTCTCATTTCATTGTCCATTCTTGTCAGAGGGTATTATGTGCAGTTTGTGCACAGATCGGACTTCTGTGAGAATTTTGGGTGAAAAATCAAAATCCAGCAGTTTATACCAGAAATTAAAGACAAACGTATTTATGACTAGACACGCCTATTTTTGCCCTATTTTTATTTTTTCATCAGAAATATTTATTTTTTTATTTATTATTTATTTATTTCAAGCAAGATAGTGTGACAACAGAAAAGATAGACAGTAATAATAACTTTTAACACTTACGCTTGAAATGGAGTGGGAAGAAGTAAAGCTTATTAAACCCCACCCCAGTCTATTAAAGATTTTACACAACAACAAAAAAATAGCTGCTTCCTTCATCAATAATCTCAAAGAGAAAATAATAATAATAATACTAAAAATAATAATACCTCAAAACCAAACAACTAGTACCATACATATTAATAATTTACCGATATTTCCACAGGTATCATTTCACAAATATCATTTTTTAAATGTTGTTCAAATTAATTTGCTATGAATTTTTATTTTTTTAGTTACTCGTTGCCCATTGCATCAATGATTTTTGATGCATAAAGAAGTTAAATCAAAAGACTTTAGATATTAAAATATGTTCTCAGAACTAACGGCAAAACTCACGGTACGCTGTGCTTGATCTTTACCTGATTATAGGTCATTTATGGCATAACCAATACAATTAATTATTGAAACGACTAACTTTTCAGTAGCTGATATCAATACCAGTGAGTTTTTCATGATTCGTAAGTCCTATATTCTATTGAACATACTACTTTATTTAAAAAAAAATACATATTAAATAAACTAAATAAATTGTGTGGAGTTAAGTACAGTGGGGCCAAAAAGTATTTAGTCAGCCACTGATTGTGCAAGTTCTCCTACTTCATCATAGGTACACTTCAACTATGAGAGACAAAATGAGAAGAAAAAAAATCCAGGAAATCACATTGTCGGATTTTTAAAGAATTTATTTGTAAAGTATGGTGGAAAATAAGTATTTGATCACCCACAAACCAGCAAGATTTCTGGCTCTCACAGACCTGTAACTTCTTTTTTAAGAAGCTCTTCTGTCCTCCACTCGTTTCATGTTGTATTATTGGCAACTGTTTTAACCCTTTATCTGTATAAAAGACACCTGTCCACAGCCTAAAACAGTCACACTCTAAACTCGAAGGACACCAGGAAGAAAATTGTAGACCTGCACCAGACCAGGCTGGGAAGAGTTAATCTACAATAGGCAAGCACCTTGGTGTGAAACGCAAGATCTCATCCCGTGGGGTCAAAATTATCATGAGAAAGGTGAGCAAAAATCCCAGAACTACACGGAGGGACCTGATGAATGACCTGCAGAGAGCTGGGACCAAAGTAACACACTACACCGAGAGGGACTCTAATCCTGCAGTGCCAGGCGTGTCTCCCTGCTTAAGCCAGTACATGTCCAGGCCCGTCTGAAGTTTGCCAGAGAGCATATGGATGATCCAGAAGAGGATTGGGAGAATATCATGTGGTCAGATGAAACCAAAATAGAACTTTTTGGTAAAAACTCAACCCGTCGTGTTTGGAGGAAGAAGAATGCAGAGTTGCATCCCAAGAACACCATACCTACTGTGAAGCATGGGGGAGGAAACATGCTTTGGGGCTGTTTTTCTGCAAAGGGGAGAGGAAAACTGATCCGTGTTGAGGGAAGAATGAACAAGGCCATGTATCGTGAGATTTTAAGCCAAAACCTCCTTCCATCAGAGCCTTGACGATGAAACGTGGCTGGATCTTCCAGCATGACAATGACCCCAAACACACCACCCGGGCAACGAAGGAGTGGCTCCGTAAAAAGCATTTCAAGGTCCAGGAGTGGCCTAGCCAGTCTCCAGACCTCAACCCCATAGAAAATGTGTGTTGCCCAGCGACACATCACTGTTCTAGAGGAGATCTGCATGGAGAAATGGGCCAAAATACCAGCGACAGTGTGTGCAAAACTGGTGAAGACTTACAGGAAACGTTTGACCTCTGTCATTGCCAACAAAGGTTATGTTACCAAGTATTGAGTTGAACTTTTGTTATTGACTAAATACTTATTATCCACCATAATTTACAAATAAATTCTTTACAAATCCTACAATGTGATTTCCTGGATTTTTTATTTTATTTTCATTTTGTCTCTCATAGTTGAAGTGTACCTATGAAGAAAATTACAGACCTCTCTCATCATTATAAGTAGGAAAACTTAGCACAATCATTGGCTGACTAAATACTTTTGGCTCCACTGTACATAGTCAGTTATGAAATATAGAGCACAAATTACAAACAGTTGAACAAAACACAACAACAATAGAATCATGCAAAACGATTTTAAGTGAATACGTTTGTAAATGCAAAAAAAAAAAAACACCCAATCAAATTTGAAACTAAAACATGTTAATTTAGTTGTGGTATTAACTTAGTTTGAATAGACCTCTAATTCTTTAACGTTTGATCTTTACCTGATTATAGGTCATTTACGACATAATTAATCCAATAAAAAGTCTCAAATTTGTCTAGTGAGATTCAAGATTCTTATATCCTATTGAACACACTGCTTTTTTTTAAATTACAGATTAAATAAACAAAATGAATTGTGTAGATGTATAAATGTTGAATTAAAACAATGCAATCAATTATTAACAAGTAATTATTTAATTAAATAAAGAGCACAAATTACAAAAAAAAATATAGCTACAAAGTGAACAAGTTTGTAGTTTTTGCTCAGAAATATATCTATACATTTTTTCTTTAGTTTTCGTATTGACTTGGTTTGACATCCTAAGAATAGACTTCTAATTCTTTAATGCTGTTGTTGTGCAGAAGAGCTGTCCGTCAGAAGACTTGCCCGACGAGACGTTTAATCGACGGGCCACCCTGCTGAAGAGTGTGTCTATGGTGATGTCCTGCAGCCCCGTGTGCGAGAAGCAAGCCTTGTTTGCTCTCTTCCAGTCCTACAAGGAGAACAGCATTGATGACCAGCTCATCAATAAGGTAAAGATATTCAACACTGAACACTGTCCAAATGTTCCTTTGCACCCTCCATTAAAAGGCTTTTCTGTGGTGACTCTGCAGGTGCTGAGAGGCGTGTCCCGGTCGCTCGGGTACAGGGACTCCAAGAGTTTAATCCAATCACACCTATATTACCTAGTGGCTGAGTGGCTGAACCAGAAACAGTCGGACTCGAGGTACACGCTGCAGTCCTTCCCCTTCACACTGCTGGGCTTCTGCAGTCTGGACGAGTTTTACAGGTGTGTGTGCTCCCGACGTCTTCTTTACTTGGCCGAATCTCACAAAAACAAGCAGCCCGAATCTAAATAAATCATATTTTGCATACATGGTATCAGAAGGCTATTTTAACATTATTTATTTTCATGGCAATTGAGCATATGTACGAAAAGAGTGAGTGGAAAACTCACTCACTCTTTGGTGCGTCTGTATCTTCAATGTCCTCGGGCAGCTTTAACTGCATCAATAGTGTAATACTTAGTGATTAATCAGAATATACGTAGTCACTTAAAGGAGTAGTTCACTTTAAAAAAAAACTTTTGCTGATAATTTACTCACCCCCATGTCATCCAAGATGTCCACGTCTTTCTTTCTTCAGTCGAAAAGAAATTAAGGTTTTCGATGAAAACATTCCAGGATTTTCTCCATATAATGGACTTTATTGGGAACCAAACGGTTCAAGGTCCAAATGAGTTTCAGTGCTGCTTTAAACGACACCAGACGATGAATAAGGGTCTTATCTAGGACCCTTCGAGTCATGACTCGAAAAAAGATTTGTTCATTTTGATGAACGAGTCATAACAGGAGAGTCACGAACGCGCATCACAGAACAGAGCAAGGCGAGCGTTTGTGCTTATAAAACTTAAAAAATTTTATTTATTTTTTAAATGACCGATCGTTTATAGATAAGGTCGTAGATAAGACCCTTATTCATCGTCTGGTGTCGTTTAAAGGCCTTTAAAGCTGCACTGAAACTCTCATTTGGACCTTGAACCGTTTGGTTCCCAATGAAGTCCATTATATGGAGAAAATCCTGGAATGTTTTCATCAAAAACCTTAATTTCTTTTCGACTGAAGAAAGAAAGACGTGGACATCTTGGATGACATGGGGGTGAGTAAATTATCAGCAAGTTTTTTTTTTAAGTGAACTACTCCTTTAAATAGTCAGCATTCATTTAGTTATTCAAACATAAAACGCCATAGAAATACGCGTCCCTCAGTGTTCCTTCTCAGCAATCATAAACACACTGTAAATTAAAGATTTATTGTGCACTTTAGTTCGATTTATTGAGCAAAATGGTAGTTTTCATGACAGCTTCTGTGATTATAAAGGGACTGCTTGCTTTCTGTGTAATTCATTCACAGTTTGAAGAAAAGGTTTTGTTTTTCCTACATGCATATTTCACTACAAAAAATATTTTTAAACCTAGGGATTTAATTTTTTTTCAAAAGCAAAGAAAATATTACAGGTAATGGCTTATATGAGCCAATAAATGCTCATCTGCCACCATCTACTGGCTATAATGGTAATTAATATCTTTTTTATTTAAAAATAACAGTATTTTCTATCAAATGTTGGATTTCCTACATCTTAAAGTGTTCGGTTTTACAAATGGGGATAATCTCAGAAGGATGAACAAATAGTGTTTTTGGTCATCACATAAAAAAACTTACATGTGAAGTGCTGGAAAAATGTTGTGTGTGTGTGTGTGTGCATGTCCAAATGCAGACGTATTCTGAATTTGTTTTTTATTCTGTATTTATTCTGTGACTGTTTCTTATTCCAGTATTTCCATTAGCTTTTAGTCTTTATTGCAATCAATATAACTGGTTTATTGGCAAATTAGGTAAGTTTGATAACTGCATTAAAATGTAAATCAACATTGATGATTATGTGTCGATTGTACAGATTGTATCAAAACCAGGAAGTTAACCGTGCATATGGTCAATTAATTATCATTTTCAATTTTTCATTGCAAAAATATACATTATAGTAGAAAATTCTCAGTATCTGAACACATTCAGATGTTTTTCGCCCGCGTTCTTCTATAAATATGCTGCATTGTACTCTGATTATACTGTAACTATGTTTTATAATTTCAGGTCATCCTACCATGTGCTGATCCCGCACCTGGTCTTCCTGAATGACTTTGAGGAGGTGAAATCCATTGGGAATCACTTGGCTCAAGACTGGAAGCAGCTGCTGGCTAACTGCTTCCCCAAGATCATGGTGAACATCCTGCCTCACTTCGCCCTCGCTGGGCAAGACACCCATGTGGCCCTGCAGAGAGAGAAAGCTCACAGGGTGTACGACATTCTGAAGGACAGCAACTTCCTGGGAAAACAGGTGAGGGCACAGTTGTGTTTTCAACTGATATTTAGTACATTACTAATCTACACTTAAAGGAGTAGTTCACTTTTGAAAAAAACTTTTGCTGATAATTTACTCACCCCCATGTCATCCAAGATGTCCACGTCTTTCTTTCCTCAGTCGAAAATAAATTAAGGTTTTTGATGAAAACATTCCAGGATTTTTCTGCATATAATGGACTTCAATGGGAACCAGACAGTCCAAGGTCCAAAAGATAGTGTTAATAACAGTTTCAGATGCAGCTTCAAATGTCTTTAAACGACACCAGACGATGAATAAGGGTCTTATCATGCGAAACGATCGGTTATTTCAAAACTTATTCCAAAAATGTAACTTTTCTAAGGACAAATGCTAGCCTTGCTCTATTCTGTGAGGCGCGTTTGTAACGTCACGTAATACGTAATTACGTTCAAAAGGTCACGGGCGACGTAGCCGGAAGTACAGAATCAAAATCGTCCGACATCGTTGTTTTACCTTTTAATTCCTTTTTTTTGTAAACGGCGTTTGAGTTAGTTTTCACGTTCAACCTATGCGTTCAACTTGTAAACACTCTGACTCTGTACTTCCGGCACCTTTTGAACGTAATTACGTATTACGTGACGTTACAAACGCGTCTCACAGAATAGAGCAAGGCTAGCATTTGTCCTTAGAAAAGTTACATTTTTGGAATACGTTTTGAAATAACCGATCGTTTCGCATGATAAGACCCTTATTCATCGTCTGGTGTCGTTTAAAGACATTTGAAGCTGCATCTGAAACTGTTATTAACTGTCTTTTGGACCTCGGACCGTCTGGTTCCCATTGAAGTCCATTATATGGAGAAAAATCCTGGAATGTTTTCATCAAAAACCTTAATTTCTTTTCGACTGAGGAAAGAAAGACATGGACATCTTGGATGACATGGGGGTGAGTAATTTATCAGCAAAAGTTTTTTCAAAAGTGAACTACTCCTTTAAACTGTACAGTATATTTCTGTAGATGCAGTTGAAGTTGGTACACCGCTGAAGAAGTATTTATATACACAGTTTTCTTTTTCCTTCAGCAAATTGACAGTTTGATTTGCAACAACCTGGCTGACATTGTGGTGGAGCTGTTAATGACGCTGCATGAGACCGCAGGAGGAGCGTCTGCGGATGGTGGAGACCTACAGAAATTTACTGGGTATATTTATTTCTTATCGTGCCCCCTTACGGATCATTAAAATGATTATAGCATGAGGAATCAATATTCATTGTTTATCTGAGATAAAAGAGAGTTGATACACAATGAAAACTTTCTCACTTAGTAAAAATAGCCGTTTCCATCCATTTTTTTTTAATTCAGAAAAAAAAAACTCTGGAGGGAAACGGCAAGATGCACATACATTTAAAAAAAAAGTGCATAAAAACATATGCGCTCAAATGCTCATCCAGCATTGACAAATTCACTGAATTTATCATATTATTACCACCTTATATGAATCATAAGAAATGTTTTACAGTCCAGTTACCCATGTAAATACCATGTACTTATTTTAATAACTACAATTACTGGGTAATAACTAGTACTAACCCTAAACCTACCCCTAAACCATGTACTTACCTTATATTAGCCAGTACTTTCTAGGTAAGTACACTGTAAGTGCTGTACTGTAAAAGGAAGCGTTACCGAAATGTTGCTTTTTTGTATTTAGAGAGTTGGATCCTGCGCCAAACCCGCCATTCTTCAGCTCATATGTGATCAAAGCCACGCTGGACTACCTGAGCAAATGCCACAGTGCCAACCACAAGTCTCTAGTCTCCATCCTGTCAAAGACTCCCGTGAGCCTCACACTCGAACTTCCATGTTCACATTTCCCCCGAGCTACCGTATAAATGTGCATTGGTGCCTGTTTGTTTCAGATGTCCATTCAGAGGATTCTCATAGCGATCTGTCAGAAGGCTGCTGAGACCACTAATGCCTACGAGCGGCACCGTATACTGATGATGTACCACCTGTTTGTGAGCCTGCTGCTCAGGGAGGTGAAGGACGGGCTGGGCGGAGCGTGGGCGTTTGTGCTGCGGGACATCATCTATACGCTTATTCACCACATCAACAGCAGGTCTGCTCACACACACATTACGGCTGTTTTAGGGCCTCATCACAAACTCGACGCAATTCAGCGCCAGACACGACGCAAGTGTGTTTTTCTAATTTCAGTCATCATTTTCACTTTTCAATCAAGAGTCAACCATTTGTTCCTTCGGTTAGTTCACCCAAAAATGAAAATTAAGTCATTAATTACTCACCCCCGTGCTGTTTCAACCCTGTTCGTCTTCGGAACACAAATAAAGATATTTTTGATTGAATCTGAGAGCTGGATCAGTCCTATATAGACTGCCTAAGGGACTGGCTCTTGACGGCCCATAAAGTCATTAAAGAAAAGGTTTAAATATTCCATGTGCCTACAGCGGCTCAATTATAAGTTTATCAAGCGACGAGACTACTTTTTGTGCGAAAAAAACATAAATAACGACTTTATTCCACTATTCCATTACTTCCTTATGGGCGCATGCGCGAGAACTGAGATGAGGACGTTCTCATTCGTCTACTTCTTGTTACCGGCTGCTCCGCTTAGGAGTATCACCGCCACCTACCGTATAAGATGATGTGCTGATATAGCTGGAAGCGCAAAACTTTCTGTTTACAAGCAGAGGAAGATGCGCGCTGTACATACGCTTTTCAATTAGCGTATTTTCCGCACTACAAGGTGCACTTAAAAGCCTTTAATCTTCTCAAAAAACGACAGTGTTCCTTATAATCCGGAGCGCCTTATATATGGATCATCATTTTATACGGTAGGTGGGGGTAAAACTCCTAAGCGGAGCAGCCGGTAACAAGAAGTAGACGAATGAGAACGTCCTCGTCTCAGTTCTCGCGCATGCGCCCATAAGGAAGTAATAGAATAGTCGAATAAAGTCGTTATTTATGTTTTTTTCCGCACAAAAAGTAGTCTCGTCGCTTGATAAACTTATAATTGAGCCGCTGTAGGCACATGGAATATTTAAACCTTTTCTTTAATGACTTTATGGGCCGTCAAGAGGCAGTCCCTTAGGCATTCTATGTAGGACTGATCCAGCTCTCAGATTAAATCAAAAATATCTTTATTTGTGTTCCGAAGATGAACGAAGGTCTTACGGGGTTGGTACAGCATGGGGGTGAGTAATTAATGACTTAATTTTCATTTTTGGGTGAACTCACCCTTTAAACAAGCAAAAGTGTATTCGGAGTCGCCCTGAGTACACTTGTGCCTTTCGCTTTGGAATAGGGTCCTTTGGGTTGTTAGCTAGATGACAAATGAATAGTTAGCTGTCATTAGTGGGAGACAGGTTGAGAAAGAGTGGCTGATTTTGCTCTTGTGTTCTGCTGCAGATCATGTCCTCAGGATGAAGTGTCCTCTCGCAGTTTGTCCCTGTGCTGTGAGCTGCTGTCGCTGGTCTGTCAGACGGCTGTTGAATACTGTGATGATGCTCTGGAGAGTCACCTGCAGGTCATAGTGGCCACCCTCACAGCACAGGTCACCGAAAGGTCTGCCATATCTCAGCAGGTGAGAGAGAACAGAGAGAGTGTTAAGTCACAAACTAGTGCAGAGGTTTTCAACTAGGGGGCTTCAGCAAACGCCCAAGGGGCCTCAAGATGACCTAAAATGATTCAAAATAAGTTTTAAGGTAAAACAATATCTGAAAAAAATATATTCAGCTCTTCAAACTTCTACAAATTTGAAATTGTATTCTTTTAATTTTTATTATAAGTAAATTGAAAAATAAAAAGTGTTTTAAAACAGCAGATGTACCACAGGAAACCTATTACCATAAAAAACATCATCTAACTTTCAAATAAAGGGATAATTCACCCAAAATGAAAATTCAGTCATCATTTGCTCACCCTCAAGTTGTTCCAAACCTGTATGAGTTGCTTTCTTCTGGCCACAAAAGTGTATGAATTTTTAAGCGATAACACAAAAAAATCTAAAATATCAAGGATTTTTAAAATGATTATTGACAAGTCAAGGAAATTTTAATAGTTTTAATAGAAAATATACATTGTTCAAATTAAAAAAATGTAAAAATTTAAAAAATTATTTGTTGTAATTTTTAAATATTTACACCGCCATAATGTCTACAAAATGTGTTTAACAATCCCTTTTCAGAAATCATGAAATCCAACGACTAGAAAAGAAGTCATTTGGAAATATCTAAATATATTTGGAAATTAATAACTGAAATGGAAATGGAAGTTCAAATGCAGGTTTTAAGTCACTGTTAAGTTTCTGTTAAAGGACAACTCCGGCGCAAAATGAACCTTTGGTCTAATTACACATTGTTACCTATTCAACCGTTATCTGAGATTTGTTTTCATGATTGCCGAATGTAAATAGTTTTATCTCTAAAAACAGTTTAGCCTATAACGCTAGTATAATGCTAGTATATAGGGCATAGAGTAATGACAAATAAAAATCGCTTGTTATTACCACTAACACGGCTCAAAATAGCCCCACACCAACACGACAGCATAACAAGGGTCCCTACATTCAAACCGAAGCATTGAGAACTTTGTCAGTGTCCATACAGTTTAATAAGAAGATATTTTATACACACAGTCAACTTCGCGAATACAGGAAGAAGCCATCTTTGAAAAATAGTCTCTACCAGTTGATCTACGAACGCCGATCCAAGTGCGCTGGTGAGATGTGAATAAGGTGATAAGGTGATCGCGAACAGTAGTCTACGTGTACATATTGAAGAGAAGAAAACGGTTCGTGTTTGTGTTTCTTCCTGAAACAACGGACCATATGAGATTCTGCACAGTTCACCGCACTTGGATCGGCGTTCGTAGATCGACTGGTAGAGACTATTTTTCAAAGATGGCTTCATCCTGTATTCGCGAAGTTGACTGTGTGTATAAAATATCTTCTTATTAAACTGTTTGGACACTGACAAAGTTCTCAATGCTTCGGTTTGAATGTAGGGACCCTTGTTATGCTACCGTGTTAGTGCGGGGCTATTTTGAGCCTTGTTAGTGGTAATAACAAGCGATTTTTATTTGTCATTACTCTATGCCCTATATAGCATTATACTAGCGTTATAGGCTAAACTGTTTTTAGAGATAAAAATATTTACATTCGGCAATCGTGAAAACAAATCACGGATAACGGTTGACTAGGTAACAATGTGTAATTAGACCAAAGGTTCATTTTGCGCCGGAGTTGTCCTTTAAGAGGCGTGACACAAGAGGTTGATGCAAAACTGAATTACAGTACTGATTTAAAGCACATTAAAGTCAATTACGACGTTAACAGTGTTCACTAACAAAATAATATGATGCGATGCGAAAAGTGTGATGCATGATTCGATTGATTATTCATTAAATGACATGTTGTACATGCGACTGCTTTTAGGTCCTCCGCCTGCTAAGGTTCCTGGTAATAGAAAACCCAGAGAACAGCATGTTGAGAAAGTCCATTCCCCTGTTGGAGCCTTTCCCGGACCGACCGGACTTCAGAGAGCTCCGAGCCGCCCAACATGCCCTCAAATACAGCTCTGGCGCCTTCACTCTCAGACAGGTCAACATCTGCTCTTTTTCAGAAATGCTGCATAGACCCACATTATTTAACTTTAAAGGTGCAGTAAGTGATTTCTGAGAAATGCTGTTGAAAGAGGATTGGGCCGAGCAGCAAAACACACTTGTAGCCAATCAGCAACTGGGGGTGTGTCCACTCATGACGGGTGAGGAAAATGAGCCAATCAGCAGCAGGGGGTGTCCACTCATGATGGGGAAGGTGGGGGGAGAATGAGCCAATCAGCAGCAGGGGGCGTGTCCACTTGAAGGGGAAGCGGAAGGAGATGTATAGATGTAGAGAGATTGAAGAATGACTGTAGAAAGAGAGATGGCTGAGAGACATTACAAAAGAGAAAAGGTCAGAGGAATATCACTGGGAAAACAACGGTTATCTGATGAGCATGAGCTTTAGGACTCTGGATGTACCGATACAATTTTCGCAGAACCGATCCGATACCAAAACATCTGAGTATCGACCCATACCGATACGATACCAGCGTAGTTTTTTTTTTTTAATCAAGTTGAATTTCTATAACTCTGTGTGTTGAACTGATAATCACTCTTAAAATCTAGTGTATAGACAACTACAGACAACTTCATTATGCGTAGAGTATTATACAGTATCTATCTATAAATAGTTTAATGAGCCTTGAACAGTTTTAAATTTCAGTTACTGTGCACATGAAGAACAGTTACTCTCTACTCCAGTGTTGTGATCTTACAGACAACCGGGAGAAAGTAAGTTAACATGATTAAGGTACAGCAATAAAGTGCAGCAAGATAACGTCATTTTATGTGAAAACCATAGACATTTATCAACAGATAAGTGTAATAGTAACGTTGAATCATCTTGGAGAGAGTTTCCTCTTGTTGACTGTCGTATTCGAACGTGACGCGCCGTTTGATGCTGAATGGAGAATGACTGACAGCCGCAGCGGTGGGAAGAGTTACGTGATCTTGAATTTAATGACTTAAAGGTAGAGCCCGACCGATAAAGGATTTTGAAGGCCGATACCGATACAAATATTTTTGGGTTTTAAAATCCGATATTCCGATATATCGGCCGATATTTTATTTGTTTATTTATTTTTTTAAACTGGACATGATAGTCACAAATTTTGTCATGCTTATTTGAGTTAAGTGAACTGATGGGGATGTTCTTTTACTTGTTATTCAAGCAATGTATGTATCGTGACCAACTCAACGAGTGTTGCCAACAGAGACGGTGTAGAGTGCCCTCTGGTGGACAAACTATACAACTCCAACACTCATGACATGGTTCAAGCGTGTTTTGTCCGTTTTTATTTTATTTTTGAAAGATTCATTTATCGGCCATTATAACTGCCGATACCGATAGTTTGGAAAATGCCTAATATCGGCCGATAATATCGGTCTGGCTCTACTTAAAGGAGTAGTTCACTTTTAAAAAAAACTTTTGCTGATAATTTTTTTTTGATGAAGGTTTTTGATGAAATCATTCCAGGATTTTCTCCATATAATGGACTTTACTGGTAACAAACGGTTCAAGGTCGAAAAGACACTTTCAGTGCAAACTGTTCAAAGGGCTTTAAATGACTCCAGACGATGAATAAGGGTCTTATCAAGCGAAATGATCGCACCATTTAATAAATAAATAACAAAGTTTAAGTTTTATAAGCTCAAATGGTCGCCTTGCTCTGTTCTGTGATGCGTGTTCATGTCTCTCCTGTTCAAACTCGTTCATCAAAATGAACAAATCTTTTTTTCGTATCATTTGGTTCATTCAATGTATGAAATGAACAAATTGACTCGGAAAAAGATTTGAGTTCGAACAGGAGAGTCACACACGCGCATCACAGAACAGAGGCGAACTTTTGATCTTATAAAACTTAAACTTTGTTATTTATTCATTAAATGAGCGATCGTTTTGCTTGATAAGACCCTTATTCATTGTCTGGAATCATTTAAACCCCTTTGAACATTTTGCAGTTTGTACTGAAACTGTCTTTTGGACCTTGAATCGTTTGGTTCCCATTGAAGTGCATTATATTGAGAAAAATCCTGGAATGTTTTCATCAAAAACCTTAATTTTTTTCGACTGAAGAATTAAAGACATGGATATCTTGGATGACATGGGGGTGAGTAAATTATCAGCAAAAGTTTTTTTTTTGTTTTTAATATTCTTTTCTTTAAATATTAATTTCTATCTCACATTATACTAGAGAATGTCTCCAGAACACCTACAATATTTTTCATATTTTGCTTTCCTTCAGCTATGATAATGAGACATCTACTCTGCATGTGTGTGCACTGAAGGCAAGGGTGCGTTTGTTTGGGTTGATTTCAAATGTCAACAGTGTCTCTCAGAAATTGCTTACTGCACCTTTAACATGTCTAAATATATCATGTTGTGTTGTGAAACTAAATTTAAACTGGAGAAGTTGATTTTGAATGAATTTGAAATGAAGTAATTCATAATTGGTCGATGCTCCTAATCACAGTTGATATGGCTTAACATTAACAATTTGTTCTTATTATGTAATTCTGCTCTTATTAAACATCGTTTTATGTGCCTGCTCCTTCGTTTTTTTCTGTCTGTCGCAGGAAATCGAGCATTTTCTCTCTGTGACGTCTTGCGATTCGTTGCCCCTGGCACGTTTGGAGGGATTGAAAAATTTGAAAAGGCAACTTCACAGCCACAAACAGCAGATAGGACAACTCTTGAAAGAATGCCATGGTCAGAATCCCATTTGTTATGCTACCGTCAGATAAAGGTGCCATAGCTTAGCGCTGTCTTAGTAATGCTCATGTTCATATCTGACATCTGTTTAGCCGATCCTGCCAGCTGTATTCTGGTTAAGCTGGTTCTAAACCTCCTTCAGCTCTGCAAAACCGCAGCTAACCACCCTGGTGGAGGAGACATCTTGAGTAAGTTGCCATACACATAAAGACCCCATTGAAATGACTTAACAGGTGCAGTTTGTTATTAAAATGTTGATGGATGTCCTGTTAAAGTTCGAGCTGGACTTATTGAACCATGAATTGTGATCATCAAAATATTTGTTGGAACCGTGATTTACTGTTGGTAGTCAGTGGCAGGGATTTTTATCATGTGCTCCTCAGAGGCTGTTGGTCGGTGCCTGGGAGAACTTGGGCCAGTTGACCTGTCATCCATTGCGTTGCATCATGGGAAAGACCAGCTGTATGCTAGAGCAGCCTATATGTTCCCAGATGTTCCTCTTCAGTGGATCTTCATCATCTTGAACTGCATGGACAATGCACTCACACATCACAGGTACTTCATTACTACTTCCATTAGCAGATCTTACACTTTCACTCGGGATGCACACGGTATATCGGAAACCATATCCGTATCGGACGATATATATTAATTTGTAATGTTATTGTAATCGGTTCGGTAAGAAAATGTGGCCGATAAATTAAAGCCGATAAATATTGGATTATTTCCTTTAGATGAACACTGTTTGCCATGATGGTTTTTAATTGCTTGAAATATGATTGGAATCACTAAAAAAAAACAAGGAAAATGCAGTTCAGTGCAAAATTATATTACGAGTATAAAATTATAACGAGAACATATACTTGTGTGCTTTGGACATGACTTTTGTTTTTGTAATCGGGCTCTCAAAAATTATATCAAATTTTGGATTTAGATTTATTGGCCAATAGATGGTTATCGGCTTTCAAATATAAAGAATTATCGTGTCGGATAACATTTTCATATCAGTGCATCCCTAACTTTCACACCGTTCTTGGATCAAATTCACACGAAACAATTTCTAGTATTTGCTTTCTAATAGTTTTTGTTTTGAATGTGCCTGCATCACTTACATCATAGTTCTCTGTCTGTTTTATTTCAGTATCACGGTGCGTCAGGCTGCTGGTGTGTGTTTAAAGGACATCTTGGCCACACAGTCTGGGCTTGATTTCGGAGAGATGTATAAAAGTAAAAGGGACCCTTTGCTGGCTTACCTAAACCCCTTCCGCTCTGCCAAGAGACGGGCAAGTGCCTCACATCTGCTTTTGTCTACATGAAATCCTTTTTATGGACCCTTGATTCCAACTGCACGCTGAATGTTTGTGAATTGATGAACCATTAAAGTACCTCTGTTATGCAACAAGTAACTTATTTTGTTATAAAGGTCTCATGCAATACATGCACCAAAGGTAAACAAATTACATTAAAAAACAGTTTAATTTTCTGATAATATACATTTCAGCATTGCCTCATCTGAAACCATTTTTCAAGTCAAATTCAGTCTCAATAAACCCTTCCTTTCCTCTGCTCTGATTGGTCAGATGACCCAGTCTGTTGTGATTGGTCTACTGTGCTCTGATTGGTCAGATGGTCTAGTCTGTTGTGATTGGCCTACTCTGCTCTGATTGGTCAGATGGCCTAGTCTGTTGTGATTGGCCTACTCTGCTCTGATTGGTCAGATGACCCAGTCTGTTGTGATTGGTCTACTGTGCTCTGATTGGTCAGATGGTCTAGTCTGTTGTGATTGGTCTACTCTGCTCTGATTGGTCAGATGTCCCAGTCTGTTGTGATTGGTCTACTCTGCTCTGATTGGTCAGATGGCCCAGTCTGTTGTGATTGGTCTACTCTGCTCTGATTGGTCAGATGACCCAGTCTGTTGTGATTGGTCCACTCTGCTATGATTGGTCAGATGACCCAGTCTGTTTTGATTGGTCTACTCTGCTCTGATTGGTCAGATGGCCCAGTCTGTTGTGATTGGTCTACTCCGCTCTGATTGGTCACATGGCCCAGTCTGTTGTGATTGGCCTACTCCGCTCTGATTGGTCAGATGACCCAGTCTGTTGTGATTGGTCTACTCCGCTCTGATTGGTTAGATGCCCAGTCTGTTGTGATTGGTCTACTCAGATCTGATTGGTCAGATTGTGTGAACACAGTCTGTTCTGATTGGTTTACTCTGCTTTGACTGGTTAGATGGCCCAGTCTGTTGTGATTGGTTGACCGCTTAAAGCTCATGTCGGAAATGAAACATGCATTATAATATTTAAATTTCAGCTCTGGATCTTCCCCTGCACTTGATACATGGTGATATGAACGCTTTTACCCTATCAATTCGAGCCCGATTCCTCATCCTTTGGAAGTGCGTGCAATGTGAATTTGTATTCACAGCTCATAAAACAGCGTCTTCACAACATGTCGTCAGCATGAATCAAACTCTTCCAGGCCTCCGCTACATCTGTAATGTTTGGGGTTCAAAGTGGACGTTGTTTGAGGGCCACCAACGAAGACCATAGACTGGCATTGTGCAAATTTGTTACAAATCCACATACGATCGTGCAGGAAGTGAGACGGGCTTTCCGGATGACTTGTTTCAGTCAGTTCAGAATCGGTTCTTTCTTTAAGGAGAAAATAATCTTTGAAACTTTTTACATTCACAAACAGCTATATTACACACGGCATGCAAGGTCATATCCGAAAAAACAACAACAAAAAAAGCAAAAAATGATAATAGAGGTACTTTAATAAACAAATGATTGAATATATATTTCCATAAATAAACGTTTAAATGACAACAAAAATAATACCTGTAGTGATACAAGTAGTAACCCATACTACGGTCCACACCTTATAGGACTTATCTGGTCTTTTGTACAGGAGCCCATCATGAGCATGGAAGTGAGCTCAGAGTCCAGAGACAGGCTGGACAGCTCTGACCTGTGGTTGGTGACACCTGGTGGACACAAGGACTGGTTGAAGAACCTGTGTATGGCCCTTTTAGACAGCGGAGGGGTCCGAAACGAAGCTCTGCTTCTCACCAGGCCTTTATGTGAGGTACACCGATGAAAAAGTTATTATTTTAGTGATCCCGTGTCATAATGCTTAAGTTATGATAATGTCTGATCCAAAAACAGACTTAAAGTAACTTCTTGATTGCTGTAGGTGAACACAGATTTTTGTCAGAGGATGCTGCCGCTCTTTGTTCATGATATTCTCCTGGGAGATGAGGATGGTTCCTGGAGGAAGCTGTTATCCACACACATCCAGAGTTTCTTCAGTCAGTACCGCAGACCCTCCTCCCCCACCAGCCGGCCCACCACCCCCATGCTCTCCGATTCAGGTGCAGAACCATGTTAGTCTTCATTAGGACAATAACAACTTCTCTATTCTTTACAAGTGAGCGTTTTGTCTGTTTTAACAGGGAGCACTATTGATGTCGCCAACCAGAGCCAGATAGACAAAACCTCACTCCGCAGCATGCTGGCAGTCATAGACTATCTCAGACAACAGGGCCGCCCAGTGGCGCCTGGGAGGTTGGAGAAATAATTTCTAAATTGTTCCAAATCTGTATGAGTTTCTTTCTTCTGCTGAACCAAAAGAAGTTATTTTGAAAAATGTTGATAACCAGACAGTTGATGAACTACTATACAGTCCCTCCAGAAAAACGCGATTATGCGATCGCTGAATTCAATGCAAAATCAGCCAAAGTCCGCATATTTATGCGGGGGGCCGCATTTTTTCAAATACGCCGCACTTTCGCCGCATAAATTGCCGATTTCCGTGCAAAATATACGGGGTTTGCATAATTTCATAATCCTCGCATTTTCGTTGCAAAAAAAGTCACTTGTATCTTAGCAGAAAGTTGAAAAATGTTGCGTTTGCTTCACACAAGAGCAGCCATTTCCCCCTGTTTCCATGGGAACGTTATGAAGTGACGCAATTATGCGACGCCAGACAGACTCACAGAGGCGATTGACATCTCACAAATCGAACTTGTATAACTGTCTGTCACACGTTCTACCGTCACATCGTTACTTAATAAACAACATAATATAAAAGAAGTAGCATCAAACAGAAATTACCGTTCAACAGTTCAACAGGGAGCGCGCAGCTCTTAAAGGGGCCACACCTTATTTACACTCGTTACAGTCTGAAATAAAACAAGATGAGTTCCCAGCACTTTCTATGATGTAGTATGCTTGCTTATCAAAGGAAGTAATAAGAAATGACTCTTACATTAGCCTAGTGAGAACAGGATGTTGGGGGAATCACTTTTTTTCTCTTTTTCATCAAACCGCAATTTTTGCAAGTTCCCTCAATTTTTGCAAATTCCTGCAATTTCATCGCATAAAATTGCATAAATATCCCGCATATTCCATCGCATTTTTAAAGAAAACGGGCCACGTAATCAATCAATTGTTGCCAGCAACAATCACAAAAAAAAAACTCAGCGTTTTTCTGGAAGGACTGAATACTATTATGGTAAATGTTATATATAAATCGCAAATTTTTTCACAAATTTTTGGAAATTACCACCACAAAATCAGTCATTTTGATCGCAAAAATCACAAAAAAAAAATCGTGAAATCCTGGTGGGACTGACTATAAGTCAGTGATGGTGTACAATGTACTATTTGCGTTTTTCATACTATGGAAGTCAATGGGGTCCAACAACTGTCTGGTTACAGACGTTCCTCACAATATCTTCCTTTGTATTCAACTGAAGAAAGAAAGTCATACCGGTTTGGAACAATGTTTCAGGCATGATGACTAAATGATGACACTTATATTTTCTAAGTGAACTGTTCATTTGAAGTACATTGTTACATTGTAAGGTGCAGTAATTGTGGTTTAAACTGTAACTTTTTTTTTTTTTTTTTTTTAAAGTAATGAATATGGGACAGTGTGTGACTCTAATTTCTGGCTGGATCTGAATTACCTGGAGGTGGCTGGAGCCGCCCAGGTGTGTTCGGCCCATTTCACCGCGCTCCTGTACTCTGAGATCTACGTGGACAAGATCAGGTCCGACATGGAGCAGAGCCGAAGGTGCTGCCGGTGACGCTCTGACTTGCTTTTTCACGGTTTCTGTAATCACGACCACAGTGTTTTACACTCTAGACTCATTCGTGTAGTGACCAGTGGCATGTGTTTGTCTCAGCTCGCAGTCTCGAGTGTCGAGACGGATCGCGTTTGATGAGAGCAGCCAAACTCTGTCCATCAGCAGTGTGAATGAGAAGAGTTTAGAAGACTCTGGCATCAGTCTCCAGGTGGGTGATGATGGGTACCAGAGAAGTGATTTCATCACTGCGCTTCAATGGCTACGTTTACGTGAAACTGTTGTTTCAATCGGACTGAATTCATTCCGATTGATGAATCCGAAACAAGGCCGTTGTCCTGCTCCACTTCACAGACTCTGAGTGAATGGAGGATTATAGCATGAGGGGACACGCATTAATATGACTCTTTATTCAACATGAACAGCGCGTCAACACGATTACTAACGGACAGAGGCGGACAGAGTACACAGCTTTATTACTTGAGTAAAAGTACAGATACCCCTTGCTAAATTTTACTCAAGTAAAAGTACTGAAGTACTTGTTTTAAAAGTACTTGAGTATCAAGAGTACATTTTCTAAATATTGCATCACTACTGTCCTTACATTTATGTACAGAAACGTCCTACATGGAGTTATGAAAAACGTTAATGTTAATACTAGGGCTGGGAAATAAATATCGATTTCTCGATATTAATCGATTCTCATTTTTACGAACCGATATCGATTCTTAAATCTCAAGAATCGATTAGTCATCCTGTTTCATTTGAATGAATGGGACATCGCAATAATCTTTGTCCTTTGTTACTATTGATATGAAACAAAGTCTCAATTTTCGAATTTCGTCCATTTTCTTTAGAAATTCAAAAACATAAATAGCGTTTTGGCGCTGTGGCGTGAGATCGCTCTGGCGCAGCTCAAGAGAAACAGCAGCGCTGATCTCTCTTCCGGCTTAATAATACCAGTCACAGCGCGAAATAAACATGAATGAGCATCTGAAAGTGAGTATAACTTATCGAAATCCATATCATGTCACATTGATTCGCTCAATCAGCGTTTCAACCGTGGAAAGACGTCAGTTAAACAGCTTGTAATCAGTGTATCGTCATATTTACCTCAGAAAACCCACATAAACTCATTAGTCCGCTAGAAAAAATAACTCTAGAGAGGAGTATTTTGCTAAATATATACACCATATTACATATGCATTATAATCTTAATGTTCTTCAATATTTAATGCATATTTGAATAAATCTGGCAAGTTTTTGACAGCCACCATTTAAATGTTTATATTATATTTTTACAATCTTCTTATTGTAAAAAAATAAATAAAAGTGTAATTTATGTATTTGTATAGCTACAAAACAGTTAATTATTACCTTAATTTTAGGCTAATGAAGCCTTGTGTACTACAACTAGACTCCCATAGTTTACAGCATTAGTTAAGAGATTTCCTTGAGAAAATGTGCCATTTATTGTAACTGATATCCAAAATAATCAATATTGAATTTTTGAATATTGAATTGCAAGCTTGTGAATCGAAATCGAATCGAATTGTGAAATTTGTGTCAATACCCAGCCCTAGTTAATACCTTGGAGAATGTAAAAGTATCATGTTGCTTTATTTAACATTTAAGAAAATTTCAGAAAATTGAAATAGTCTGGCGAGGTTGACCTGCTGTGTCTTCATCCATTATGGTTTCGTCTCTTATCTAAATCTGACCATTGATTTGATTTTGGCGGAAAGCTGATTGCTGATAGGCTGTGCCAATCAGTGGCACCTGCACAATCCAATCATGTTCGAGAGGGAAACAACAAATGGGTTTCAGAGAATTTTCCTTTTTTTTTTTTTTTTTTTACTATACTCGAGTAAAGTACAGATCCCTCAACTGTACTTAAGTACTGTACTCAAGAAAAATGTACTCCGTTAAGGCCGAAAGTCCGAAATTTTCGTATGCGTTTTTTTTCGTTTTCGTGATTCGGTGGCTCTGAATTGTTATAACACCATTCACACTCCATTCAAACTGCTACAGATGCGAAAAATGCAGAAAATCGAACCGGATTCGATTTTTTTTCTGACGGATGAAAGTTTCGGAGGCGGTGTGCAAGCGTGATTGACATGACGTGAGGTCGTATTTATATTTTAACGTGTGAAAAATTCGGACGCGAATACTGCCCGGCTCTACTAACAGAGTATTTGGTTGCATGTAAACGTAGCCACTGTAACTCCACTTCCACTCTGCTCCGCTCACACACTCTCCTCCACTGATTATAATGCAGTAAAACACTGGGATGTTCATTAAGGCTTTGATTGCTCTGTGTCAGGATCTTCTGATTGAAGTGTACAGGTGCATTGGAGAGCCTGACAGCCTGTATGGATGTGGAGGGGGGAAGCTAATCAGTCCTCTGACTAGGTGAGACCCGTAGATAAACCCAGCTGTTTCAATAAATGTAAATATGAACACACACTATATGCTCAATGGGCCTCATTCAAGAACGAATGAGGAATAAATATATCAGCTAAAAAATAAATCTACAAATGAAGTAAATTCAGAGTAATTTGTGCAAAACTATGGACCTTCCGAAAACTCCTTTGGGTTCACAAATGCTTCATTAACCTTTTGTTATGTAGATTTGATAGTTAAGCGTGTATTCGTAAATAGGGCTTTTCAAATTAGCATAATCACCGCCCATAATTACTACAGGATTGCTGTGGGATCTTCTGGACTTCCTCCTCAGGTTTGGCTCCATTGCATAAATGCAGAAGAGACTAATTAGCCATATGCCTTTCAGAAATAATACAATTAAAGCGGCTAAAAATATATACTGGTGATTAGAATAATAGTATTGGTTGCACTTTATTTTACAGTACATGCACTTCTGTGTACTTACAGTGTATTTAGCTAAGAAAGTACTGGTTGATATAAGGTAAGTACATGAGTTAAGGTTCGGTTCAGGTTCTGACCCAATAACTATAAATAATACATATGGACCTAATGGTCTTTATTGTAGTGTTACCCTGTAGCTATTTTTACTTTCTTACTAATTAAGATCTAAATGTAAAAGTGCTGATGTTTTCTTTGTGTGTGTGTGTGGTGTCCAGAATTCGAACGTATGAACATGAGGCCATGTGGGATAAGGCTTTGGTTTCATATGACCTTCACTCCAACCTCCCAGAGGTCACTCGACAGATCGGCATAGTGGAGGTACGGTTGATGCTTCTGCCACATCATGAGGATTTAAAGTTGTGGTCTCTGGGTAACAGCGTGTGTGTGTGACAGGCTCTGCAGAACTTTGGTTTGTGCGGTATTCTGCGCACGTATCTCCACGGGCTGGAGAGAGAGGGTGTGGAGTGGAGTCCTGACCTCCGAGAGCTGCGCTTTCAGGCCGCCTGGAGAAGCACGCAGTGGGACTGTGACCTTCCTGAGAGGTGCGTGTTTGGACCGACACTCACAAGTTTGCTGTCGTACGAGCTCGCAGGCAATTTCTGTTCTCTCGGAGGAAATCGCTGATGCACGTATGGTCGCGGCTGGCATTGTGTGAGAGGAATGATGAGACGAGCACCTCCTCATAATTTTCAAACATGTTTCAAAATTTTTCGTTCTACAAATCAAAACTTGATAAGTGGTAAAAATCATGTTTGACCCACTCTAAAGGTCCTTTCACACTGGACCCGATTTTGAAGCACGAATAATTCGCGCAATGGTTTTATTTTTTATTTATTTTTTTTTTTATTTTTTACTAGCTCTCTGAACCAGCATCTGGTTCTTGTTGGTGGAAAAGGGCACGAATGAGCCTACACTAGGGTGACCATATTTTGATTACCAAAAACCAGGACACTCGTCCTGGCAAACAGATCCTCAAATGATACTTGAAGTTTACTCAAAGGTGCCTTATTAATTTCAATACATTTAAAGTAGGCTATGCCTGCTCTGTATGGATAGAAAATGGTTATATTACAAAGACACAAATAGGCTTCTCAGAGGTTACTCAACTGTTTTATTATGACAGGTTTCAAAAATAATGAATCAAATAATTATAGAAATAATGTCTCTTCTGTAATGTAATGTCTCCTAATTAAACAAAAATATCTCTCACCAACTAACAAAATATATTAATTTTATATCTTTAGTTTTTTTTTCCTCTTTATCCTGTTTTTCTACCTCATCCTCATTGTTTGCTATATTTTGCTGTAGAGCTGATCTTTCCCAGCAGTTTTTTTTTACTTTATAAAAAACAGCTAGGACGGCCCGGACAGTACGTCAAAACAGGACATATCCTGGGTAAACAGGACTGTTGTTCACCCTAGCTTACACTCGTTCTCGTGCGCTTTGTCGTCTTGTGTGAGCGTATGGTTTAGAGTCCGCTCGGATCGTATACGATCTTCTGTCCGCGTGTGGTGTTGTTTTCTGTGTAGCACGTGGTTCGTTACATCGGCTGCGTGCTTTCGTGTCATGTTTTGTCTTGTGCTAATTGCACGCAGCTTATGTTTTTTTTTCACTAGCTGCGTGCTTTCATGTTGTCATTTGTTACCTGTTGAATGTGTGTCTGGGTGTTTCTCTGTCATCAAGTCGTTTTTTTTACGCCCGGGGTAGTTTTTGTTATATTTTATTATTAAATAAAGCCCATTGTTTTCTGCACCTGCATGCGTCGTACTACGGTGGCCGAGAGGTGCAAAACAAATCTACATCCTTCACTCAACCCTGACATAGGCCTAGCCTACTATTTATCCTGCTACATAACTATATACTGTAGGCTACCATTTTAATTTAAAATAGTTTTCTACCATAAAGATTTTATGTGTCCCGTAACGCATGTCCTAGGCTATTTTCCATTAAATATAAAACGCATACTGATATTTTTCAATATGTATTAAATGCATTTTCTGAGAATTTATATTTCATTTTTTTACTGCAAAAGTCCAGTTTATAACAATGAAATTGCCCAATATTAAATAATTTATCCTCAACTAGTTTTGTGGTGTAGGTCAACTTCAAATAAGGAGTGTGTCGCGATTCTGCCATCTCACACTGCGACACAGGTTCGTAGATCTGAGTGTAGCGATTTCGGGTTCATATTGCATATTGTTACAGCCCTAATTAATTATTAGAATATAGCCTAGACATTAAGAAAATAAATTGTTATGAAAGTACTTTTACTTTTAATACTTAAAGTACATTTAAAAGCAGGTACTTTTTACTTAGGGTTTTCATTGTGGTAGGCTACTTCTACTTTTACTAAAGTAATATGTCTCTGGTTATTTGTACTTAAGTACTGAGATTCAATACTTCCTCCACCACTGATTAGTCATATGCAGTGATGTAGTGGTGCCTGGAGAAGTGGGTATACTCTTAATTTATGCCCCCAATATTTTTTTAAGCGTCCCAGCAAAGGATGAACGCTCTGTGTTATAAACAGTGACATGTAAGACTACTAGTCTTGCATTAATATTAAATATGCAAGACTATAGAATAGAGTATAATGAATACAATAGAACACATAGAATCAGTAGTATTCTTGCATATCAGGGTTATCTATGGTATCTAAGGGTTATCTAAAACATATGGTTTTCTAAATACCCAGGTGTGCCAGGTCCCATAAATGATATTGTTAGGGGGGTTTGGGGGCATGCCCCCCCCCCCAAATCAAATTTAGATTTTCCTGATCTCGAAATGAGCATTTTAAGGTGTTTTGATGGCCAAAAAAAATTGACAACAGTAGCTTTAAAAGCATGAAGTAGCCTATTTGATCAGATTCTTAAACATGAGAATCAGTTCCAGTTTCAGCGACTTTTCTTTCCTAAATTAATCGATGTTTTTTGGACTAATCGGTTAATTTAATTAATGGTTCAATTGCTCACTCAAAAAGACAGTCACTTGTCGCCACCCTCTGGCTTAATGATGCAAGTGGCGCAAACACAGACAAGCAGAGTTATACAAACAGTGAAAAGTCAAACACATTCGAAAAAACGTTATACAAATATAAATACAATAATAATGGCAATATTTAATAGGATGCTTGTGTTGTTAAATTGAGCTTATTATTTCCACTGTTTTTAATTATTATTTCTGTCGGTCATTTAAAACGTCTATTGAAAAACAGCCGTAAATTTGAGCTACTTGCATCTTATCTTACTTACACTGCATGATCGTTAACTGAAGTGAAGCGTCGCGTTGGGATTCGCGCTGGGCTCGCTCCTCTATGAACAAAAATACTGCATTCTTTGATTGGTCTCACGAACATTTTGACATTGACGAGCAGGTGAGTGCTGAAGCAGATCAGATGAGAAGGTCAGTTATCGTCGCGATGGGAGAATCATTGGGAGTTAATCAAATTAGAGTTAATATTACGGGTACGACTCTAACTGGGTGTTTTTTTTAATTCACGAAATTGGATTAGCAACTAAATGATACACATCAGAGGGGATTTAGAAGTGGGTATACGCAATGCCGACTGAAAAGGAAGTGGGTATACGCCGTATACCTGCGTATATGCCTCGATACTATAAACCCTATAGACCTGTATTTTTAGCGCAGGGGTAGCACTGACATTTGACGCAGATTGACAACGGTTTCACGATCATCATAACTTTCACATTCTATTAGATACTGTGAACGCACGCGCAGCTAAAATAACCTGAAAAAAAAAAATAGTGGGAGGGGGGCCCTTTGAGATAATTGGCCCCCGGGACTTGCAAGTCATAATCCGTCCCTGCCTATAGCGTCCCTTAAAATCAGGTCTGCTTTCCTGCAACAGAGCAATAGCCAGGTGTTCACCCTCGGCACGAATGTTTTGGAATGTTGAAGCTCTGAACGTTGCAAATTCGCGTCGCGGCTGATGTGAATGGTGTTGACGCGAACTATTCGCTTTTTCGTTTCGCTTTTTCGTTACGCGTCCGGTGTGAAAGGGCCTTAAATGTTTTCTGATATATGAGCATATGAATGACTAGTCACCGAATGACTATTAGCCTTAATGAAATGCGTTGCTAAATTGAATTTATATTCATTTATGTTATGAGCCCCTGATTATATGTGGCATGTTGTCTTTTTTTTTTTGGGGGGGGGGGGAAATTGATGGATTTATTGTGTTTTGAAAAAAATAATTAATTAACAATTTATTTTTATAAACAATATTGTTGTTTGATTTAATAATCATTGTTCAGCATGTTCAGACTGAGCCAAAAAAAAAAAAAACGACAACAACATTTTAACAGGATATTTTGAATATTCACAAAATGTGTGGGTCTAATGGTGCGTTCAATTATTCATCCATCTCGGAGATCCGAATCGCACGACAGACGTTGCCTAGCAACACGCCCCCTTTGCTCGGATTTCTCCTCTCGGACGTCGGACAACCGTGAGGACACCGAGCAAGAATTCGAAATTCAAGATGGCTGCGCCCTGTGACTTGTAAGAATAAATTGTTTTCATTGTTTTTGAACCGCTTTGGTATTTTAAATGACGATTATAATCACTCGTATTACTGCATCCCCTGTAGGTATGGGAATTGGTTGTTGTGAGTGCAATTACTAACGTTGCTAACAGAAGATTAACATGAAAAACATTAAATAAAGTGAACATTTACAAGTTCAAATGGCTGCGTTTTGATAAGGTGTAGTCATAATATATTTTTTTTAATGTTAGTGCCTGTTACTCGGCCAATGCTACCATTATAACTGCTTTGCGGGTGGCATCCATTTTATTCTCCGACTCGGACACGCAAAACATAATACAACGCTTGAAGTGAGGAGGTCACGTCATATCCGAGGTCCGAGTCGGTTCACTGGGTATAATAGAACGCACCATAAGTAAAAAATAAATAAATAACAAAATTCCTGAAAACTATTAAAATGGATTTATAGCATTTTGGAAAAGAGCTCCTCAAATGTAAAATAAATAAATAAATAAATAAAAATAGCATATTAAAACATCTGATCTAACATTTTATATTCATATCCAGTTTATTAGATACTTTACATCACTGTTTTGGTCCTATGGGCCCAACATTCACATCTTTGATGACTATTTTGAGTGTTTTTTTTTTTTTACTATTGCCTCGATGGAAATGTATTACTGTTCCACAAAAGTATTGTCCGGACCTCCGCTGGGAAGGAAAAAACACAGAGACCGGACCTCTTGGCTAGAACCATGAATATTATTAAAGATCCCTACAGCGTGCGCATACACTGACACACACAAATACACTCTCTAGCTGTTTTTGTTGAAAGGAATGGCTGCGTTCATCTCTGTAGATGCGTCATTTACACACTCTTCTTTTTATTTCACTTCTTTTTTCTATCCGACGCTATTTAGCAGCAACATTGAAAGCTCCAGTGTCTGTGTTTAGCACGAAAGCTCAATCAATACTTGCTTTCAACTGTAGTGAAGATTTTTTTTCAGTTGTACTTTCACCCTCTCTCTTTTTTTCAGAAATGAGAAGCTGAAGCCTGGCATCAACGAGTCCTTGTTCAATTCCCTCCAAGCTTTGAGAGATCGAGAACTCTCCCTATTCGAGCAAACCCTCAACTACGCCAGGTAACCAGTTTAAAGGGTTAGTTCTCCCAAAAATAAAAATGATGTCATTAATGACTCCCCCTCGTGTCGTCACAAGCCCGTAAGACACAGTTTAAGATATTTTAGGTTTAGTCCGAGAGCTTTCTGTCCCTCCATTGGAAATGTGTGTACGGCATACTGTCCTTGTCCAGAAAGGAAATAAAGACATCATCAAAGTAGTCATCGGAAATACATTTTGGTCCAAAAATAACAATCTTACGGGTCTTACGGGCTTGGGGCGGCATGAGAGTCATTAATGACATCATTTTTGGGTGAAATAACCCTTTAAGCCCTGTTAACATCAACAACTATAAAGTTAATATAATCGTTCTAATTCACTGACAATAGGGATGTTGTACATGCCACAATTATAATGATAACAAGGCCTGACGCCATTATTAAATATCCATTACTTGATTTAACGGTGATTATTGCTCTCTTTTAGAAGGTAAGTGGCTTATGAATAATGAATACAGTACAGGATGCGTACTCTGCGTATAGGAACAAGTGAAAGCTAATCTCACCCAAGTGCAACATGTTCCTGGAATCAACATCGTTGTTGGTCCTGGAACAACATTTCAATCAACCAATCAGATTTGAGGGACAAGTTTACAGTTTATGTCAAATTTAGGTTTACAACCAGGGTTATGTGCTTCTACATCAGCGTTATTCACTATCATTAGGTTTCGAGGTTGGGATTCAGATTTTGCACAGGAATTTTGTTCCAGGAACATGTCTTGCCCTGTAAAAGCATGGTGACCTTATATGAAGTAGTAACATGCTCAACTCAACTCATAATTGATTTATAAAGCACTCTCAAAAAGTAGATTAAAGTTCTGTATGTAAATGATAAACTCTGATAATGAATTGTATTTTGTACTTGTTGTATGTTATACTTGTTGTCCTCACTTTATGACTAGAGTAACACTTACAAATATAGATCCAGTCCACCTGTATGTGTTCTCCTGTTCTGCCAGAGGTCACGAGGTGGAGGAGTTGTGTCGTGGGAGTCTGGAGGCCGTGTCTTCGCTGTATCCTGCTCTCTGTAACCTGCAGAGGATCAGCGAGCTGCGGGGTGTCGAGGAGCTCTTCTCCAGGTCAGGCTGCACATCTTACAGTCATACAAGCAAAAGCACTCTTACGCGAGAAAAGTTGCGTAGTTTGGTCGAAGTGAGCTGAACTGTGACTTGGGATCTCGTATGAAAGTGTGGGACCCTTTTTTCCCTTGTAGTTAGTCAGATATTTGGAAGAATGTTTTAATCAAACAGATCTCATTCCCCATTGAAGTCAATGGGGATTGAGATCTGTTTGATTAAAACATTCTTCCAAATATCTTCCTTTGTGTATAGCAGAACAAATAAACACATAGAGGTTTGGAACAACATGAGGGTGAGTAAATACTGAGAGAATTTTCATTTTTGGGTGAACTAACCCTTTAATGCTTTTAGATTATAGATCCAAATACAATAAATGAGTGTATACTGAATGACTGTATATATTAATATATAGATTTTTCTGTTCTTGCCAGGCCTATAACTGACTCCAGCCTGAATGAAGTCTACAGGAAGTGGAAACAGCACTCTGACCTCCTAACCGACAGTGATTTCAGTCTGGTGGAGCCCGTCTTAGCCTTGCGCTCCTCCATACAGGAAACACTGATTTCCTCAGAGACAGAGAAGAAGAATGATCTGATCTCGGCCTATTCTTCCCACCTGATGGAGCTGTGCAAACTGGCTCGTTCTGCAGGAAACACGCAGGTCTGTTTATCAGTTAGCCAGACTTTTGACTCATGCGTCATTGGTGTAGTGCATTATATTATCATATGAATGTGTCAAATTAATTTGTATAGCATTTTTCACAATACACATTGTTTTAAAGCAGCTTTACAGAAAATCATGATGTTAATGCTTAATACAACATCTTAATGCCTTAGTCACATTTTTTTGCGTCACATATAGTTTGCATTTTGCAATGATACAAGCAAACAAGGTAGTTTGCTGTATAGTACATTTAATATACGCCTTACACAAGTATACTGTACTGTATATATATGCAGATAAAGTTGGACATATTTATTTATCCAAGTTTATATAAAGAGCTGGCCGATAATATAGTTATATTTTTCAATGAAAAAAAAATCAGTTAGATTAGCAATATATTATATATAGCTTTACATGAGTCTACTTATGTATGTGGATAAAGTTGGATATATGTCCAGCTTTATATATATAGAGCTGAAAATCTCACAATTCTGACTTTTTATTGCTTGATATAAAGTCGCAATTGCGTTATGAAGTCAGAATTGGGTGATATAAAGTCACATTTGCATGTTATAAAGTCAGAATTGTGCGATATAAACTCGCAATTGCGTGAAATGAACTCTCAAATCTGACTTTTTTCTCAGAATTGCAAGTTTATGTCTTGCAATTCCGACTTTATAACACAATTGGGAGTTATAAAGTCAGAATTGCGTGATATAAAGTCGCATTTGCATGTTATAAAGTCAGAATTGTGCGATATAAACTCGCAATTGCGTGAAATGAACTCTCAAATCTGACTTTTTTTCTCAGAATTGCACGTTTATGTCTTGCAATTTCGACTTTATAACACAATTGGGAGTTATAAAGTCAGAATTGCGTGATATAAAGTCGCATTTGCATGTTATAAGTCAGAATTGTGCGATATAAACTCGCAATTGCGTGAAATGAATTCTGACTTTTTTTCTCAGAATTGCACGTTTATGTCTTGCAATTCTGAATTTATAACACAATTGGGAGTTATAAAGTCAGAATTGCGTGATATAAAGTCGCATTTGCATGTTATAAAGTAAGAATTGTTCGATATAAACTCGCAATTGCGTGAAATGAACTCTCAAATCTGACTTTTTTTCTCAGAATTGCACGTTTATGTCTTGAAAGTCCGACTTTATAACACAATTGGGAGTTATAAAGTCAGAATTGCGTGATATAAAGTTGCATTTGCATGTTATAAGTCAGAATTGTGCGATATAAACTCGCAATTGCGTGAAATGAACTCTGAATTCTGACTTTTTTTCTCAGAATTGCACGTTTATGTCTTGCAATTCCGACTTTATAACACAATTGGGAGTTATAAAGTCAGAATTGCGTGATTTAAAGTCGCATTTGCATGTTATAAAGTCAGAATTGTGCGATATAAACTCGCAATTGCGTGAAATGAACTCTCAAATCTGACTTTTTTTCTCAGAATTGCACGTTTATGTCTTGAAATTCCGACTTTATAACACAATTGGGAGTTATAAAGTCAGAATTGCGTGATTTAAAGTCGCATTTGCATGTTATAAAGTCAGAATTGTGCGATATAAACTCGCAATTGCGTGAAATGAACTCTCAAATCTGACTTTTTTTCTCAGAATTGCACGTTTATGTCTTGCAATTTCGACTTTATAACACAATTGGGAGTTATAAAGTCAGAATTGCGTGATATAAAGTCGCATTTGCATGTTATAAGTCAGAATTGTGCGATATAAACTCGCAATTGCGTGAAATGAACTCTCAATTCTGACTTTTTTTCTCAGGATTGCACGTTTATATCTTACAATTCCGACTTTATAACACAATTGGGAGTTATAAAGTCAGAATTGCGTGATATAAAGTCGCATTTGCATGTTATAAGTCAGAATTGTGCGATATAAACCCGCAATTGCGTGAAATTAACTCTCAAATCTGACTTTTTTTCTCAGAATTGCACGTTTATGTCTTGAAATTCCGACTTTATAACACAATTGGGAGTTATAAAGTCAGAATTGCGTGATATAAAGTCGCATTTGCATGTTATAAGTCAGAATTGTGCAATATAAACTCGCAATTGCGTGAAATGAACTCTGAATTCTGACTTTTTTTCTCAGAATTGCACGTTTATGTCTTGCAATTCTGAATTTATAACACAATTGGGAGTTATAAAGTCAGAATTGCGTGATATAAAGTCGCATTTGCATGTTATAAGTCAGAATTGTGCGATATAAACTCGCAATTGCGTGAAATGAACTCTCAAATCTGACTTTTTTTCTCAGAATTGCACGTTTATGTCTTGAAAGTCCGACTTTATAACACAATTGGGAGTTCTAAAGTCAGAATTGCGTGATATAAAGTTGCATTTGCATGTTATAAGTCAGAATTGTGCGATATAAACTCGCAATTGCGTGAAATGAACTCTGAATTCTGACTTTTTTTCTCAGAATTGCACGTTTATGTCTTGCAATTCCGACTTTATAACACAATTGGGAGTTATAAAGTCAGAATTGCGTGATTTAAAGTCGCATTTGCATGTTATAAAGTCAGAATTGTGCGATATAAACTCGCAATTGCGTGAAATGAACTCTCAAATCTGACTTTTTTTCTCAGAATTGCACGTTTATGTCTTGCAATTTCGACTTTATAACACAATTGGGAGTTATAAAGTCAGAATTGCGTGATATAAAGTCGCATTTGCATGTTATAAGTCAGAATTGTGCGATATAAACCCGCAATTGCGTGAAATGAACTCTGAATTCTGACTTTTTTTCTCAGAATTGCACGTTTATGTCTTGAAATTCCGACTTTATAACACAATTGGGAGTTATAAAGTCAGAATTGCGTGATATAAAGTCGGATTTGCATGTTATAAGTCAGAATTGTGCAATATAAACTCGCAATTGCGTGAAATGAACTCTGAATTCAGACTTTTTTTCTCAGAATTGCACGTTTATGTCTTGAAAGTCCGACTTTATAACACAATTGGGAGTTCTAAAGTCAGAATTGCGTGATATAAAGTTGCATTTGCATGTTATAAGTCAGAATTGTGCGATATAAACTCGCAATTGCGTGAAAGGAACTCTGAATTCTGACTTTTTTTCTCAGAATTGCACGTTTATGTCTTGCAATTCCGACTTTATAACACAATTGGGAGTTATAAAGTCAGAATTGCGTGATTTAAAGTCGCATTTGCATGTTATAAAGTCAGAATTGTGCAATATAAACTCGCAATTGCGTGAAATGAACTCTCAAATCTGACTTTTTTTCTCAGAATTGCACGTTTATGTCTTGAAATTCCGACTTTATAACACAATTGGGAGTTATAAAGTCAGAATTGCGTGATATAAAGTCGCATTTGCATGTTATAAGTCAGAATTGTGCAATATAAACTCGCAATTGCGTGAAATGAACTCTGAATTCGGACTTTTTTTCTCAGAATTGCACGTTTATGTCTTGCAATTCTGAATTTATAACACAATTGGGAGTTATAAAGTCAGAATTGCGTGATATAAAGTCGCATTTGCATGTTATAAAGTCAGAATTGTGCGATATAAACTCGCAATTGCGTGAAATGAACTCTCAAATCTGACTTTTTTTCTCAGAATTGCACGTTTATGTCTTGAAAGTCCGACTTTATAACACAATTGGGAGTTCTAAAGTCAGAATTGCGTGATATAAAGTTGCATTTGCATGTTATAAGTCAGAATTGTGCGATATAAACTCGCAATTGCGTGAAATGAACTCTGAATTCTGACTTTTTTTCTCAGAATTGCACGTTTATGTCTTGCAATTCCGACTTTATAACACAATTGGGAGTTATAAAGTCAGAATTGCGTGATTTAAAGTCGCATTTGCATGTTATAAAGTCAGAATTGTGCGATATAAACTCGCAATTGCGTGAAATTAACTCTCAAATCTGACTTTTTTTCTCAGAATTGCACGTTTATGTCTTGCAATTTCGACTTTATAACACAATTGGGAGTTATAAAGTCAGAATTGCGTGATATAAAGTCGCATTTGCATGTTATAAGTCAGAATTGTGCGATATAAACCCGCAATTGCGTGAAATGAACTCTGAATTCTGACTTTTTTTCTCAGAATTGCACGTTTATGTCTTGAAATTCCGACTTTATAACACAATTGGGAGTTATAAAGTCAGAATTGCGTGATATAAAGTCGGATTTGCATGTTATAAGTCAGAATTGTGCAATATAAACTCGCAATTGCGTGAAATGAACTCTGAATTCAGACTTTTTTTCTCAGAATTGCACGTTTATGTCTTGAAAGTCCGACTTTATAACACAATTGGGAGTTCTAAAGTCAGAATTGCGTGATATAAAGTTGCATTTGCATGTTATAAGTCAGAATTGTGCGATATAAACTCGCAATTGCGTGAAATGAACTCTGAATTCTGACTTTTTTTCTCAGAATTGCACGTTTATGTCTTGCAATTCCGACTTTATAACACAATTGGGAGTTATAAAGTCAGAATTGCGTGATTTAAAGTCGCATTTGCATGTTATAAAGTCAGAATTGTGCAATATAAACTCGCAATTGCGTGAAATGAACTCTCAAATCTGACTTTTTTTCTCAGAATTGCACGTTTATGTCTTGCAATTTCGACTTTATAACACAATTGGGAGTTATAAAGTCAGAATTGCGTGATATAAAGTCGCATTTGCATGTTATAAGTCAGAATTGTGCGATATAAACTCGCAATTGCGTGAAATGAATTCTGACTTTTTTTCTCAGAATTGCACGTTTATGTCTTGCAATTCTGAATTTATAACACAATTGGGAGTTATAAAGTCAGAATTGCGTGATTTAAAGTCGCATTTGCATGTTATAAAGTCAGAATTGTGAGATCTCGCAATTCTGAGGAAAAAAGTGTGATGTGTATGTGTGATCTTTCTTTCCTTAGATTTGGACTTTATAACTCACAATTGCAAGTTTATGTCTCACGATTGAGAGAAAAAAGTCAGAATTGAGGAACATGAGTGTACTGTATGTATTCGGGTAAACTGGTATATCTATAGTCATATAAATCAAAGAACATAAGACTTTTGCTTCATATTAATACCTAACAAACTTTGTGAAATATTTTGCCTGAAAAGTGTGATTGTGCTCTGTCATGAAATACAATGCCCCTTTTACGGTATTGGAAAGGCATATGTCATGCGTGTGTTGTTGTAGCTGGCCGAGCGGGCCGTCTTCCACATGAAGCGGCACAGTCTGTCCAGTGGGGGCGTTGGCAGCAGCTCGTGGGCCTGCCAGCTGGAGGAGGCGCAGGTGTTCTGGGTGAAGAAGGAACACGGGCTGGCTCTGGGGCTGCTCAAACAGATGATCCAACAACTAGAGGATCTGGTGAGTCGAAGGTGGCTTCTATAGTCCATTTCACAGGTGTAGATAACGCCTAATGTGCTCGCATATCTGCTGAATGACACAGAATGTCTTTTTGTGACAGGTGTGTGTGAAACCTTCCGTGGTGCCGGTGTATTCGGAGTGTTTGAGACTGTGTGGAAGCTGGCTGGCTGAATCCTGTCTGGAGAGCCCTGCTATCATACTGGAGAAATACCTGGAGAGGGTAAAGCACTCATATCTTCTGCAAGGCATGATGGGAAATAAAAGGAATTCAGTGACATATGACTGTGCACTAGTTCTTTTCTAGTGCCATTGCCTATGATATTCATGTAGAATAAGCTTTATAACACACTTCTGTACAATTGTAAATATCAAAGTAGGGCTGCATGTTCAATCAAAATAAAAACAAACACTCGATAGTATAATAATAATGTTTATTTTATATGTGAACGCTTTACAATACAACAATGGAAAAATACAACCATGAAGTAGGAGAGATCAAGTGTATAGTACATAATACAGCAAAACACACAACATCATTTAAAGAAGTAGTTCACTTTAAAAAAACTTGCTGATAATTTACTCGCCCCCATGTCATCCTAGATATCCATGTCATTCTTTCTTCAGTCGAAAAGAAATTAAGGTTTTTGATGAAAACATTCCAGGATTTTTCTCCATATAATGGACTTCAATGGGAACCAAACGGTTCAAGGTCCAAAAGACAGTTTCAGTGCAGCTTTAAACGATTCCAGACGATGAATAAGGGTCTTATCAAGCGAAACGATCGCTCATTTAATAAATAAATAACAAAGTTTAAGTTTTATAAGCTCAAATGGTTGCCTTGCTCTGTTCTGTGATGCCGTGACTCTCCTGTTCGAACTCGTTCATCAAAATGAACAAATCTTTTCCAGAGTCAACTCGTTCATTTAGTTCGTTGAATAAACCAAATGACACGAAAAAAAGATATGTATGAGTATGAGAACGCTTTTTGGAAAGGTGAGATCCATTGAAGCAGAATTATGAATGTTCTGGAGCCTATTGATTGAATTATTAGGGTAGACCGTTGAGCAAAAAAGAGAGCATTGCGGTAGCCAAGACGTGTGCATCACGTCTTGGCTACTGCAATGGTCTCTTTACTCCAATGCTCTCTTTTTCGAATGCATGAAGAAAGGTTTCAGCGTCAGTGGATACGGTGTGATTATCAATTCGCAATTCAGAATTTTTTTATTTATATAATTTCAATTATTATTGCCATATTAATATTAACCACAAAATTGTATCCAAATTGTAAAGCCCTACAAACAAGCACAGCAAACCTGGATTTTTTTTCTAAAATCACATTTTTGATGAGAAAAATTAGGTTTTGCCCAAATCATGCAGCACTGTATCGAAGTGCCATGGTCCCGTAACCTTGTGTTTGCATTAATGATGTGTTGATAGGCAGTGGAGGTCATTGAGGACCACTGTGGAGATTCAAACGCTAAACTCCAGAGCCAGAAGACCCAGGCTTTCTTTTCGCTTGCCCGTTTTTCTGACGCACAGTACCAGAGCATCGAAAACTACATGAAGTCGTCCGAGTTTGAGAACAAGCATGCTCTTCTGGAGAAGGCCAAGGAGGAAGTGGACCTGATGCGGGAGAGGAAGGTCGGCAACAACAGGTCAGCGTGAAACCATCTTGTTTTAGAAGTCTTTTGCTCACCAGTTACACATATACGAAGTGTTAAAGGGGTGATGAACTGAGAAATCAAATTTTCCTTGAGCTTTTGACATCTAAGAGGTCATCATATTATAAGAATATCCTGTAAGTTTCAGAACTGAAAACGCCCTTGTGTGTCCAATAAAAGCTTTTATTGACACCAGACTCAGCAAACGACTCACTTTTCAACTATGACGTCAAAGAGGATAAAACACCACCCCCGCAGAAGAAGATCAACTCCTATTACAACTCCTCCTTATCGCATAGCTAAATAACATAGATGCCTACCTCGTGATGACAATCCGGATCGAGCCACCGAGCAATACAGAATATTGTGCAGTTCCTGGTTCTGAAAGAAGATTTTATTTTTAATGACGTTCCAGCTGATGAGGGGAAAACGTTGTCTGTTCGCGATTGTTTTGTAAACAAGACTGGATTTGAAGACCGATTAAGAGTAAAGAACGGTGCTGTGCCGTCTATATTGGATCTGACAGGAATGGTGCAACACACGAACTCTGGGTCGAACATGTATGGGCGAATCATTGCGGTTGCCATTTTACAACATTGGTTCCATTGGAATGTTTCTGAATGTAAAAACCAAGCGAACGTCATAAGTTGACCTCAGACAACAATATAATAAAATTAAAAAGCCAGTTCGTGACCCCTTTAACGTCTTTTTTTTTCTCATCTGCAGATACACAGTGAAAGTTCAGAGAGAACTAGAGCTGGACGTCAAGGCACTGTCAAACCTACAGGCCGACCGCAACCGCTTCCTCCTCAAGGCCGTGGAGAACTACATTCAGTGCCTAGGGCTGGGAGAAGAACATGACACCTGGGTCTTCAGACTGGCCTCGCTCTGGCTGGAGAATGCAGATGTCAAAACCGTGAATGACATGATGAAGGTATGACAACATCTCCCAGAGGTACATGGAGGAAGCAGAAATGATAGTCTCTAAATTAGGGCTGTCACTTTACTGAAAAAATCCTGTTCGATTTTTGAGACATAAATGTTCATTGAATTGATTGTAAAATCGATTTCCATTTTCAACACCAAATACAGGCAAATCCACGGACGCCTATCAGGCATTAGGACGAACCAGAGAATGTCTAATTGAAGAGAATTGGCACTGGCTGGTTAATTCCGGGTTTTGGACTGGCTGCAGTAACACGTCTCTGTCCATGCGGGGGCGCTCGCGGTCGAGTGCAGAATGAATGGGAGTCTATGGGGTTTCACCCCCAGAAATCCACTTTTCTCAGGATGTAATTTTTTATCAAGTAATTTGAAAGTTGCATTCAAAAGGGAGGGCTAAGATAATACACTCAGATGAAAATTGCATTTTTAAGTTTTTCACTTATCTGTTCTAAAAATCCGTTCAAAACTGTGATGACGTCACACAATAGCAGAATGCTAGCGTGTTCCGGCCAACAACGGCCTAACCTGTAAGAAATCGAAAGGACACAAGTACTCGTTCATTCGACTTTTGGCCTATAATCTATATTGAACTTGAGGAATCAACAATAAAATCTATGTTGATTCAACGACAAGCAGGAGAAAGAGACACATTTAGCCGTTTAGCCCCATAGACTCCCATTCATTCTGCTCTCGCCCGTGATCACCTCCAGTGGAATTCTAATGAAACTGCAACCAAGATGATACACAATGGGGCTAATAGGAAGTGCCAAGGCTCTCTGTTAGACGGGCTCTGGACGAACGTAAAGAGGGCGCTTGAGATTCGCACAAGTCAGCAGTATTTCTGATGATTTATTAGCGTTAAGTTTCGTGCACAATGACAAACATGCGTGCAACATGCAATTAAAGGAGAACTCCGGCGCAAAATGAACCTTTGGTCTAATTACACATTGGTACCGAGTAGGGCTGGGTATTGAGAGAAATTTCACAATTCGATTCGATTTCGATTCACAAGCTTGCAATTCGATTCGATTTCGAAATCGAAATTTTCGATGCGCGCAGCCGCGACACAATGTCTCATTCATTCAAATGAAACCGCATGACTAATCGATTCTTGAGATTTAAGAATCGATATCGGTTTGTAAAAATGAGAATCGATTAATATCGAGAAATCGATATTTATTACCCAGCCCTAGTACCGAGTCGACCGTTCTCTGCGATTTGTTTTCATGTTAATCGAATGTAAAGATTTTTATCTTAACAGTGCGCTTGTTGCATTGAAGTAATAGCGAATATTTAAAAGCATTTAGTTAACAGAAAATACATTGTTATTTTCCAACATCCTGCTTGTTCTGTGTCCTGTATTGATCTGTACCCACTTTTTGGTAAAAAAAATAAATAAATAAAAAAAGGCCGTTAAAATCGATTCCCTATTTTTGTTTTGGAAACTTGTGTTGGTTGGTCCGATTGATTTTCGAACGTAAAGCGCCAGTCCTAGATTCTACTGATTCTCAGTTGTCATTTGTGTTTTTATTAGAGTGGTGTAAAGAAAATCCCATCACATAAGTTCCTGCCCCTGATGTACCAGTTGGCTGCTCGCATGGGCACCAAAGTGTCCAGTTCCATGACCTCACAGGACGTGGGCTTCCATCATGTGCTAAACGAGGTAACTTTTGCCTTTCTTTTTATTCAGAATTTGAACCTCATAAGTGAAATCTACCATAGACTCACAGCTGAAACATGTTCTGTCGTCAGCTGATCTGTCAGTCGTCCACTGACCACCCCCACCACACGCTCTTCATCATTTTGGCACTGGTCAACGCCAACAAGGATGAGAGTTTCTCTCGCAGTCGCATATCCAAGAGCAGTGCCCGCCAACCTTCACCTCTGGACTTGGTATAACACACAGAAGACAGAATCATAAGTCTTATTTTGCATTGGCTAAACGTTTGTCACGAGAAGATATTTCTGCTCTGCTCTAGGAGTTTTACATGTCTAGCTGTACTGTCTAAATCAGTGGTTCGCAACTGGTTTGGCAATGGCACACACATTTTTCTATTTCAGACTGAATAACAGTATAAGGGGAGGCTATTAAATGGCAGTCCCAAACTAGTTTTTCATAATACAATAAAGATGTGAAAATCTTTACCATGCTAAATACACAATACTAATATGAACTGTTAATAAAACATGGAAACATACTACTGTATGTAGAAGTCAAAAAGTTTTACAGTTAGTCCTGACTAACACTTTTGTTACTCAATGACTAACCTTAATTAAATGTGTTGGTCTGTAGGAACGGGCCGAGGTCGCTCGAAAGATCATTGACGTGGTTCGTAAAAAGAGGCCCAAGATGGTCAGAGACATCGAGACGCTTTGCAATGCTTACATCACGTTGGCATACATGGACGCCAGTCGCCATAAAACTGAAAAGAGTGAGTAAAAGTCAACCATCTGAGGAGATTCACTTCCTGTCTATTCACATTATGATGCAAGTCAGTTTGCTCTTTAAGATTCAACTTGGTGTCCCATAAATTAAGCACTTTACAAAATCACTCGATAAGTAAGAGATATTGTGTTGAGTTGATTTTCAGTTCATTTTTCGAAAAACAAAAAAGTATGTTTTTCTTTTTTTAAGGGTTAAAGGAGTAGTTCACTTTTGAAAAAACTTTTGCTGGTAATTTACTCACCCCCATGACATCCAAGATGTCCACGTCTTTCTTTCTTCAGTCGAAAAGAAATTAAGGTTTTTGATGAAAACATTCCAGGATTTTTCTCCATATAATGGACTTCATTGGGAACCAGACGGTTCAAGATCCAAAAGACAGTTTCAGTGCAGCTTCAAAGGGCTTTAAATGATACCAGATGATGAATAAGGGTCTTATCAAGCGTTCAATAAATAATGAACCAAATGACTCAAAAAAAAAGATTCGTTCATTTTGATGAACGAGTTCAAACAGGAGAGTCACGAACGCATAAAACATAAACTTTTTTTTTAAACGAGCGATCGTTTCACTTGATAAGACCCTTATTCATCGTCTGGAATCGTTTAAAGCACTTTGAGCAGTTTGCAGTTTGCACTGAAACTCTCATTTGGACCTTGAACTGTTTGGTTCCCATTGAAGTCCATTATAAGGAGAAAAATCCTGGAATGTTTTCATCAAAAACCTTAATTTCTTTTCGACTGAAGAAAGAAAGACATGGACATCTTGGATGACATGAGGGTGAGTAAATTATCAGCAAAAGTTTTTTTTTAAAGTGAACTACTCCTTTAATATGTGAAAAGTATTAGTTTATCAATGTCAGAGCCCTTATCAAACTAACCAGCCTTTATTGTGAAATTGTTGATAATAATGAGTCAATGTTGTTACCCACCGTGACATTTTTTTTATTTTCGTTTCAATTTAAACATTGTATCTATTTATATAGTTTATATTATTATTTAGTGTTTATTGCACTAAACGACATGCATCATGGGTTAGACTTTAGACATGTCTCAAATTTGGAAAAACTGCATATCTGAAATGAAGTTCAAACAAAACAGTGTATAATGTCCTGAAGTGGACTAATACTTTTTTAGGAGTAGGCGCTTGCTTTTACTGACCAATTGTTACACTTTTTTTTTTGTGTGTGTGTGTGTGTGTGTGTGTTTTAAGATCCATTTTTCTTAATTTTTCCAAATTACCTGTACCTGTCATTTTGGATAAAAGCACCAGCTAATTTACTAATTAGTAGTTATATGAAAATGGTCTTTTCTTGCATCGTGACACATTTGCTTCTCGAACAAGAACAAATGTAGGGCGGGATTCATTTTCTCCATTAGGAATTTGTCCATTGGGCATGTGCCATTATATATAAATAAATCATTGATATATAATGTTTTTATAATATTCCATAAACTAGAATTGTAAATCTCCCAGGCAAGTGGCACTTAATAGACTTAGAGTCAAAATGGTCAACGTTATAAATGTTATATTGTGACACTTAGACTGTTTATTGTTAAATATGATTGTCTTTACTGTGCAGAAGCCATACCTATCCCACCGGAACAACCCATTATGAAAATCAAGGACCTCAATGATGTCGTCATTCCCACCATGGACATCAAGGTGACGCATGATCACTGAAGGATCTTGTTCGTCAGAGAAGCCAGTGGTTACTTGAGTCTGTTGTTGTTCTTTCAGGTGGACCCATCAGGCAAATATGAAGACCTTGTGACTGTCAGGTCATTCAAACCTCATTTTCACCTTGCTGGAGGTGTCAACCTCCCCAAAATAATCGACTGTGTGGGTTCAGATGGCAAAAGCAGGAGACAGCTGGTCAAGGTCTGCTTATTCAAGAACACCATCACCTCTTCAGCGTTTTTCTTCATAATCACATCCAGTCAAAAGGCTGATTTCGTATTTCACTTAGTAGTTTTGTGTTTTTCTTATATATATATATATATATATATATATATATTAGAGCCAGACCGATATATCGGCAGACCGATATTATCGGCCGATATTAGGCATTTTCCAAACTATCGGTATCGGCAGTTATAATAGCCGATAAATGAATATTTCAAAAATAAAATTAAAACACGCTTGAACCATGTCATGAGTGTTGGAGTTGTATAGTTTGTCCACCAGAGGGCACTCTACACCGTTCCTGTTGGCAACACTCGTTGAGTTGGTCACGATACATACATTGCTTGAATAACAATTATCAGTTCTCTTAACTCAAATAAGCATGACAAAATTTGTGACTATCATGTCCAGTAAAAAAAAAAAAAAAAAAGTAAATAAATAAAATATATCGGCCGATATATCGGATTTTAAAACCCCAAAAATATTTGTATCGGTATCGGCCTTCAAAATCCTTTATCGGTCGGGCTCTAATATATATAAATATATACATATATATATATATTTATATATAAAGTATTTGGAACCCTGGAGTACTGAACCCCTGGAGACCCCTTCATTTTTTGTTAGATACAGAGTGGGGACAAAATCGGCCCAAAATTGCTTGGACATGTCTTAATCTTCCTGCTTGTTTAAAACATGTGTAGGTTTGCCGATCAGTCTTGTTAATAGTTGAATCTGAAGTGAGGTGTTGTGTTCTGACACAGGGTCAGGACGATCTGAGGCAGGACGCAGTGATGCAGCAGGTCTTTCATATGTGCTCCACTCTTCTCCAGCGCAACGCAGAAACTCGCAAGAGGAAACTCAACATCCGCCGCTACAAAGTACAGACACCTTACACACACTATACTGATAGCACATCTGGCTTTAACTAAAACATTTGCTAACACTATTCAGATGTTTTGATGATGTCTATACACTTAAAAACTTTAGACCATGGTCTGCCTGAATACTCAATTCTGATTGGCTAAAAAGGTGTGCATTAAAATCTTTTAAAGTCCCCCTGTAGTCAATCATTTTATCCCTTTAAACTCATCTTAAATCACCAAAATTACATGTTAAAAAGTTTTTTTTTTCTTGAAAAAAATGCCTTAAAATATCTTGAATGCAAATCTTCACCCTTGCCTCATTTAGTATATGCAGTTCTATGACTATAATTGAATATACAGGTAGTTCACAGTTTAATCACCGCTCTATATAAATGCGCTAGTTTTTTTGAATCACATCGCACACGGAGAAACATTCAGAAGCACTTTATCAACACCGAGCCATGTGTTTGTCCCAGGTGGTGCCGTTTTCCCAGCGCAGTGGTGTTTTGGAGTGGTGTTCTGGTACTGTGCCCATTGGAGAATTCCTGGTGGACCCACAGAAGGGGGCTCACAAACGCTTCCGCCCACAGGACTGGTCCAACATGTCCTGTCGCAAGAAAATGATGGTACTGGATTTTATTGCCTTATTTCATTTGTCATCCTACTGAGTCATTTTTACAGACATTTTGCTATGTTTGTAATATTAGGGATTGTCTTTAAAGCTGCAGTCTGTAGTTTTTTTTTGGGGGGGGGGGGGGGGGGTTAAAAATGGTCCAAAATACATATTTGAAAAAAAAAATCATTACCAGCTATAGTGTTCTAAGCGGTTCAAAACGATAAGCTTGTAATAATGTTTTTGACATCTTTACACACACATCTGTACACATAAAGAAGGAGTCTCGGCTAGAAGGCTATATTGAGTCTTAACGTCACATCTACACACATAAAGAAGCAGTCTCAGCTAGTATAAACTATATTGCGTGTGAGGATGTTGGAGATTTATAGCCTTTTCTCACAGCTCTTGATATAATTAAACGCATCAATTTGATGGCGGATCCAGAAAGGTTCAAACGACTATCACCAGAGACAACAGATTCACCCGCTGTAAAATGCAAAAGACTTCGGAGTGGCTACAGAAAAAAAGAGACTTCAACCGGATGAAAACAAGTATAATATTGGAAGGATATTACATGTAGTCACGCAAAGCTGACGTTGTTAACATTAACAATTTGAGAACTAAGTATAATTGGCATGGTTTTGTGTGATATGATAACTTATGAGCGATTGTTAGATTTAATCATCGAGATTTACTGCAATGTCAGAACCAGAACAAAAGTGGATGTTTCTTACTAGTTCATATGACATTTTCCGGTGAAAATTATTATGTTGGTCATACTTCCAAAAATAATAATCTGATTCTGAATGCCGGTATCCACACCGGCGCGGTGACTGACAGCCTTATAGTCTTCTCAAACATCGTGGTCATCCGCGCTGTGCATTGTCGAGGGTGTTGAAGTGCAACTCGCGTAAAGTCGATAATTCCGCGAATGACGCAATTGCAGATTTTGAACAGAGATGGCGACAAAGAGGAAAAACTGTGGACTGCAGCTTTAAAAAAACAACAAAAAAAAAGATTATTTATGAAATATTTGACTCATGTTCTCGTTGTGGTGATGTAGGAGGCTCAAAGGCTGGAGTTCGATGACAAACTTCAGGTTTTCTCAGAGGTGTGCCGAAATTTCCGGCCAGTTTTCCGATACTTTTGCATGGAGCGCTTCCTAGATCCTGCAGTGTGGCTGGAGAGACAGCTAGCGTACACACGCAGTGTGGCCACCTCTTCTATCGGTACTCATACACATTACTTACACAAGTTTCCATTTGACCATAGACTGATTGTAGGGGCGCTAGATTAACGGGGGCTTGGGGCTTTAAATAGTCCGAGTGACTACAGTGGCTCAATCTTAAGTTTATCAAGTGACCAGAATACTGCACAAAAAAATCCTGAAAATAACGACTTTATTCAACTATTCATTTCCTTCTCAGTGGGCTTCGAGTGAGTTCACGTAGTGGAACAGTGCAGCGCTTCTGTGTTGTACATCTCGCACACACACGACCAGTGTCGGCCAATAGTGAGCCTACGTGTGACGTACACAGTGCACAGAAGCGCTGCGCTTTTAACTCAATCCAGGCCAACAGAGAAGAAAATAAATACTTGAAAACGTCGTTTTTTTTGGCACACAAAAAGTATTTTCGTCACTTTATAAAGTTAAGATTGAGCCACTGAAGTCACTTGGACTATTTTAACGATGTCTTTAATAACTTCTCTGGGCCGGCAAGTTTCAATCCCCTTAGAAGCCTATGGAGGAGTGATCAAGCTTTCAGATTTCATTAAAAATATCTTAATTTGTGTTCCGAAGATGAACGGAAAATTAGTTACTTGTTCAAGTGTTAATTATTCAATTAATTCCCATTTTGACCAATTATTTTCTGCATTGTTCAGCAGATAAGCCAAATATGTCTATAGAAGACTTGGAAATGTTTGGTGCCAAAAAGGCGTATCTGACGTTTTTGCTTTATATATATATATATTTTTTTTTATTTTAAAATGTTTTAGAAACATGTTCATTGTGTTAATATGCCATTCATGTTTTATTTAAATACTCATTCATGCAAGTATGCCTGTGGTTGCAGTGTTTGTGCTGTAAGGTTAATAATACAGGTGATTGAAGTGTGGTCACAATTTGGGTTTGGCTCCAAGCCCTCGATATCATGTATGTTATGTCATGTTTTACATGCTATGAAAATAACTACTGTGCAGTCTTGGTTTTCTAATGTGTAAAAAGCAATGAACAAGTGTCTGGGTAGCCAGAATATGACATGCAATTTGTCCATGTATTTTATTAAATAATTAAAATTAATAATAATCTCTATACTACAATAATAACCTATAAACCCCTCTGAGCAGCATTGAACAGTCTGTCAGGGTTTGTACAAGGTGTTTAAAGTACTTGAATTGGACTTTTTGAAAGTTAAGTCCTGGAAAACCCTTGAAAACAGGCATATTTGTTACATACAGTGCTTAACTTATACAAAGTACTATATGAAATGTCTTTTTTTTGTGTGGAAAAAACACAAATGCAATCTTTTCACGCAAAATTAACACTGCGTAAACTAAACCCCCATCAGACCTTTTCTCAATACAAAATACGCCAACATTATAATGTAAAACGTTGTTTATTGAAAAATAATACCCATTATAAACTTTATAAATATATATATTTATGAGTTGTATTTTAGATTCCATATATCTGTAATTTGTGTTTAAAAAAACACTGAAGATATTGTTTGATAAGTGCGATCTCTGATTTGTAGTCTTTGAAAACCAAAAAAGTATTGCTTGAAAAGTCCTGGGATTTGATCTTACAGTATCTGGACAAACTGTGGTGTGTATGTGTGAACAAACATATGCCTAATGTTGATAACTTTTTAATCATAATTGATAATGAGTGTTCTGATTGATTATGTATGTAGGCCTAATTGACATAAAAGGCAAGACGGATACATTTAATTAGATAATTATAAAGATCAGATTTTCCCAACCCCTTTAAAATACAATATGATTTCCTGGATTTCATAGACAATCATGTGAAAGTAGTGATGTGTCTTGTGTCTGACAGTGGGTTACATCGTTGGCCTGGGCGATCGGCACATTCAGAACATCCTCATCGACGAACAGACTGCAGAACTGGTCCACATCGACCTCGGTATGTGTGCACCCAAAACCAACGCTTCGGAAGGTCTCGGCTCTTTCTCCGTTTTACGTTTTCCCCTCCGTCGTCTCTCCGCACAGGTGTTGCGTTCGAGCAGGGTAAAATCTTACCCACCCCTGAGACAGTACCCTTCAGGCTGTCTCGAGACATTGTGGATGGGATGGGCATCACTGGGGTTGAGGGCGTCTTCCGGAGGTCAGTTGAAAAACGCGAGCGTTGTTCACTGACTCACTGAAATGATTCAAGTGTAAAAACCCCCAAATGGGACTCTTGATGTTTTGTGACATTATAATCAAAATGTAATTTGATTTCTGTGAAAGGAACTGAACAATTATTATGGTTTTTTTAGATGTTGTGAGAAAACAATGGAAGTTATGAGGAGTTCTCAGGAAGCCCTGTTGACCATTGTGGAGGTACAGATTCATATATCCCATCTCACACCTGACAGCTGTCATCCGTCGGAAAATGAATGTTTAATTGTGTGCGTGTGTTTGTGTGTGCGCAGGTGTTGCTGTATGACCCTCTGTTTGACTGGACCATGAACCCTCTGAAGGCCTTCTACCTGCAGCAACACGATGAGCAGGCGGAGCTCAACGCCACGCTCAACCCCACGCCGGGGGCGGATGAGATTGACGCGCATCGCAAGGCCAGGTAACACTCGTTTCTCTGGGGGTGTACACACTTAACCCTCTGGTGCTCTTCGGTCATTTCTGACCGAAAAAATTTCTGTTTTGAAATGTTAAAAATCACAGCTTCATCGGAATGTTACGAAACTTGGTGACTTTCATGGCATTATGGTATGTGAACACACAAAAAAATGAGGTCATGATCTGAGCAGGCTAAGTGGTCTTAAAAAAATAGTGGTCTTTCACACTTGTGGTCTTTGGTCAAAAATGACCCCCATAGGAAATAAATGGGAATGGGAAAAATGAAGAAAAAAATTGTGAATTTTTGTTTTTTGTAAAAATATTTTATATGAAATAGTTTTTGAGATTGTTTCAACTATATGTTCAAATCCACCACCAACAACAACAAAAAAAAAATGTGTTCATAAACAGCTGGGGAATTCACATGCCTCTCCATAGAGAGCTGTACATGCCATCTAGTGGTTACACCATGATTCTACGCTTTTTCTCTATACTGTAACCAGATGGTGCTAATTTTCTTCAAAAAAAATTTTTTTCTGAAGGCCTAAACTCTATAATAAAGTAAAATACTGCATTAATATTTTTTTTTAAAAAGTAATATATATATATATATATATATATATATATATATATATTTCCATGGCAAAAATAAACCATTAATATTGCATAAATATTAATAAATTCAATTAAATTGTCTCAAAATACTAAATTAAAAAGAATAAATATTATAGAACAAAAATAAATTGCATTGGTTTTACTGGGATGGAGAAAGTTTCATTTTTAGGTTTTCGGTCATTTTTGACCGGGAAGATAACAAGTGCGAGAGCACCTGAGGTTAAGAGTCCCGTGCTCTGACATTGGCTGTCATGGGGCATTATAACTGTGCCATGAATATTTTTCTTGACCTCAACTACAGTGGTACACATTTAATGTGTCATTAAAATGTTAATGACAGTCCTGACAGTGGTTATTTTTGACATTGATTTTTCCAAGGACTTGTAGTTGTAATGCTACACACTATTTCCAGCAATTCAAAGCTTGATCCAATTAAAATGTTATTTTTAATGTGATGGCCAAAAATTTGAATATTTAAATCATTTATGAAAAGGTTTTTTTCTTTAACACTTTTATTTTTTATTTTTTATTTACATGATGAACAATTAAAGCAAAAACAATATTAACAGAAGGGAGGAGAAGGAATTATACATAAATACATCACAGATGTATGCTACATGGCATAGACAGCTTTATACAGTCCCAGGGCCGTCACAATATCCATGCATATTCTCAAATATACATCATTGTATACCTGCATATCTAGAAAAAACACTGAACAACAAAGCCAAACTGGTGAGGTTAACCATTCTGATAGCCACTACTGTTTACTTTGTTAAAGATGTCTTTACATTCTTTATACATCAACCACTTTTCCCAGTCCCTTTTAAAAGCATCTTTTTTCATCTTTAAAATATATTTAAGTACTTCCATAACCATGATTTCTTCAATAATTCCAAACCATTGTTTACACTTCAAAGTTGTATCTTTAAGCCAGTTCCTAGTTATGTTTTTTTTTGCAAGCTGCAAGAAGGATCTTACATAGGTATTGATGACTTTAATATGAAAAGGTTTTTATGTGTTACTGTTGTCAAATGCATTATTGTCAAATGTGAATTTACAAGAAATAAGTGTAATGTTATTAGTTACTGCACTTGTTAAAGGGGCACTATGCAGGAATCCTGTTTTTGTCAAACAGCGACCCCTAGAGTCACTGTGGAGTACTTGAATTTAACGTTACTGTCGGAAATACCCCTCACGCAGAGCGTGACATGGCGTGTTACATAGTATACAATAGTACATTGTGTTTAATTTGTCGTTTAATGAGATCTAATATATGTTGTTAGCGGTGAGAATTTTCACGTGATTAAATACATATCCCCATGAACTTTAATGGTCCAGAGGCAGAACTTTTGCCAAGTGTGCCAGAGGAAAATACAGAGCTCACATTTAAGAAAAAAACAAACTTTTTAACATGATTTAACATGATCAGAGGCCCAAACATATTCAATTTGGTGCAGTTGCTGATATTTATATGGCCAAAAAGTAAGATTTCGAATTGCTTGTAATGCAAATCAATGAGATTCTTTATAATAGTATAGCAGACTTGCGTACATAAAATACATATAAATATCTGTTGTCTTAGTATGATATTTAAATCCTCGGATTAATGATCAAAGCTTTGTAGTTTTTATGTAATGCAATGATGATGATTGTACAAAAAAGCATTCCTTAAAAGCCTGGTTTATCATATTTAATACATTTTAAAAATGTATCTAAACAATAATGTATGCTCCAGTCCAGTATGTGTTCATCTTGAAATATTGCTTACAAGTTATTCTTACATTCACTACTATAAAAAACAGTAAAGATTTCACAGCAAAAAGAACTATTAATCAGACGGCATGTAGTAGATTTCTACAATAGGATTTTCAGCGAGTTTTGATCATGTTAGTAATTTAGAGAATTTATACATAGCAAATATGAAATATCTCATGAATGTGTGTATGGATCTCTTGAATTATGATCTGCTCAATGTGAGATTTTTTTTTACTAGTGTGTGCAGTACACTATAGTTCATTCATGTAAGAGAGGATAGCAAAATTAGGTAAACTGTGGAAGACATATTATACCCAAAAATCCATCATACAGTGACTACCAGTAACATTTATACAAATTTGGCACCAAAAAGTATTCAGACACTTTGACCTGAGCATGTTTTGTGTAAAACGCAACCTTTTTACACACAGACTGAACAACATGAAGCATTGCTTGGTGATTGGTTGAGCTAAATTGTAGGGATGCACCGATATTTTGGCCGATACCGATAACCGATAATTCTTTATATTTGAAAGCCGATAACCGATATATCGGCCGATAAATTTAAATCCAAATTTGTATCTAATTTTGAGAGCCTGATTACAAAAACAAAAGTCTCACAATTAAATCCATGTCCCAAGCGCACGATTATAATGATGTTCTCATTATAGTGTTGTACAGCCGATATGACAGATTTGCGCTGCACATGTTGTACCGAACCGTATTTTAATTTTTAAAAATCTCTTTTTAAAGAGATTTCAAAAATATTTCAAGAAAATCAAAATCATAAACAGTGCTCAACAAGTGTCTCAGCTGAAGGGAATAACACATTATTTATCGGCTTTAATATAGGCCGATATATCGTGCATCCCTACTAAATTGGTATTATCTAATTGTGTAGTTAAATTTATAAGGCCACCCTTAAAAATATTCTTGTTTGCCGTAACCCGACCGACCCTGTCAATTTAGGGCCGACCCAATTATTATTATTTTTTTTCCTTTTAGTCCGACCGATTTGCCGGTTGTAACCTGCGTTCAGACCGACCGATTTTTTTTTTACTCTTCAAACGACTAATTCAAATTCAATAAAATAATATTTATTATATTTTAGTTAGTATTGTGAAAGTTGCTTGTGTCTACATAGCCTACAAACGTAGGCTACGTTCTTTCTTAAATAAAAACCCGTGGCGTCATAGTCATCAGATTATGTCTACACCATTGGTTTAACGTTACGCGTGTCACTATATGGCTTACGTTCGCTCGTTTCAGTGTTCCCGCTTGGTACCCGGTATTAAAAGGGCAACGGGGCTGAATATCAACCATTTCTATAATAAAAATATTAAACAATTTGTCTGTGATGCAATTTTGCTATTCGCAGTCCAGAAGAGCGATCTCTCACCCGGAGCCACAGCGCGCACAGCACGACAGCCCTGCTTAATGAGTGACAATGAGGACAAAACGTGGTTACACTTTAGATCTGGGATATTATTCTAATTATATTTTAGATTTCCGCTTTCAAAGATTATAAAAAGAAGACATTTGAGATGAAACCATTACAGACGCATTCTGTCTAGCGCAACTTCCTTCCCTTCACAGCGTTGCGCTGTCATTTCTTCCTAAAGCCCAAACGTACCGTCAGAATCAGCACGATCGGTGATTGTTGTAAAATGCAGTCTGTACTGTTGCTAAACTGCGGACGCGTTCAATCATTAAAAGAGCTACTAAAAGCACAAAAGTCTGCGCAAGAGACGTTGTTCACGACGCGCGCTCCGAAATGCACTGAAACGAGACAAGAAAAGTAGGCTATCGCCTCATTTTGGGCTTCATGTGCGCATCTAAACCATCAAATATACATAAAATATAAAATGACCTGCTCTGAGATTCATTTAAACACAGTTTATGTCTTAATTGGACGTAAATAGTTGGGAGAAAATGATGGTGCATTAGTCATCTATTACAGTAGAGTTCTGCATTCGGTCTTAAAGGGGCAGTAGTCTAATAAACGTGACGATTGAGTCAGTGATGCGAATCAAACAACAAAAGGCAGATACAAATCACTCACAGCTCTTGAATGAATAACTTAAACTTTAATTAGCATTAATCTAACTATGATAAACTATTCAGTGTCATTTTACATTTGATTACTAGCTAAATTAAATTTCTTTTCAGAGAGAGCGACAGACTTAACTGAAAAGTAGCTAATTTTAGACCTTCCTGAAATTAAAGCACTGTGTATATAGGCTCATTTGTATCTTTGTTTAATTGTATTCTTTGTTTGACCATGTGTTTGTACTTGTTTTTGCTTATCTCATGTATATATGCATACTATGATATTTTATACATTTTGTGACTAGCCTAAAATGTAACTGGTCGTATTTTGCATTAACACCTAGCGGTGGATGCACAGTTTGAAGACCCAGTCAGTGACGTCACAATATGCATTTTTTTTTAAAATTCACGATCACCATCTCCAAAATTGTACCTTTTTTTTTTACACTGAATCTTGGAAAAAAAAATATAGACCTACCTACCGACCCTTTTTTTTAAAAAAATTGCTGTTACTGCAAACCAAAATATTTTTAAGGATGGCCTAATTCAACATAATTCATTTATGAGAGTCTAACAGAAGGACGGACAAAACCAGTGAAATATGAACCGAGTTCTTGTCATATTTTATAACCAACTACAGCGAATAAACTGTAATAAATGTTGAAGGTGTCTGACTGTACTGGTGTAGTCACAGTATGGAGTCGTGATGAGAACTGTGTGTACACACACCCTGAGGTTTTAAATGAACATACGGATGGCCACGTGTCTAACAGTCATGTGTGTTGTGTTTGTGCAGTGACAGTCAGAGCTTTAATAAAGTGGCGGAGCGAGTGTTACTGCGCCTGCAGGAGAAGCTGAAGGGTGTTGAGGACGGGACGGTGCTCAGCGTGGGTGGTCAGGTAAACCTCCTCATTCAGCAGGCCATGGACCCCAAAAACCTCAGCCGCCTCTTCCCCGGGTGGCAGGCCTGGGTCTGATACACACGCACAACACTCGCCACTTTGATTCTTACACCACAGAAATAACCTAAACAAGCACGTGAACAGTGGAAGTGCCTTATCGCTGTATTCTCAATGCGCTTCGTGACAACTCTGAACGTCCATCTTTAAAATGCACTATTAGCCTCTATACGGTTCAATCACATATTGAGCAATGTTCTAGTGAACAGTCGGATCAGTTTTTGTTCAAAACATCAAAATTGAAAACATTTTACCACAAGCTTTGAATAGTATGTATTAAATATGAATGTTTAAGTAATAATAGATAACAATGGAATTGAAAAGTTAAACACAAAGCTCATCACATGCTTTGATCAGTTTGGTTCATGTTGTAATGTGTACTTATAAACAGTACAGATATTACTTATTGGATAAATTGGATGCACAATAAATCACGGTTAAACTGTTAAGCTCTCAGTCTGTCTGTCATTTCAGTTTAAAACTAACTTTTGATAGTAAAACGATGACTAATAGTTTCCTTTTTTTTATTTAACATGTGGAATTGCAAGGGTTTTCAAACGTTTTACAATACATTTTTTCACACAGTATGAATTGGGCGTACTGTGTGATAAAATAATCTAGCTAATAATTGTAATTTTTTTTAGAAGGAAATATTTTATACGGCACATACATATGATTAACTGTCGCAATAACGAGATGTTCTGAAAAAAAAGAAAAAAAAAATCGCCTGTTTCACTCGGGAAAACCTTTGTGTGTGTCCAGAACGTTAGCTTAGAAAATACAGTGGCAACATAGATCATAAGAACATGAAGTGTTGCTCACACAAAAACAAGAAAAAAATGTATAAAACGATCCAAACAAAACAATAATAAATTACAAAAACATGTACATAAAATACTCAAATATACAGTCACCATACTGTAAATTATAAGGTGATAAACAGAACATTGAAATATTTTATGTTAAGTTAAAAGGAAATTATTAACTGTACAGTATTGCTAACCAACTTTACCATATAGTTAACTTACAGTTATACTGTGAAATATTGCAATGTAACTTTCAAATAGCAGGTTTTTACTGTAGCTTTTATACATTGTATCTCTGATACAAGCAAACATGAAGGAAACCATTTCCATGACCAATATACAGTTGTTTAAAGGGTTTTCTATAGCCTGGAAAACCCAGACAACTCCCGTCTAATTTAGATTGGCTCTGAAAGTTAGTCTGACAAAGAGGTTTTCTAATGTTAGCGCAGGAATATGATTCCAGCAGTGTTGGGAAGGTTACTTACAGATTACCCTATTAAAAATGTAATTCAATTACTTTATTAAAAGTAATGTAACTGATTTGATTTTATTACTTTTCTAATTAATGTTTTCAACTGTTCATCATTTTCAAACATTTCAACCAGGCGGGGTTACCCTTGTCCTCAACACTGATCACAAGCATAGCTCCTAAATATCCTTTACAATATAATTCAAGCCAGGAAATAAGAATTCATGCTGATATTGTCCACTTTGAAGCCTAGAGTGTTTCCAAACGTTCGTGAGGCGCTCTATGTCTGGCGATAGAAGCAGATTTGTACCCCTGATGACCTCATACGGTCTCTACTGTACTCCCATGAGACCGTTAGCCACATACTGTACAATCTCTGCTTCATTAATCAATGAGTTAATGAAGTTATAAAGAGCGTACGAGTCAGTGGAAGGATCATTCCAGATGCTTGAGGTTCATTAGTGGCTTCATGAGGCAAACCTCCTTTAAAACAGTTGCCGAGAGGCTGTTACGTAACTCACAAAACCACTTCAGTGTGTGTGTGTGTGTGTGCATCTCCTCAAAAACCCTAGAAACCAAAAATAAAAACCACAATCTGAAAATCTAGCTAGTTGTACTGATTTTCCCAAGTTGATATTAGTAATTATTTAGCCATTGATTTATTACGAAACGCGTTTGTCCGTTCAGGGCTACTGTAGAAACATTTTTTCACAGATGATTTTCTTTCTTATGTGAGATCGTATTATGATGTTTAGTGAATGTTTACACTGCTCTTTTCCATACAATGAATGGGGATGGACCTAAAAAATACTGACCCAACAATTGAGCCGGATATTGGATGGTAGTGTTTCCTGTTTCCTCTGCTTACAAATCCTTTTGTCCGACTCTAAATCAACTTGAATTAGACTGAGATTCTCATTAAATATTATTATTGTAGATATTTGCTTCACATATCTAAATTATAAGAGTCATGGTCTCACACCTGCATGATCTCACCCTCACAAACCCGCCATAACTTTACAGTAATTCATATCGTCACGTACATACTTGCCAAATCAGATAATAAGTGGCTTACTTATTTTAAGTGTGAAAAGCCCTAGAAATAATCATTTCCCAAGATTTATTTAGCAGGTAGGACTACACAAATGAAAATGAAAGAATTAGGAAACAAAATCAATTACAAAAAGCATCAAAATAAGTCCAAGAAGCACACCAAGACAGCACATCTCTCCTGGCTCTTTTGCCAGACTTTCTTAAAACCCCATTTCAGAAATGAAAGAAATCTGAAGGAATTATTAACTAAATCAAATTAGAAAATTGCCTCGCAAAAAAGGGTTATACGTGCTGTATAGGGGTTTCATCAACTAGTCGACCACTAGTTGGCGCTGTTGGCCTTAGTCGACTAGTCGGAAACAAAATGATGACATACATATAGATATATTTTTTTTGTTAACTATCTCTTTAAATACAAGCGGCAGTACTATATACTATAAGCACTATAAGGCGCACCTTCAATTACCTATTTTAGAACATTTTTCAAACGTTTGACTGGGTTTGTGTTATGCATCCACTGATGTGCAAAAGGGAATGCAGCGAGTGCGCGGCGTCGGAGGTGAGGCGTTTATTTAGTAAGCGTGAGCGCGCTGGGGCGGGCACGTAACTTACATTCGCAGCCTAACTCGCTGACAGTAGTGTCTGTTCGTGTGTGTGTTAAGAGTGAGCGCTCGTGAGCGGGAGACACACATAACCTGATTTATACGAGGTTGAACTGGCCGTGTGACAAAGCGGGCAGAAGATGGACACGAGCGCGAGCATTGATCCATGTATAATGCGCTCCGGATTATAAGGTTTGAGAAAAGGCCGGATTGAGGAAATTAAAGGCTTTTAAGTGCGCTTTATAGTGCGGAAAATACGAGTACTACTCTCGCTTTTAGACCAGCACGCGACGTGTTTAATATAGACGCATATTACACCAGATTTTCTCTCAAATGTTTGCTTTCACTTTAGACACAGCCAATTCTGTTTAAGTAAACATTGTGTGTATTTAGCAGTATTAGCATAATAAGACTCGAATACGGAGCCCCTCTAGTCCCACTTTGGTAAAAAAAATTAATTATAACTATCTTGTGGCCTCAAGATACTAACTCGTGGCCACAAGATAGTAACTCGTGGCCTCAAGATAGTAACTCGTGGCTTCAAGATAGTAACTTGTGGCCACAAGATAGTAACTCGTGGCCTCAAGATAGTAACTCGTGGCTTCAAGATAGTAACTCGTGGCCTCAAGATAGTAACTCGTGGCCTCAAGATAGTAACTCGTGGCCACAAGATAGTAACTCGTGGCCTCAAGATAGTAACTCGTGGCCTCAAGATAGTAACTCGTGGCTTCAAGATAGTAACTCGTGGCCTCAAGATAGTAACTCGTGGCCTCAAGATAGTAACTCGTGGCCACAAGATAGTAACTCGTGGCCTCAAGATTGTAACTCGTGGCCACAAGATAGTAACTCGTGGCCTCAAGATAGTAACTCGTGGCCACAAGATAGTAACTCGTGGCCTCAAGATAGTAACTCGTGGCTTCAAGATAGTAACTCGTGGCCACAAGATAGTAACTCGTGGCCACAAGATTGTAACTCGTGGCCTCAAGATAGTAACTCGTGGCTTCAAGATAGTAACTCGTGGCTTCAAGATAGTAACTCGTGGCCTCAAGATAGTAACTCGTGGCCACAAGATAGTAACTCGTGGCCACAAGATAGTAACTCGTGGCCACAAGATAGTAACTCGTGGCTTCAAGATAGTAACTCGTGGCCACAAGATAGTAACTCGTGGCCTCAAGATAGTAACTCGTGGCCTCAAGATAGTAACTCGTGGCCTCAAGATAGTAACTCGTGGCCTCAAGATAGTAACTCGTGGCCTCAAGATAGTAACTCGTGGCTTCAAGATAGTAACTCGTGGCTTCAAGATAGTAACTCGTGGCCTCAAGATAGTAACTCGTGGCCACAAGATAGTAACTCGTGGCCACAAGATAGTAACTCGTGGCCACAAGATAGTAACTCGTGGCTTCAAAATAGTAACTCGTGGCCACAAGATAGTAACTCGTGGCCTCAAGATAGTAACTCGTGGCCTCAAGATAGTAACTCGTGGCCTCAAGATAGTAACTCGTGGCCTCAAGATAGTAACTCGTGGCCTCAAGATAGTAACTCGTGGCCACAAGATAGTAACTCGTGGCCTCAAGATAGTAACTCGTGGCTTCAAGATAGTAACTCGTGGCCTCAAGATTGTAACTCGTGGCCACAAGATAGTAACTCGTGGCCTCAAGATAGTAACTCGTGGCTTCAAGATAGTAACTCGTGGCTTCAAGATAGTAACTCGTGGCCTCAAGATAGTAACTCGTGGCCACAAGATAGTAACTCGTGGCCTCAAGATAGTAACTCGTGGCCTCAAGATAGTAACTCGTGGCTTCAAGATAGTAACTCGTGGCCACAAGATAGTAACTCGTGGCCACAAGATAGTAACTCGTGGCCTCAAGATAGTAACTCGTGGCCACAAGATAGTAACTCGTGGCCACAAGATAGTAACTCGTGGCCTCAAGATAGTAACTCGTGGCTTCAAGATAGTAACTCGTGGCCTCAAGATTGTAACTCGTGGCCACAAGATAGTAACTCGTGGCCTCAAGATAGTAACTCGTGGCTTCAAGATAGTAACTCGTGGCTTCAAGATAGTAACTCGTGGCCTCAAGATAGTAACTCGTGGCTTCAAGATAGTAACTCGTGGCCTCAAGATAGTAACTCGTGGCCTCAAGATAGTAACTCGTGGCTTCAAGATAGTAACTCGTGGCCTCAAGATTGTAACTCGCGGCCACAAGATAGTAACTCGTGGCCTCAAGATAGTAACTCGTGGCCTCAAGATAGAAACTCGTGGCCACAAGATAGTAACTCGTGGCCACAAGATAGTAACTCGTGGCCACAAGATTGTAACTCGTGGCCACAAGATTGTAACTTGTGGCCACAAGATTGTAACTCGTGCCTGTGAGCGTCGGAGGTATGCCGCGCGCTCAGGAAAGTGCACGTTAGAACAGCGCGTGAATTAAATGTTTAACCGGCAAGGCTTATGCAAACAATGAACTTTTGTGAATTGCAGTGTCCCGTACCTATTCCTTAACGTGTGATGTGTAGGCTACGTCGCGTTGTACAGTTGAGACAGAGGCGCCAGAACTGATAGAATACACTGTAACAAGATACTACCATATTTCTTCAAAAGCAGATCGTGGAGACATTTACTATTCGTAATGTCGCACACCCCTAGAATAAACCATTTAACGACTAGTCGACTAGTCGTCGACTGTTATGCAAAACTAGTCGACTAGCAAAAATCAGTAGTTGTGAAACCCCTAGTGCTGTATAACATTTACAATAGCAATAATTTGACCTCTACAGCATCCCTCCCCATTTATTTTCATTGTACGAAAAAAGAGCAGAGCCAAAGGTGAGTACATTATGACAAATTTTTATTTTGGGGTGAAGTCTAAAAGGAAACCAAAGCCTCTAGATGCGAACAGTACATAAACTTTGCTTCATTGGACCACGAACCTCATTGCTGATTTCCAGTAGCTTAAGTGACACAATTATATTGAAGAGTAAGAATAAAAAGAGCAGCATACTTTGAAGTACAGGGTAATGTTGATGCTCATATTTTGGCACTTATTTATGATTACTATAAAAATCACATGTATAATCATGACTCCTTCATCGTTCAGTAGTGTTGTCCTGCTTGAAAAGTTCAATCTACCGTAAAAAGTGTCCAGAAGTGTTTAAATCCAGGCATCTTGATGTTTTGGGGAAAGTCCCTCACCCAGAGCTCAGTGCAGTGTGTTCGCCTGTTACCTGCCCTGAGGTCCCTTCAGCCCTGCTCTCGTCCTCCATCAACGCCTGACGTCACTTGATGCGATGGCGCACCAGCGAGGACTCGTCCGTGATCTCTCCGTCCCGGTGGCATCGGCAGGGCAGGATGAGCAGGATGAGGAGCACGATCAGGACCGCTGCACATACGCCCATCAGAGTGTATGCGATCACCCACATCATCGGCTCCCGAAGAGACGTGCCTCTGGTGCAGTCGGACGCTACGCCCTCGGCGAGGAACGGCCCGGCGATCTCTGCAAACGGTACACCGCCGTTTTCTGTTTGGAGGACAGGAGAGGTGTATACAGAGAGAACCAGAACCAACAGTAACACACTAGTCCACTCAAAGAAACAATCCTGGCGCCATTTGAACAGTTCATCCCAAAGTAGACTTCGGTTTCTACAAGTACATCGTTTCAGCCTTAAATTACATTGTTTAAATTAAAGGAGTAGTTCACTTTTGAAAAAAACTTTTGCTGATAATTTACTCACCTCCATGTCATCCAAGATGTCCATGTCTTTCTTTCCTCAGTCGAAAAGAAATTAAGGTTTTTGATGAAAACATTCCAGGATTTTTCTCCTTATAATGGACTTCAATGGGAACCAGACGGTCCGAGGTCCAAACGACAGTTAATAACAGTTTCAGATGCAGCTTCAAATGTCTTTAAACGACACCAGACGATGAATAAGGGTCTTATCATGCGAAACGATCGGTTATTTCAAAGCTTATTCCAAAAATGTAACTTTTCTAAGGACAAATGCTAGCCTTTCTCCATTCTGTGAGGCGCGTTTGCAACGTCACGTAATACGTAATTACGTTCAAAAGGTCACGGGCGACGTAGCCGGAAGTACAGAGTCAGTGTTTACAAGTTGAACGTATAGGTTGAACGTGCAAACTAACTCAAACACCGTTTACAAAAAAGGAATTAAAAGGTAAAGCAACGATGTCGGACGATTTTGATTCTGTACTTCCGGCTACGTCGCCCGTGACCTTTTGAACGTAATTACGCATTACGTGACGTTGCAAACGCGCCTCACAGAATAGAGCGAGGCTAGCATTTGTCCTTAGAAAAGTTACATTTTTGAAATAAGTTTTGAAATAACCGATCGTTTCGCATGATAAGACCCTTATTCATCGTCTGGTGTCATTTAAAGTAGTGCTGTAGCGGCGCGTCGATGACGCCGATGATTCGACGTAAAAATTGCGTCGACGTCATATTTTTGCGTCGACGCTTCTTTATTTATTTATTTTTTGCATGTTCCCGGCGGTCCAGCTTGCCACACACACGTGGGAGACCGAAACATTGCGGAATAGAGGACGAAGACAACTAGAAGTGAATGTGCTATCCATTTAATGAATCACACACAGTAAACAAACCCTTAAGAAAAAAAATTGCAATTTAGATGCGCAAACTGGGTGCCGGTGTGGTGAGACGTACAAGCTCGGGCAGATTCGGCTTAAAGCTGTTCCCGGACGCGGCGCCGGGCGCGCTGTTACAAAAAAAGGCATACACACAGCCAGCCACAGTCTTCCTGGTCTTGCGCACCCAACGCGTCATTTTTGCCGCACGCACATTCGCGCTCGTGGGGACGTGTCGAGTATAAACAAGGCTTTACTCCGTGTCAGCACACTCTGATCAGTAGGTGCACAAACCTCTCCCGATTCATCTCCAGTCGTAGCAGACTCCGATCGCACCACTAACTCCGCCTCCGTTTCCCTCCTCAGCTGATATTAATATTTAAACATTCTCTATGATAAAAACTGTTGGTAAAAAAAATATTTTAATAACACAGTTTTGGCGGTTGTAGAGTTATAATGATGGTGTTCAAATACATAACATTAGACTAACGTTAGCCAGCTTATAGTATCTTGATTCAGTATGCTAGTATTTATTTGAGATATTGTTTTTTTATTAATTGAGCAGCAGAAAAAAATATTCTTTATATTAGTTGTCCAATTAGTAATTAGATTAGTCGACTAATCGATAAAATAATCGCCCAACTAATCGTTTAGTTTATAATCGTTTACCCCAGCCCTAATTTCAAGACATTTGAAGCTGCATCTGAAACTGTTATTAACTCTCATTTCGACCTTGGACCGTCTGGTTCCCATTGAAGTCCATTATATGGAGAAAAATCCTGGAAAGTTTTCATCAAAAACCTTAATTTCTTTTCGACTGAAGAAAGAAAGACATGTACATCTTGGATGACATGGGGGTGAGTAAATTATCAGCAAAAGTTTTTTTCAAAAGTGAACTAATCCTTTAAGACATTTTTACTGTGATTGTATATGTACATTTCTGAATTACATAGCTAAGTCAGCTCTGATAACAGATCTCTCTAAATTGTAATGTGGACATTTTCTGTAAAGCTGCTTTGAAACGATGTGTATTGTGAAAAGTGCTATAAAATGAATGTGAACTGAATAGATAACGTTTTTCCCTTGAAATATTTCATGCAGTGTTGACCAATAAATGCAGATTCTTTCAGAATTTGCATAAATAAAGTTTGACTTATTTGTTGGCATTGCTTCAACACTGTGCTAACTAGCTAAAGTCAGCGAATAAGACACAATGTCTCAGACCACAACGTGTCTGTCCTGTTTTGGCCACTGTAGCTTCTTCGAAAAGGAGCGGTGGGCTGAGCCATTGGTTGCGATTCGCATTTCGCAACCGCTAAAGTCCACACACACTGCACCTTTAAATGAAAGTCTGCTTCGAGACTGTGACACCCCTGGGCACACGTCTTTGAGGCTCCCAAACCCCTGTGTCTACTTGTGTCCCACCTACCTGCACATGTGCTAACAGCAAAGCCCACCCTCTTTTGTGCACGGTCAAAGATGACGTAGAAGCCCTCCATCACAGTGGCTCCAATGACTAAGCCATTGGCTGAAGGGGAGACTCCGAACCGGAAACAGTCCAATGTCCCGTCGATATCTGTGACTGGCTGGACGTACAGCTGCAGAGACAAAAACTGATGTCAAAAGACCTGCGAGCTATGTACATTCTCATTTTCTGCTCAACTTAAAGAGTAACTAAACACTAAACCAACTTGTTTTAGTTAATGATCTGTAAGAATGGATCTTTATTAATACCAGTCATTGATTCGAGTAACTTTTTTGACATTTGTTTATAAAGTGTTCTATTTCTACAATATATGGTGTAAAAACGTCTTAGTGCTGCCCTCTTCAGGTTGAACGGTGGCTACTGCAGTTGAATTTTCCTATTGGATGTTCCGCACTTCGTGACGTACGCAGGTTTCAGCTCACCACGCGAGCTACGCCCTTGGCAGTATATCTTGTGTCGTCAAAACCACTGTAGGGAGTCAGGAATTGGAATTGTGAGTATTGAAAACGACCAGGATAGTGTGTTTTAGCATCTATTTCGTCCCCTCTATCTCCGCAGGGGTCAGCCCACTTTTTCAGCATTTTCAAATATTGCCAGTGGGTGGAGTCAGGCTCTGACCAGGGGTTTAGTTACCCTTTAAGAAAATATGCAACTTTATCACATCAAAATCAACAAAGTATATCATGGGTTTGGAGCCTAAGGGGGCCGTGTACAAGCAGGGGTGCCGTAACGGGGCGATTCCCTCAACCATTGGGGACACATCGATTCAACCAACACTGAATTTTAAGACACTATTCTCCTCAGAGACAATCTGTCCACCAGTTAAGACAAATGTTTGGTAAGAGATTGTCCCCAAAAAATCCTGAAAACTGACTGCGAAGCAGATGTTAGTAATAAACTAGTAGAGTTTTTATTCATATTTTGAAATAGCTTTTATATTTACATGCTCTCGTCATTTTTTTAGTCTTTGTTTCAAACATAACAAAGATGAAATTATTTGCATTCAGTTTCTCTAAGGATAGTCCTGACCTGTGGGTGGATGGTGATGCGAAAGGACTGGCTGGTGTTCGTTGCTCTGAGGTAGATTGAGAGTTTGGGGAAAAGCCTCCATGGTGATTCTCCTCTCATCCAACACGCAAGCTTAGTGCCGTCAAAAAATCCAGCAGAGAAATCCTCAATCTAGGAGAGCAGGAGAACCCCTTAAATACGCACAAAATGTGTTCCTGAGGTAAATAATTTGCCAAAAACGGAGGGTCATACCAATGATGTTTGCATGATGGCGTCCACCACAGCACTAAACACATTTTCAGGAAGTCGCAGTAGAGTCGTCCCGCTATCCACAATGGCTTTATCCGAGTTGTACTGAACAAAGGGAGAGAAAAACAAGATCACTAATTCTCATCGCTGCCGAATATTTTATCGAATGCTGTAGTTACGCCACTGGCGGCCATTAAAGTTACTTTTCAACTCGCCCATGTGTTTTTCTAAAAGACTATTATCTGGTTGAATTGACTTTATTTTTGATCTAGACTGTGTCATGTACCTCTTTGCAATCTAGGTTTAAATTTTGGTCTCCAACTTCAAGCTTCAAGACTTCCACTTGATAGTACCACTCTTCCAGGATTGGTGTGTACCAAACTGAACCCTGGTACAAGGTTGGCTCAACTCCTCCCATGATCTGAAACACAACACAAAGGCATAGAAGCATGTCATCCTCTATGAAAACTCAGCTTTTAATGTGGTTTACATGTCTATGTGGCTAAAATGAACGAATCTTTTTCCGAGTCATTTGGTTCATTGAACAAACTAAACAAACAAATTGACTCAGAAAAAGATTCGTTCATTTTGATGAATGACAGAACAGAGCAAGGCGACCATTTGAGCTTATAAAACTTAAACTTTTTTCTTTATTATTTTTTTTTAAATGAGCAATCGTTTCCCTTGTTAAGACCCTTATTCATCACCCTTTTAACTGTTTGCAGTTTGCACTGAAAGTGTCTTTCGGACTTTGAACCGTTTGGTTACCATTGAAGTCCATTATATGGAGAAAAAAAATCAAGAACCTTAATTTCTTTTCGACTGAAGAAAGAAAGACATGGACATTTTGGATGACATGGGGTGAGTAAATTATCAGCAAAAGTTTTTTGAAAAGTGAACTACTTCTTTAAGACAAATGTGTAAATTCACAAGTTGACAGCATTGCTGTGTATTTTCTCCTTAAAACTGCAGTGAAAAAAAAAGGTATCATCTGAATACCCAGGTTCTCTTTTTTAAGTAACAATGGATCTACAATATCTATTTCCTTATATTTAAGAATATTAGATAAAGAAAAAGATGATCAAAATACATTCAAATGAAGATAATAAAACAGACTAGATCTGGCATTTGACTTCTGCAAATAGCATCTAATTAAGAGGCTAGTCAAATATTTCCAAAAGGCTTTGGCCATTGTTCAGCGGTGGACACAGGACACACCCCTCCCCACCGCTCTTCCCATCTGCTCCTCTCTGCGGGACACGTGGCCGTCTCTTCTTCCAGCGCTCCCGTATTGCTAACAGAATGTGCTGGCAGCAGGGGGCTCTCTTTAGCTTAATTAGCTTCTCACTAACGAGACACGCCATCCTATAGTAGGCAGCGGAGGTGTGAGACGCAGAGCACACGCACTGAGCTTATTATGTTTCTTGAGTAGCACTGAGAAACCCAATCTCATCTGTCCTTGTACGAGTCTGATATATGAGAGCAGGAATCCTGAAGGATACTTATGGCACCAACTTGTATGATTAAAATCAATAATACCTAATAACAATGTTCTCAATTGTGAAAATCAAGTTTTGAATAGTGTATGCATGTCTATGTGGTGTTTTTATTGGCTTTAAGACATGCAAGTTCATAAGTCGACTCTTACGTGTTTCTGACGTCAAACTACCTGTGATCGTCAACGAGTGGATCTCTGAGCTGAGTGAGTGGAGGCGGGGCTCACTTGCATATTTATAGAACCATGTATACTAAGTGAGGCAAGGGTGTACAGTTACATTCAAGATATTAAGAATGAAGAAATTGTTTAAGTAAAAAAAAAAGTCTAAATATGTCATTTTAGATGACAATTTTGAAAACGTTGCTTAACTCAAAATGTGTTCCATCATATTAAGTTATCTAACACATTTTGTTTTCCTAATTTAGAAACATTACCAAAAGTATGAAAAGTAAGAATTATATAGTGTTGGCAAAACGAAAACAGCTCTTGCCAAAAGTATTTTTGTGAAATTACCAAAGACAATAACATTTATTTTATAGAAAAAGTTATTTAAAGAATGTTTTGTGACTAAATTCATAAATATTATTAGAGATACTTAATATTTAAACGTATTTCATATGAAAATGTAATTGTTTTCATGTTAACATAAACAAATTGGTGTACACACAGTAGAGTAGCAGTTCACTCCTAGTAGTTGAATTAGTTGTACTAAATTGGTATATTTTTGCTGTTCAATGTAAGACTGCTTCAGGTTTGGTACACACCAAGCTGCCGCCCGCTGGGTCAGCTGTAGTGCTGGCTGAGACTCCTGCTCCGCACATCTGGAGAGAAAACACATCTGGAATCCCAGTCTGCCGCACAACAGAGTTGAAGAAGGGTTCCACTGACGGGTCGGGCTGAGAGGAGAAAAAGACCAAATGCATCCTATTTAAGAAGCTCTTTTCAGATCATATAATACTAATAGTCTAAGTCCAAATGGTCCCACTTTAACGATAGTGTAAGTACACATTGGTACATAATATCAACAGCTGTAATAATTGTGCTCCTACACATATGTAACAACCCACAGAATGGCATGTGCAAATACAAATGTGTAACAGGACATTGGTAACAACACTTTGTACCAGGAATTGTTAACTTCATTTTATAACAACAATATGTGTTTACACAAGTTGATGGCCTTCCATCAAAGAATACCAAGGTAACTGTACTTGCACTGCTTTGAAACCAACCCTGGTAAAATAAACTATTTACAATTATTAATCATTGACTCGGTCACTTAATAATAGCAAATATACAACTATCTTATAGAAGAGTACATAAACCATTCTCAAACAGTCACATTTTAATTTGTTCACGTCATCTGATTCCCTGTTTGTCATTGGTTATTCGTCTGTTCATAGTTCGCAGGTGTCCCTTGTCATTAGTCCAGGGTTCTCCAAACTCGGCGCTGCAGAGTTTAGCTCCAACCTTGATCAAACACACCTCAGCAAGCTAATCAAGGTCTTCAGAATCACTAGAAACCCACAGGTGTGTTTGATCAGGGTTGGAGCTAAACTCTGCAGGGACAGTGGCCCTCCAGGACCGAGTTTGGGGAACCCTGCATTAGTCTGCGTATTTAAGCTCTCGTGTTTGCCATGTGTCTTGGTAAAGTTTAGTTTCTTGTAGATTGTTAACTTAGATAAGTTTATGTTCCTGTCTTTCATGTTCTATGTTTTTTTTTAATAAACTGCAATTTGGTTCTACTCTACAACTTGCATTCAGTAGATCCATTACAGAAACTCAAAACACCATTGATGTTTAAGGATCTGAGGCACACCTTTGTGACATTCAACTTATCACATAATAACCACAATCAAACAGTTTGCACAAACTGATAACGTAACACACCTTTTATAAACAAAACAACCATGTAACACCATCATGTGACTTACCCGAACCAGTAGAGGATAAGCAAGTCCAAGAATTCCCTGCCAGTTGATTCCAGGCAGAAAGAAGCCTTCTGAGGTGAGGATTGAAGCTATGTTGATGGTGATGGTCCCATTGGGCCCTTTAGGAATGGTGATGCGGTCAGTTCCCAGTTCCCCCTCCCATTCTCCCTGAGTGTATTTTACTGCAACTGCTCTCCCAGTGCTCTGATATGTACTGGAACTGAGCAAACAGTCATAACTTTGGTTTATATCGAATGCACTACAAACATAATTCACTAACAAACATTAAAAGATTGGAATTAATTAATATAAGTTTTGGCTGGATGCTTTGTTATAAAACAGTGTGATGTAGTTGTGAGATGTTTTGATCTTTGAACTGTATAGTAGTCTAAGGATGTGATCTTAAAGTGAACTGTCATAGTAGTGTGTGATGTAGGGATGTGATCTTACAGTGAACTGTTATAGTAGTGTGTGATGTAGGGATGTGATCTTAAAGTGAACTGTCATAGTAGTGTGTGATGTAGGGATGTGATCTTACAGTGAACTGTTATAGTAGTGTGTGATGTAGGGATGTGGTCTTACAGTGAACTGTAATAGTAGTGTGTGATGTAGGGATGTGATCTTACAGTGAACTGTAATAGTAGTGTGTGATGTAGGGATGTGATCTTACAGTGAACTGTTATAGCAGTGTGTGATGTGCTGCTTTGATACAATCTGTATTGTGAAAAGCATTATATAAATAAATGTGACTTGACTAGTGTGTGATGTAGAGATGTGATCTTACAGTGAACTGTTATAGTAGTGTGTGATGTAGGAATGTGATCTTACAGTGAACTGTTATAGTAGTGTGTGATGTAGGAATGTGATCTTACAGTGAACTGTTATAGTAGTGTGTGATGTAGGGATCTGATCTTACAGTGAACTGTTATAGCAGTGTGTGATGTAGGAATGTGATCTTACAGTGAACTGTTATAGTAGTGTGTGATGTAGGGATGTGATCTTAAAGTGAACTGACATAGTAGTGTGTGATGTAGGGATGTGATCTTACAGTTTTCTGTTATAGTAGTGTGTGATGTAGGAATGTGATCTTACAGTGAACTGTTATAGTAGTGTGTGATGTAGGAATGTGATCTTACAGTGAACTGTTATAGTAGTGTGTGATGTAGGGATGTGATCTTAAAGTGAACTGACATAGTAGTGTGTGATGTAGGGATGTGATCTTACAGTTTTCTGTTATAGTAGTGTGTGATGTAGGAATGTGATCTTACAGTGAACTGTTATAGTAGTGTGTGATGTAGGAATGTGATCTTACAGTGAACTGTTATAGTAGTGTGTGATGTAGGGATGTGATCTTAAAGTGAACTGACATAGTAGTGTGTGATGTAGGGCTATGATCTTAGAGTGCTCTGTTATAGTAGTGTGTGATGTAGGGATGAGATCTTAAAGTGAACTGACATAGTAGTGTGTGATGTAGGGATGTGATCTTACAGTGTTCTGCAGTGTGTTAGTGCAGTGTGTTATAGCACTGTTATAGTAGTGTGTGATCTTAAAGTGAACTGACATAGTAGTGTGTGATGTAGGGATGTGATCTTACAGTGTTCTGTTATAGTAGTGTGTGATGTGGGGATGTGATCTTACAGTGCTCTGTTATTGTAGTGTGTGATGTAGGGATGTGATCTTACAGTGCTCTGTTGTAGTAGTGTGTGATGTAGGAATGTGATCTTACAGTGAACTGTTATAGTAGTGTGTGATGTAGGAATGTGATCTTACAGTGAACTGTTATAGTAGTGTGTGATGTAGGGATCTGATCTTACAGTGAACTGTTATAGCAGTGTGTGATGTGCTGCTTTGATACAATCTGTATTGTGAAAAGCATTATATAAATAAATGTGACTTGACTAGTGTGTGATGTAGAGATGTGATCTTACAGTGAACTGTTATAGTAGTGTGTGATGTAGGAATGTGATCTTACAGTGAACTGTTATAGTAGTGTGTGATGTAGGGATGTGATCTTAAAGTGAACTGACATAGTAGTGTGTGATGTAGGGATGTGATCTTACAGTTTTCTGTTATAGTAGTGTGTGATGTAGGAATGTGATCTTACAGTGAACTGTTATAGTAGTGTGTGATGTAGGAATGTGATCTTACAGTGAACTGTTATAGTAGTGTGTGATGTAGGGATGTGATCTTAAAGTGAACTGACATAGTAGTGTGTGATGTAGGGATGTGATCTTACAGTTTTCTGTTATAGTAGTGTGTGATGTAGGAATGTGATCTTACAGTGAACTGTTATAGTAGTGTGTGATGTAGGAATGTGATCTTACAGTGAACTGTTATAGTAGTGTGTGATGTAGGGATGTGATCTTAAAGTGAACTGACATAGTAGTGTGTGATGTAGGGCTATGATCTTAGAGTGCTCTGTTATAGTAGTGTGTGATGTAGGGATGAGATCTTAAAGTGAACTGACATAGTAGTGTGTGATGTAGGGATGTGATCTTACAGTGTTCTGCAGTGTGTTAGTGCAGTGTGTTATAGCACTGTTATAGTAGTGTGTGATCTTAAAGTGAACTGACATAGTAGTGTGTGATGTAGGGATGTGATCTTACAGTGTTCTGTTATAGTAGTGTGTGATGTGGGGATGTGATCTTACAGTGCTCTGTTATTGTAGTGTGTGATGTAGGGATGTGATCTTACAGTGCTCTGTTGTAGTAGTGTGTGATGTGGGGATGTGATCTTACAGTGATCTTAATATGAACTGACATAGTAGTGTGTGATGTAGGGATGTGATCTTACAGTGAACTGTTATAGTAGTGTGTGATGTAGGGATGTGATCTTACAGTGCTCTGTTGTAGTAGTGTGTGATGTGGGGATTTGATCTTACAGTGATCTTAATGTGAACTGACATAGTAGTGTGTGATGTAGGGATGTGATCTTACAGTGCACTGTTATAGCAGTGTGTGATGTAGGGATGTGATCTTAAAGTGAACTGCCATAGTAGTGTGTGATGTAGGGATGTGATCTTACAGTGAACTGTTATAGTAGCGTGTGATGTAGGGATGTGATTTTACAGTGAACTGTTATAGTAGTGTGTGATGTAGGGATTTGATCTTACAGTGCACTGTTATAGTAGTGTGTGATGTAGGGATGTGATCTTACAGTGAACTGTTATAGTAGTGTGTGATGTAGGGATGTGATCTTACAGTGCACTGTTATAGTAGTGTGTGTGATGTAGGGATGTGATCTTACAGTGAACTGTTATAGTAGTGTGTGATGTGGGGATGTGATCTTACAGTGAACTGTTATAGTAGTGTGTGATGTAAGGATGTGATCTTACAGTGCTCTGTTATAGTAGTGTGTGATGTAAGGATGTGATCTTACAGTGAACTGTTATAGTAGTGTGTGATGTAGGAATGTGATCTTACAGTGAACTGTTATAGTAGTGTGTGATGTAGGGATGTGATCTTAAAGTGAACTGACATAGTAGTGTGTGATGTAGGGCTATGATCTTAGAGTGCTCTGTTATAGTAGTGTGTGATGTAGGGATGAGATCTTAAAGTGAACTGACATAGTAGTGTGTGATGTAGGGATGTGATCTTACAGTGTTCTGCAGTGTGTTAGTGCAGTGTGTTATAGCACTGTTATAGTAGTGTGTGATCTTAAAGTGAACTGACATAGTAGTGTGTGATGTAGGGATGTGATCTTACAGTGTTCTGTTATAGTAGTGTGTGATGTGGGGATGTGATCTTACAGTGCTCTGTTATTGTAGTGTGTGATGTAGGGATGTGATCTTACAGTGCTCTGTTGTAGTAGTGTGTGATGTGGGGATGTGATCTTACAGTGATCTTAATATGAACTGACATAGTAGTGTGTGATGTAGGGATGTGATCTTACAGTGAACTGTTATAGTAGTGTGTGATGTAGGGATGTGATCTTACAGTGCTCTGTTGTAGTAGTGTGTGATGTGGGGATTTGATCTTACAGTGATCTTAATGTGAACTGACATAGTAGTGTGTGATGTAGGGATGTGATCTTACAGTGCACTGTTATAGCAGTGTGTGATGTAGGGATGTGATCTTAAAGTGAACTGCCATAGTAGTGTGTGATGTAGGGATGTGATCTTACAGTGAACTGTTATAGTAGTGTGTGATGTAGGGATGTGATTTTACAGTGAACTGTTATAGTAGTGTGTGATGTAGGGATTTGATCTTACAGTGCACTGTTATAGTAGTGTGTGATGTAGGAATGTGATATTACAGTGAACTGTTATAGTAGTGTGTGATGTAGGGATGTGATCTTACAGTGCACTGTTATAGTAGTGTGTGTGATGTAGGGATGTGATCTTACAGTGAACTGTTATAGTAGTGTGTGATGTGGGGATGTGATCTTACAGTGAACTGTTATAGTAGTGTGTGATGTAAGGATGTGATCTTACAGTGCTCTGTTATAGTAGTGTGTGATGTAAGGATGTGATCTTACAGTGCTCTGTTATTGTAGTGTGTGATGTAGGGATGTGATCTTACAGTGCACTGTTATAGTAGTGTGTGTGATGTAGGGATGTGATCTTACAGTGAACTGTTATAGTAGTGTGTGATGTAAGGATGTGATCTTACAGTGCTATGTTATTGTAGTGTGTGATGTAGGGATGTGATCTTACAGTGCACTGTTATAGTAGTGTGTGATGTAGGGATGTGATCTTAAAGTGAACTGTTATAGCAGTGTGTGATGTAGGGATGTGATCTTAAAGTGAACTGTTATAGTAGTGTGTGATGTAGGGATGTGATCTTACAGTGAACTGTTATAGTAGTGTGTGATGTAGGGATGTGATTTTACAGTGAACTGTTATAGTAGTGTGTGATGTAGGGATGTGATCTTACAGTGAACTGTTATAGTAGTGTGTGATGTAGGGATTTGATCTTACAGTGCTCTGTTGTAGTAGTGTGTGATGTAGGGATGTGATCTTACAGTGATCTTAATGTGAACTGACATAGTAGTGTGTGATGTAGGGATGTGATCTTACAGTGAACTGTTATAGTAGTGTGTGATGTAGGGATGTGATCTTAAAGTGAACTGTCATAGTAGTGTGTGATGTAGGGATGTGATCTTACAGTGAACTGTTATAGTAGTGTGTGATGTAGGGATGTGATCTTACAGTGAACTGTAATAGTAGTGTGTGATGTAGGGATGTGATCTTACAGTGAACTGTCATAATAGTGTGTGATATAGGGATGTGATCTTACAGTGAACTGTTATAGTAGTGTGTGATGTAGGGATGTGATCTTACAGTGAACTGTTATAGCAGTGTGTGATGTGCTGCTTTGATACAATCTGTATTGTGAAAAGCACTATATAAATAAATGTGACTTGACTAGTGTGTGATGTAGAGATGTGATCTTACAGTGAACTGTTATAGTAGTGTGTGATGTAGGAATGTGATCTTACAGTGAACTGTTATAGTAGTGTGTGATGTAGGGATGTGATCTTAAAGTGAACTGACATAGTAGTGTGTGATGTAGGGATGTGATCTTACAGTTTTCTGTTATAGTAGTGTGTGATGTAGGGCTATGATCTTAGAGTGCTCTGTTATAGTAGTGTGTGATGTAGGGATGTGATCTTAAAGTGAACTGACATAGTAGTGTGTGATGTAGGGATGTGATCTTACAGTGTTCTGCAGTGTGTTATTGCAGTGTGTTATAGCACTGTTATAGTAGTGTGTGATGTAGGGATGTGATCTTAAAGTGAACTGACATAGTAGTGTGTGATGTAGGGATGTGATCTTACAGTGCTCTGTTATTGTAGTGTGTGATGTAGGGATGTGATCTTACAGTGCTCTGTTATTGTAGTGTGTGATGTGGGGATGTGATCTTACAGTGATCTTAATGTGAACTGACATAGTAGTGTGTCATGTAGGGATGTGATCTTACAGTGAACTGTTATAGTAGTGTGTGATGTAGGGATGTGATCTTACAGTGTTCTGTTATAGTAGTGTGTGATGTGGGGATGTGATCTTACAGTGCTCTGTTATTGTAGTGTGTGATGTAGGGATGTGATCTTACAGTGCTCTGTTGTAGTAGTGTATGATGTGGGGATGTGATCTTACAGTGATCTTAATGTGAACTGACATAGTAGTGTGTCATGTAGGGATGTGATCTTACAGTGAACTGTTATAGTAGTGTGTGATGTAGGGATGTGATCTTACAGTGCTCTGTTGTAGTAGTGTGTGATGTGGGGATCTGATCTTACAGTGATCTTAATGTGAACTGACATAGTAGTGTGTGATGTAGGGATGTGATCTTACAGTGCACTGTTATAGTAGTGTGTGATGTAGGGATGTGATCTTAAAGTGAACTGTTATAGCAGTGTGTGATGTAGGGATGTGATCTTAAAGTGAACTGTCATAGTAGTGTGTGATGTAGGGATGTGATCTTACAGTGAACTGTTATAGTAGTGTGTGATGTAGGGATGTGATTTTACAGTGAACTGTTATAGTAGTGTGTGATGTAGGGATGTGATCTTACAGTGAACTGTTATAGTAGTGTGTGATGTAAGGATGTGATCTTACAGTGCTCTGTTATAGTAGTGTGTGATGTAGGGATGTGATCTTACAGTGAACTGTTATAGTAGTGTGTGATGTAGGGATGTGATTTTACAGTGAACTGTTATAGTAGTGTGTGATGTAGGGATGTGATCTTACAGTGCTCTGTCATAGTAGTGTGTGATGTGGGGATGTGATTTTACAGTGAACTGTTATAGTAGTGTGTGATGTAGGGATTTGATCTTACAGTGAACTGTTATAGTAGTGTGTGATGTAGGGATGTGATCTTACAGTGAACTGTTATAGTAGTGTGTGATGTAGGGATGTGATCTTACAGTGAACTGTTATAGTAGTGTGTGATGTAAGGATGTGATCTTACAGTGCTCTGTTATAGTAGTGTGTGATGTAGGGATGTGATCTTACAGTGAACTGTTATAGTAGTGTGTGATGTAGGGATGTGATCTTACAGTGCTCTGTCATAGTAGTGTGTGATGTAGGGATGTGCTGCTGCAGCTACAGCAAAGTTGCTGCTTCCAGTATCAACCAGGATGTTTAGCTGCAATGACAGAAAACAATGATGTTACACAATTTTTTATGCATTACTTGGTAATAATGACATTTCAAACAAATACTCCATATTAAATATAACTTCTTAACCGATAAAATGTAAATGTTAATCTTAATGGTGCAGTGTGTGATTTTTAGCGACATCTAGAGTTTTGTTGCGAGTTTGCACTAAGGGCTCAGCCCACTGTAGCGCTGTGTGTTCGCGTTCGGCTACGGTAGAAAGATGACGTCACAATATATCGACCTTCATATCATAGGTACGGGGATGCCCGCGGTTGTGTAGATATAAGGTAATAAAAACTTTATGGTTTATTAAGTAAGTTCTTTATACACCACTGAAAACATAGTTATGGATGTCATATTGCATTTTACACATTGCACCTTTAAATGCAGTGGATGTCACTTTGGGTAAAAAAAAACATCAAATAAATAAATGTATTTTTAATGGAATGGTTTTTTTTTTTGTTAAGCAGAAATGTCTACCTTCTTTTTGTTAAAAACTGTTGAGCAAGAAAGTCTAATTTATTTGTTTTTCAAGTGAGACTACTTTCCTAGCGATAGAATTATTGTGGGTGTCGGACAAAAACTACGATAAAATCTGCTGGAAAGCATCTTTTGCAGCGATTTTTGTGTGAGCATATCAGTGAACACCCCAGACTACATCTTTGTAAACTAAAATTTAATGCATTTTATGAACCATTGTGGAGGTGGTGGTGGTGGGGGGGGGGGGGGTTGGTTCAAGTTGATACTGAATGTGTTAAGTGGGGTTCATGTCGACTTTTTAGCAGGCAGTCATGTTTTGCCAGACTCATGTTCACAGGATTATTGCCATGTTGGAATAAAAAAGGGACCTTTCCTGCTGTTGTGTGAAGTCACACAGTTCTCCAGAATGTCATTATATGGTGTAGCATTAAGATTTGTCCTAATTAACCAAACACATTAATTAGAAGGGGGTTAATCCTTTTGGCCATATAGTGTTCACCAGCCCGTTCTCATCCCAAGGCGGCATATACAACGCTTTTGCCAAAGCGTAGACATCCTACGCACATGGCACCCTTTAGCGTCAATATAACACGCACAGAGTATGGTAGGTTTGGGTCTGGGGTAGGGTTAGGGTTAGACCAGTAGGAGGCGCCTTCATCCCCATCTATATCTGCGTCTCATACTGACCCTAAAGGGTGCCATGTGCGTTGGATGTCTACTCTTTGGCAAAAGCGTCGTATATGATGCCTTGGGATGGGAATACGTTATGTTCACATATGAAAAAAAATTATATATAAAGTAAAGTATATATATATACAGTGTGTATGGAAAGTATTCAGATCCCCTTAAATTGTTCACTCTGTTATATTGCAGCCATTTGCTAAGATCATTTAAGTTCATTTTTTTTCTCTCATTATTGTACACACAGCATCCCCCATATTGACAGAAAAACACAGAACTGTTGACATTTTTGCACATTTATTAAAAAAGAAAAACTGAAATATCACATGGTCCTAAGTATTCAGACCCTTTTTGCTCAGTATTTAGTAGAAGCACCCTTTTGATCTAATACAGCCATGAGTCTTTTTGGGAAAGATGCAACAAGTTTTTCACATCAGGTTTTGGGTATCCTCTGCCATTCCTCCTTGCAGATCCTCTCCACTTCTGTCAGGTTGGATGGTAACGTTGGTGGACAGCCATTTTCAGGTCTCTCCAGAGATGCTCAGTTGGGTTTAAGTTAGGGCTCTGGCTGGGCCATTCAAGAACAGCCACGGAGTTGTTCTGAAGCCACTCCTTCGTTATTTTAGCAGTGTGCTTAGGGTCATTGTCTTATTGGAAGGTCAACCTTCGGCCACTTTGGAAAAATTTTTCATCCAGGATATCCCTGTACTTGGCCGCATTCATCTTTTCCTCGATTGCAACCAGTCGTCCTGTCCCCACATGCTGCCACCACCATGCTTCACTGTTGAGACTGTATTGGACAGGTGATGAGTAGTGCCTGGTTTTCTCCACACATACCGTTTAGAATTAAGACCAAAAAGTTCTATCTTGGTCTTATCAGACCAGAGGATCTTATTTATCACCATCTTGGAGTCCTTCAGGTGTTTTTATAGCAAACTCCATGCAGGCTTTCATGTGTCTTGCACTGAGGAGAGGCTTCTGAAGCCCCGATTGGTGGATTGCTGCAGTGATTGACTTACTACAACTTTCTCCCATCTCCCGACTGCATCTCTAGAGCTCAGCCACAGTGATTGTTGGGTTCTTCTTTACCTCTCTCTCCAAGGCTCTTCTCCCCCGATAGCTCAGTTTGGCCGGACGGCCAGCTCTAGCAAGGGTTCTGGTCGTCCCAAACGTCTTCCATTTAAGGATTATGGAGGCCACTGTGCTCTTAGGAACCTTAAGTGCAGCAGAATTTTTTTTGTAACTTTGGCCAGATTTGTGCCTTGCCACAATTCTGTCTCTGAGCTCTTCAGGCAGTTCCTTTGACCTCATGATTCTCATTTGCTCTGACATGCACTGTGAGCTGTAAGGTCTTACATAGACAGGTGTGTGGCTTTCCTAATCAAGTCCAGTCAAACACAGCTGGACTCAAACGAAGGTGTAGAACCATCTCAAGGATGATCCGAAGAAATAGACAGCACCTGAGTTAAATATATGAGTGTCACAGCAAAGGGTCTGAATACTTAGGACCATGTGATATTTCAGTTTTTCTTTTTTAATAAATGTGCAAAAATGTCAACAATTCTGTTTTTCTGTCAAAGTCTACACACCCATTTTAACAACCAAGAGCTGTTTTTTTTGTGATGTAAAAAAAATTATAAGTTACATCAGAACTTTTATTTGCTTTCATAGCGCACATTACTAGACTAGATCCGAACAAGTTAATACATAGAAAAACAATTGTTTGTTGTGGGAATTTTTAAGAATATTTTTAAGAATAATTAATACGGTTTGGGAAGAATATCCTTAACCACTCCCCTCCAACCATCAGTCTGCAATGAGCGAGGGATGGAGAGGAGGTGTGCAAAAATAACCCCCCGCCCTCTATTCAATACTCCGTTTCACTTGGAAAAACGTCACAATGAAGTAAAGTCGGTTGCAACTTCCAGATCACCGGGAGTCCGGGACTTTAATGAAAAAATTACAACCTATAAAGTGACACTGAAAACAAGTGACATTTCAGGAAAAAAAAACAAAACAAAACAACTAACTATAAATAACTAACTGCTTAAGTGTGCACACCCCTGAACTAATACTTAAAGCACCCTTTGATTTTATTACAGCACTTAATCTGTTTGGATCACATCTTGACTTGGAATTATTTTCCTACTCTTCTTTGTAAAAATGTTCCAGATCAGTCAAATTGTGAGGCCATCTCCTGTGCACGGCCCTATTCAAGTTCCCCCACAGATTTATGGGATTTAGGCCTGGGCTCTGGCTAACCGAGACAGCAACATAGTGTTGGCCCAAATGGGGGGAATCCACGTACCAGATGCGTACCGTTTGTATGGTGTTCTTTTGCTGATGTGCTGTGTTGTTTTTGCACCAAACATAACTTTAACAATTTTAGCCAAAAAGTTCAATCTTGGTCTCAGACAACACACTTTTCCTCATCGTTTTGGAAAAGTGGATATCTATTTTTGCTAAGGTTAGCTGGGCTTGGATATGGATTTGTCACATGTAAAGAGCAACCAGTATTTGCCAGAATACCCCTGACACTCTTTTAATGTTGCAGTACGCCTCTTAACAGCCTCCCTGACAGGTTTTCTCTTTGTCTTCTCATCAGTTTTAGAAGGACACCCTGTTCTTGATAATATCCCTGTTGTGCCATACTTTCTCTACTTGTTCCTGACTGACTTCACTGTGTTCTAATGCCTCACGTAAGTGATACCTTCCAACAATGAGATCCTGTTGATCGGAGTTATTTCTATGTTCTTTGTGGCCCATGACTCTTATAGTTGCATGCAACCAGGTAGACGTCAGAAAAATCTTATAAGAACAGTTGAGGTTTAGGCTCAATCCCAATTCATCGCTTGGCCCTAACCCCTTGTTTTTGAGTGTACCCCTTGGCCCTTAAAACAGAGTTACAAGGGTCAAGGGGTTGAAATATTCCCCTACGAAATGGAACAACGCTTCATGAACCCGATACATCATCAGTCGTTGGCAATGGCTTTGCCTTTACTGAGTTTTTACAGGATTTCTCCATGACAACGACTGACAACCAGCGACGCTGCTCTTAACTTTGAGGAAACATGATGATTATAACATTCCTTCCTCGAAATGTCTTTTTTGATTCGGAAAGGTAATTTATTATACAATTTCTTAATTTAAATGACTGTAGTTTAAATGTCATCTGGCGCTAAATTTAAATGTTTAACCGTTTGCGAAACCATCTCGCCAGTTTTGAAAAATCTCTGTTTCAAGGGCTATGTAGCCCTACCCCTTCACCCTACCCCTCAATCTCAGCAAGAATCGGGACACCCTACCCCTAGACATGAACGCGCAAAACGGAGGGGTAGGGCCAAGGGGTGAATTGGGATTGAGCCTTATTTTGAGTCACTTCAGGTGAACACAGGAGTGTACTTTCACATGAGCTTGATGATTAGTTCATTCTGAACACAGCTACATACCCAATTATAAAAGGGTGTGCACACTTATGCAGTTAGGTTATTAGGGAATAAGCACTGAAATCGTTGGCGTTCTTATTATTCTTCCGCTTCTTCTTCTTTATGGAAGTCTATAGCAGCCCATAGAACCGAGTGTGGGAAAACTATGACAAGGGCTAGAAACAAAAAGCAATTTTGAATGCATGATACGACGTCATTTTCTGTCATGTAAATCTTTCCGACGTTAAGATTTTTTTTATCACCTACTTTTTCGAGCTTGTCCTAGACGGCTGCTCTGATTTTCACGAAAATTGAACCAGATCATCTTCAGCCCATGCCGACAAAAGTTTTAAGAATTCAAGTTGATTTGTCAAACTGTTCTTGTCAAAATACCTCGCAA